CTATCTAAACGTCAAATATAAGATTTCATACTGTCAATTCCATTAATTAACATGACATTTCATACTGTCAATTCCATTTATTAACATGAAATGCCATCCAAAAAATTACATAATTATCCATACCCAAATGATCATCGAAACGTCAAATATGACATATCATACTGTCAATCTATTTATAACATGAATGCCTCCAAGAAAATTACATAATCATCCATACCAAAATGATCATCAAAACGTCAAATATGACATATCATACTGTTAATTTCTATTTAATTATTGCAACGGTGAGTTTTAAAAATTAAATTTAAATTAATTCCAATACGGAAATAAATTATTTTGTAAATACTAAAATTACCTTTCAAGCAGTGTTCGTTTGCTTAAGTAGATAAACTTGAATCCATGCTGACTCGTGTTCAGACAGAAAGCCTTGGTGCTGTTTTTTAATGCATCCGTAAACAATGTCATGTCTGTACTTCGAATGTTGATGTCTGTTACTGTGTATTTCTGTTTATTTACCGGTAGATGATCGTGACACTCAACATATTATTAATTATTAATCTAATTTGAACAGGTGGGTCCGTAATTCAGGAGCAATTAGTCAATACGAGATGACCTTGACATTATAAATGTAACGCTAACGTAACATTTTCGTTTACATTTAAAAATCATTAGTTTGAATATTAAATTATTAATAGATTTACTGCACGATTGTTTTATTTCCGAATTACAAGTAAATTCGATGTATCTCACACAAATGTATTTAAATGTATATAAACAAATTTAGAATAAGAATATTCTATAAAAATAGTATAATACTTTATGTACATATTAATATTTGTTGTTGTTAAGGATTCAATAAATAAATAGAGCTGTATTCTTTAATTCTTGTTTGCTTTATTAGTAACAAATTTATAGTTTTTGTTTGGATTAAAGTATATAATTGAAAATACCTCAAATCTTAAGGTAAATAATAACCCTGAAAATTAAAAAAAAATGTAATACTGTAATTAAATAAATGAATAAAGTTAATATACCTCAGGTGCTTCTTTGTAATAACATTGATGCGTCAACCAAACCGTGTCGCAAACATCAGATCCACCTATAAAACAAAAGAAACAAAAATTATAAAACACAAGCTGTAATATTACAATTGAATAATACAAATCTTATTTAGTTTTACGTTTAGTTCCGCAAGTTTTGATGACTCTGGAAGCCATTACTTTGTATTCTTCTGGAATGATTGCGATCATGGCCTCCTCGTCTATAGTACCATCATCTTCGATCTAATACAAATAAAAATAAAGTTTTTTTTTCTGGATAATTATTGAAGACTTACAACAGCCATCTGAGTCATCAGACATTTGATGTAACATTTTAAAGTGTTGTCGCTGGAAAAATCACCTTTCCTTGCGTTAACAATCAATTCTGCAAAATAAAATATACATAAAATAATAATAAACGAAATATGTTTTTACCTTCAGGAACGCCGCTTTCGCCCTGACATTCTTCGTGCAGCATATTTGCAAGTTCCTTCAATTCTTCAGACATCGACTGAAAATCAAAAATAAAGAAATAAACTGAAAATTGAAACAAATTAAATAAAAGAACCTACCATGATTTGGGTTGCAGACGCAATCAGCACTAAACAAACGGCAACGATATGCGACATATTTTTGTTATTATCTTGTGTTACCTTCGGACGTTTCGATTGCAAAGATTTACGAATTTTTGTAATCCGATCTGAGGTTTTTATAGAACGATCCCCACCGTTCGTTATATCAATTTTTATTTCTTTTATTTTTTGTTTCGTATGCCCAGACAAAATGCACGAGCATAGTGATCAAAGTGTTTGTTTCCTTTTCATTTTTTTTCGTTTCCTATGAGATTATAGGTTTATGTGCGTATAAATTGCATGAAATCATGACAAAAACAACGTTGTTACTTGAAATTGCCGACGATCCCAATTAATTTTATTTGGTTCAAAATCAATGTACAAATCAATTAATTAATTAACTTTTAATTTATAGATAATCTGATAAAACTTTTATGTTTGTTCATACTTTTTATTAAAAATTATAGATTTTATTGTTAAATTTAATCTACAATTGTTCATTTCAAAATAATTGAATTGATAGATCTATTACAACGAAATATATATTTTTTACTTGTTGAAGTTTATTGGAAAATCGCTTCAGGGAAGTCGAAATTGATTTAAGTCTAAGTTTACCCATCATCGATTTTAATTTCGTGCTTAATACATGTAATTTTGCGTAACCATCAAAGGTCACAACGAATTCCCATTCATTTGTTTTCCAATAACAAACGACGACTCTCGATTCGTTATGCAATCGTCGTCCAATTATGCGACACTCTTTTGCTTCCTGTCCGTAATCGTCCTTATCCGTTACATAATTTATTTATCAATATTTGTGTCGAACTAATCGTTCCTCTTGTTTCTAGTCATCTATAATTCATATTAATTATATATCAAAACAGAGAATTTTGTCTGATTTTTCAATCATTTAGATTTCTTAGAATTTGTTATCCATTTGTTTCGTATAACAACATTAGATGATTTCAAATGATGTCAAATTAGACTGTTTCTATCATTGAATTTATTCTGTAGTATGCTTAAAAGATATTCAAGTTATGTGAAACATATGAAACATTTAAAGGAATTAATAATTAATATAATTGGATTAAGGTTTAAATAAATGAATTAATAAAAATGATTGTTTTAACGTTGCTTCTTATATTAAAATATTTTTTACAAATTTCTTTTCAGATTGTTGCTGATGCTGTTTGCTGGTTTCTTTTACACCTTGCATAATTAATGTTTCCCTCATCTCTAAGGCAAGTAATAATGCTGCAAAAAAAAAATACGAAGTTAATATTTAGTTTGTTCTTTCTCTTTTGCGAATTATTATCAGGTCTTACGTCTGGTGCGTTCTCATAATAACATTTGTGCGTTAACCAGGCGTTCTCGCAGTGATCAGCTCCAACTAAACGATATATTCATTATTATATTACCAATATATTTAATTTTCTATAAATCATTTTAATTTTCCTTGGGTTTTCTTCAATTTACCTACAGTGCCGCATTTCCTTACTGCCGGTTCGACGTCCTTTCTGTGCTCTTCGGGCAAAAACTCGATCACAGCTTCGACATCCACCGTTCCATCATCTTCCATCTATTTTGTAACAAAGAATGGGAACATTTTCAATCATAAATTTCTTCTTTCATTTCCGAAGCCAGACACCTAGTGGCGGCAGGAACACGCTCAACTTGGCGGTCTAATCAGAAATTTGAAAAATTCAAATGTAAAATGATGCATTTTGGGTGGACTACTTTCGACGGGTGGTTCCATCTGCATTTGAAACGTTGAACAACTTGGCACTCGCAACGTTGAGGTATTATTTATCAGATGGCACCACCATAAGTATTATACATCATTTACAGCGGTATCCAAACTTTCTTTTTAATATAGCAATGACAAGCATAGTTCGTTTGAAATCGAGAACTTTAAAACCGTATAGAAAAAAATAGCACAAAAAGAGAAGAAAAAAAACGATTTTTTAAAATTTATTTTTACTTTACTGAATTAAAATTTAGTTTGGTTTGAAATTATCAAACCGGACTATAGTGAATACGCACCGATCGAAACCGAACTACGAGAGTCATTGCTGCACTTATATTTATTTATTCCGTACTTACCACTGCCAGTTCGTTCATTAAACATTTGATGTAGCATTTCAAATTCTGGTCATCAGTGAAATCTCCTTTCTGCGCCTTCGATATTAGCTCTACAATTAAAGAAGGAATATTTGTGTATTTTAGCCGAAACTTGTTATTTTAGAATAAATTGTATTTTACTCTCATCTAAATTGTCCTAGTTGATTAATTTTCTGATGCCGTTTGACGTTTGACTCGGCAGATATAAATTACTCTTTATATATTATTTAAATCTGATATTCTTGTGTTACTTTCCAATGATTTTATCAAGTTATCTCCTTTATTCATCTAAACAATTATTCCAATTGCTTAACTATCTGAAACTGTCAAATTTGCCGTTTGACTTGATAGAGATTAGACTGATTAGAGACATAATAGAAAGGAAGTGCTAATTATTGAACAAATCTGATGTTACTGTTGATGTTACTATTAAATCATATTACCAACTTATCTCTTCATTATCTGCTCATCTAAACAATAATTCCATTTGCTTAACTATCTTAAGCAGTCAAATTTGACTTTTGACTTAATATTAAAAAAGTGATAATTATTGTATAAATCTGAAAATTTGATTATCTGCTCATCTAAACAATATTTTCAATTGTTTAACTATCTGAATCTGGTAAATTTTCTGTTTGATTTGATAGAAATAAAGTGTTAATTGCATATTATTGTACAAATCTGATATTATGTGTTACTTTTAAATGACAACTTGTCTCCTTTTCCCATCTAAATAACAATACAAATTGCTTAACCCGTTAAGCAGATTGATGCATTGTATGGCTTCCCTAGTAGGAAGTATTTGTGTTGCTACCGTATTTTATTATTCATGATGCGAATATGCATGATAAACAATTCAATAAACCATGACGAATATATACGACATAACCACCTGAAAGGGTAACTATCTTAAGCTGTCGAATTTGCCGTTTGACTTGTTAGAAGCAAAGTGTTAATTACATATTATTGTTCAAATTTGATATTTTTGTGTTAGTTTTAAATAATTTTATTAGCTTATCTCCTATTCCCAACATAATAACAATTCAAATTTAAAAAAATCTAACATTATTTTATTTTATTATTGTGAAAATACAATATAAATTAACCGTATTTGTATTGTATATTTTATACAGAAAAAAAAAATAACTGTAACATTACCTTCGGCCGCTCCAGATTCCGCCTGACAGGCATTATGCAAAGATCTTGCCAACTCGAGCATCTCCTCTGGTATCGCCTGAATTCAAAATCATCTATCATATATAAAAGCCCCCCCCAAAAAAAACTCTGAAGAACTAATCTACATACCAAAACGTTGACGATGGAAATCAGGAGAAAAGCAGCAGCGAACAACCTCAAAGCCATTTTAGATTATTTCTTTCTCTCGAACTCTGCCGGACACAAATAAAAATGAATGATCGTCCTCATATATAACCGAATGTTTATCCTTCGATCGCACTGATTCCGGTCATTATGCAAATCAGAAAGATCGAAATTAACGACTATTACGATTCAACGACGGCAATTACGATCGAGGAAAATTGTCGTTCATTCTGAAATCTCAGCAAAAAAAAAATGTGGAAATGGATGGAATAAATGTGAATGAATGGGAATGGAAACAACGCAATTAGCCGCATGCGATTCAAATATTTTTTGTTTCGTTTCATCGCGCTTTTATTTTCCATTTACTGTTCTTTTCGTATACAATAAAAAAGCATACAAGAACAAACAAATAAAACTTGGTAGAGATATTTGCAAACATACATACAAACAAAAACAAAATATTGAAAGACTACATTTGCATATAAAAAATCAGAGAATAATGGTTTCATTTTAACGCGAAAAACCAATCTCCGCACTGAAAAATCCCTGATGAATAGTTTTTAATTTCATTCGACATCAAACCACATATGCTTTTGACATTCATGCGGGCACATAAAACGCAATCACCCTACATAAATTATTCTCTACCCGAATTTGCATACACAAATATTGACCCTATCATTTATTTGATTCAATTTTAAACATCGCTCAAAGTCATATTTTATTTACAAATTTGACAGAGGTCAAAATTTATTTCGCCTGAATCTCGTAAATTTCTATATTTGTTAATTTACAAAATTATGTCTAATATGAATCAAGTTCACCAGTGGCGGATTTCCACCCAAACGCAGACATGGGGCCTCAAATCTTAAAGTGGGCCCACGCTAACTTTAATGTGTCTCTTCAAGAACTGTCAATCCATTACCCAAGACGCCATTATCATTTTTAGCTGGTACCTTGGGCCCACAAGAAATTGAATTTATAATTTAATTCAAGAATTTCAATTCAAATATAAATATGAGCCTCAAAATTGAATTTTGTCTGGGACTTTTCCAGTGCTAAATCCGCCACTGAACTTAACTTAAAAATATGTGTAATAACTTACCTGATAAACAAACAAAAAACGATGAGAGAAATCATAGAAATGAACAGAACGAGATCAAAATATAAATAAATGTTTTAATTCAAAAAATATTACAATACAATACAAATAAATATAAAAAAAAGTATAAAATAATTTAATAAAGTTCTTGAAATGGAAATTTAATGGAAATGGAAATCATGTGTCGATAAATGACATTGAATGAAAATAATTGTATATACTAAAGAAAAAACTTGACATCACTAATGTCAAAATAATGTAAATTACTGTGATAATAATATAAGGTTATTAAAGAGAATCGATAAATAAAAACAAACTTGATTGATGCACATCAATTACATATATTTACCTAAGTTATATAAGATTTTTTTCCACGTCTATGTTTAAATTTAAATTTGTTTCGTAAGCGTATATTCCCGTAATTTACATATTCATAAGTAATCTTAATCTACGAAAATTGAAGATATATATTTTTTTACTTCCATTAAATTCAATGAGCAAACAATGCTTCGCAGCTTACATCCTACTCATTATTATAAATATTATATACACATAGTTGCCTAGATACAGCATAATAATTAAATCTACAAAAAATGCAAATAAATAAATATATACAGGATGATCAAATGAAAACGTTCTGAAAATAAATAAAAATGGTTGCATTAAATTAGCAACATATGGCGATTTTTTTTACTGATGTTGATTTATACTTATATTGAATATGCAATATTATCTCGATTTATTTTTGCTGTAAACTGATTTGCAGTCTGAAATGAAGGATGAAAGGAAATTTGGCTGTTGAGGATGAATAGAGTTTTAATTAATGAATGTCATTAGGATTTGAATTTACGGATCGATGATCGGAAAATTGAATCCTTCCGGCGTCGCGTCGCTCAAAGCTCGTTCTCTTCGACGGCGTCGATCTGCTCCAACTGCACAATGGTTTCGTCCTCCCTCTTGTCCGTTGCGAGAACGCGTCCCTCGTCATCGGAATTTCGGGACTTCCGGTTTAGTCAAAGCATCCGCACGCTGTTCGTGTTGTTTCCGTTGATCACGTAGACTCCGGCGCTATCCATACCTCCGGTATATTGGTAATTGCTCCATCCAGAGGAGTACAATCTCTTGTTGATGAAGCCCCTGATCGCATGATGGACGTCCTGATTTGCGAAGCAGAACAGGCACGACACGCATAAACCCTAAACACGCACAACTTTTATTATTTACATATCAACGAACGGATTTTATATTAATTTTATACGAGCAATTCCATACGCAATAAAACCAAACTCAATTTTAATTCAAGTTCACGACTTCAATCTGTTCCACCATCCGATAAATCATTTTGTCTTTCCATCTCATCCCTCTTTTGCACACAACCCTCACGGACAACTTACTCAAGTATTCCCTCTTTGCGCATCTCTTGTACCACTGCTTCTATTGTTTTTCATTGCGTATCCTAGCAACAAGTTATTAAAGATCTCTTGTTCGCGTTAGTTTTAAAGTTATGAACATTATACGTTGGGACGCAATTAATTTTCGGAAAATATCGACCTTCAACGTAAATGTTAAACAAACCCTTGCTACGGTTCTGACCCCAAGCAAATACCGCTAATGATGGCCTAACCAAACAAAGTAAATAAGCCTCAAGGACTATTTAATTATATTGAAATCAATATTATACGTTTTCTGGATAAACTAAAACTTTACTCTATTATCCTAAATATTAAAGGTATTCATTTTTAGTAACCAAAGTAGTATTCTTAATAATTTGAAAATATTTAAAATTATTTATGTCAAAAATCGGTATAAAAATAAAGATAGATCGGCACTTGTTGAATGAACTTAATTCGAATAGGATGAAAATGTCTGTAAATCTTAATTTCTTGATCCGTTTTATCTGATAATAATGTAATTATCAATTTTTTTGAAATGAAATTACTTGGACTTACTTGTAAGGATGTTACAACGACAGTAACGTATTCGTAGAGTTGTGCGTACGGGTGGCCTTGATCCGGCCTAAAAGGAATGAGGACGTACTGCAATCCGAACAGCGGTATGAGAATCAAAGCGGCCCTCGCAGCTTTCTTCACCCTCACAGGAGCCGGATTATCGGAATTGGGATGCATTATGGTGAGGATCACCCGAAGCACGTTGATCAGAAACACTGAAACGATCGGACAAAAAGACCATTTAGCGCATGAGAATAATCGATCGCAAATAACTTAATTCACCTAATGAGGCTACGAGAGTGATGCAGACCGGAACCGAATAAATGTACTCGGCTTGGCTTTGATCCATCCAGCATCTGCAAAATCCAAGGAAGAATAGGAGTTTCGTTGTTTGTTTACTTGTTGTTTTGTTCGTACCCCTGTGTGTCATCGAGCACGTGGATCCTAATGGTGACGTAAAGTGATATGATCAAAAGAGGGACTCCCCAACCGATCAGCAAGAACCACTTCCAAGCTACTTCGTCCTTCACGAAGACGACCACCAGGGATATGTGAAGGTACAGACCCTCACAGAACATCCACATGTAATTGGCCACCAAGAAATAACGCAGCAGGAATTCCAGTATCGAACACCAAAACTAAGTTTGCAATCAATAGTTAACCAATGGTTAATGGTCATAGAGTTGCATACTTTTTTTAATTATTCAAATTTGCCATTTAGTATTTTAGATATTGAAAGTAACAATAACAAAAGAATATACTTAAATCAATCAATGTCAATAAGCACAATTGTATACTATTGTGTTGGCAACTAAGTGTTTGCGGATTTTGTCAACGTGTTCAAAGCATCTATATTGATTTCTTGTTTTTTGGACTTCCACCTATAATTTAGTAAAAAATTGTTATTTAGTTTTGTTTCTATCTCAATTTAAAAATTATTTCCGGAAAGGCAAGAACGCTTCGGAAGCACATAAGAAGTTAAGTGCCGTATATGGGAATGAAGTCTTGAAAGAAAGGCAGTGTCAAAATTGGTTTGCCAAATTTCATTCTAATGATTTTTCACTGAAAAAAGCGTAACGATCTGATCTCCAGTTCAAGTTCATGAGATCCATATCAAGGCATTATCGATTCAGATCATTATAGCACAACACATATGATTGCAGAGCTCAATGTATCAATGTAAAAAAAAATTAACAGCTTGGCAAAAATTTTGATTTTCCTTCTTTCTTAAAATACACAATCACTTAGTTGCCAACCTAATACTATCCTTGGCATTGAATTGTGACAGATGTTATTAGCAAAAATGATTTTCTATTATGTAATTTAATAAATCTTGAGATAAATCAGTAAATTGTGAAAAATAATAATGTTATGTCGTTGAAAATTTGTTATTGGATCCAGATGACGGGGAACCGAACGACAATCGTAAATAATCTTCAGCAGTAAATCTCAGACTCACCGGGTTTTCGCTGTTGAAGAGATCCGATCGCGGAATGACCTCGCAATACCAGATGATCCACATCACGTTATTCATTATGAAAGAGAGAAAAAGTTGTATGTGTATGCGAATCCTAGTGCACTTTAAGGATCTGAAACCATTTAAATTATGTATCTCTATTATATATATGTTTTTGGATCAGATTTCTTTCCAAAAATAGAATTAATGTTAAGATTTTGGGTTTGATTTGTTCGTAGATGATTACGATTCCCTTTCACTTCTAATCGAATGATTCTAATTTCTAATTTTAAACGCGACAATTTCATTCACTTCATTTATCGTTATTTCAATATCGATTTTAAATTAATATACAAGTTTTTTTTATTGCTGGTATGAATGAAAATGTAATTCGACTAAGCTAATTACTTTTGTTTTGGTTTCCATGGATGTTTGTAATAACTCAACTCGTCGAGTAAAAAACCCTTGATTCCGCTGATTTTTTTTAATATACCTTTGCTTTTCACATTGCTCGGAGTAGGTATTAATTGGATGAACGTCGGTGGCAGACCCCAATTTTTTTATCTGTAGCAGGTTATAATGTTAAAAGCAAAAATCGAGCAAAAGTGAATTTCGGCAATGTAGATAAAACCAATTGATTTCCCTTAGATATTGCAAGTTTCAGTATCCTAATTACAGTTCCCTGCGCACAATGTTTATGTTCACCTCAGATGATTGAGTTGCCCCACCCATGCATATACCAATCATAAGTTCGACCGACGAGAAACAATCAATCAAAGCTGTTGTCCTCATTTACCATTCCCATGCAAATCTATTCATGTTAATTAGGCTGGTTGCTATGCAAACTATGTCAGTTTGTAAGTACGTTTTATGTAATATTTGACAGTTAAAGGCGACACATTTTATATATAATCCTTTTGCGGACGGAGATTATTCAAGGTCGCATTTCCAACTGATTTTTGCAAAACTGCTGTATATTATGCCACTCACGAAAATATAGACCAAACGGCAAAGCTTTATCAAAAACAATCTTAAAAAGACTAGTGGCGCCTACTTGACACTAAGATTTGATGATAGCAAAACTGTAACAGTCATGCATACAATTTTACATAAGCAAAATCTCCTTTGTAAAAGATAAGGCGTATTGTCCGTAACGTATTATAGGATTTTTTAAATTTATTTGCATTAATATATTATTTAGTATAAATACCATTGTCACTTGAGTACATGACAATTACAGTTGTGAGTATATGGGAGAAGTATATATGCATAATACTAACTTTAAATTATTAATTGTAGTTAAAATAATTTTGCGACATTTGAAGTAAATGTCATTAAAAGAAAATATATAATTAATAATAATGATTTTTTAATGAAAAGCTTCTCCATCCATTGTTGCAAGTAACAAAGGCTTTTAATTTTGTAAAACCGGACAGGAAGTTTTGTACAAGGTATATGTATATATATATATATTTGGTAATTAAGAAGTTTAATTACTATAAAGTTTTGTGGCGAACATCGATTAGGTAGGTGACCTTGCAAACTTACCTACACAGCAGAAAAATCGTGAGAGAAATGATAAGGGCCACCAGAGACACCAAGTAGCCTATGACGAAGAGATCATTGATGTACGTGTTGAACTGCGGAACAACACATAGGAATAGACATAGAGGAGAGAAAAGATAAAGGGCCGGAGGAACGGCAACAAATTAAAATATCGACGTTTTATGTGGGGCGTAATTTTGAATTTATGGGTCGTAAAAGTTTTAAAGTCTATTTGGGACCGAGAGCTTCGTGCCACGAATATTGTTAATATTTAAACAACAAATTGCAAGCAAAAAATGAACAAAATCACTTAATCGTATTAATTGTACTACCTCCAGCACTTCGTTATTTATGCAGTTTGTGTAGTTAGTCCAATCCTTTCCGTTGGTGGACTCCGGATGGACAAACCAAGTCCCATTCGGCCAGCATTCCTTATAAACAAATTGATTAGGATCGTAAGAAGCGTCCGGAGGACATGATGTGTTGGCAACACTTCCCGGGGGCGTGGCCGGCCAGCAAAGCACGTGACCGTTCCTCTCCGTTGCTATTGGCGGACAGAAACCATCCCCTTCAACAAAAAAAAAACAATCAGTATATTCATAAAATTTAAAGTAACACTCACTCTTAAGTAACTTCAAACACTGTTGCCGAATCTGCTCGTTAACTTCCCTTAATCTGTCCTCGGACATGGCCAACTAATCCTGCTCTGTACCCTGCAATTCGAAATACAATACCAACATTAAAAAAACTTACAAAAAGCAATGACACGCAGGAAGCTTTTGTAAATGGGGGATTTGTTTTAATTGTAAAGTTTCGCACTGGAAATTACCGCATCCGATGCGGAAAATCTTCTTTTCTACGTGGGATTTAACGATTCCATTGTAAAAAAAAACTTTCAACAGATTTTTCTACATCTGCTACTTTCCCAGCCCTGGCAGAGTGCGAATTAACATAACATTACGAGGATTGCGACAGTTTTGTTCGATTCTTCTTCTTCGTTTTTCAACCAATTTTTGTACATTTATAAATTTCATGAACGGTCACGCACGGATCTCAAGACACGAAATTCCACCCAGAATTTGATCCAAATTAATTTCATCTGTTACGCAATTCTATTTTCGGCGACGTCATTTATTTAGACTCAAATATCTAAATTTTAGTTGCATCACGCCAAACTCAGATTATCATTATTAAATAATTCCAACCATTTGACAAAAATACACGCACGTTTTATTTTCTTTGTTTTATTTTAAGCGTACAAAAATTTACAAATTTCGGTTATGTAAAATTGAATTTCATATAATTATATTGTGACAAACACACTAATGCATTGACATAAAGATCTATCAGGTGTACCAACTTCGAATCTAGCGAGTTAACATATAGTTGGCAGTTATAGAGTTCGATGAAAAATGACATTTGCTATTGTCCACAGTTCAGTTTGACTACTTCGTATAAAGAAAAGCTCTAATGTCAACGTTAAAGTAAAACCGTGATTTAATAAAGACAACAAAGATCCTGAAATCAGATTGGTCGTAAACGAAATAGTAAACTGTCCTTTTATTATACGATAAAGGAAATTAATCAAATTGTAAAATTTTTACTTGGCGACGTTTCAAATGCGCCAACTAAAAATCGCTCAAACTAATTATATAACTTTGCCGCTAATAATTTTCGTTGGAATAACGCCAGCCAGTGCGTCGAGGGCAAGGTATGAAGTATGGGAAGTTGAGGTGAAGTACGCTGTCTATTTATGAGACGTGTGTTTAACCCAAATTATAATATTTTCTCTTCAAATAACTATTGGAACCTAAATCGCAGGTATTAACAATCTTAATTTTGAAAATATGTATTGAATCTTGTCATTAAATATGACAGGTTATATATGTCAACTGTCATGGAAGTGGAATGGTTTTAATGTTGAGCGGACCAAACAGATAGGACAACACAGAACGTGATAGAAGACAACAAGACAAAACTAAACAGTGATACTAATATAAAACAGAATAGGATAAAAACAGGCCACCCGAAAAAAATATTGATCAAAATTCCAATTTTGTCCTGTCCTGATGTGTCATGATGTGTTCTGTTTGTTCATGGAAGCGTTTTTAATTGATGATATGGGATTGTATTATAGAATTTTCCGGTGGAAAGCGAAATCCCGACAACCGAAACCCCGACATACGAAATCCCAACAGTAACAAAATCTTCTACGAAGTAAATGATTATTATTGTTACGGGATTTTGTCATTAGGAGTAGGGCTTTGTTTATTAAGCGTTTTCACGGAATTCGTCCTAGATGGTTTTGTTTATTATTCACCCGAGTCAAATTCCTTGCATATGTTTGTCGAGATTATGGTCGGGATTTTGATACTATCTGGATTTCGATATAGACATAGAATTTTCACAGTACAAACTATGCACATAATTTTAACAGTTCATTGATCCATTAAGGATGCGTGCCTCGCATCAACACCGGGAACGGTTCCAATTGCGCGATGATATATCATCAGGAATGCTTAATGGACGTCAATTGCGGATGATTCGTCGATTAATCACGATCCTATGTAAATTGCATAACATTTGTTTTTATCGAACGCCTTTGCTTCCTGCTTTTTTTTGCCACGAATTATGCAAATTGTAAAAGATTTGATCTGCAGATCGCGTGCCTTCGTCGACAGTATCCAATCATCATATAAAAATTACATTATTATTTTTTTGTATATTCTTATGGATTTAATTGCTCCGATCGGGTATATAAAGTGGAAGATGTTTAATGTTAGAAACTATTGCAAAGTGTTTGTGCATTAGAAGTACAGAAACTATGATGATTAAAATTGGCATCTTTGTTATCGCCTTGGTACTTTTCGAAGCTCAAGTAAGTTATATCAAGATGATTGCACGAGTTTTTGTTTGAATGTAAATGTTTTCAGGCGAAGGATATTCATCCCGATTTGCAGGAGTTGGCCGACGACTTACATAATAAATGCGTCAGCGAGTCGGGTGTAACTGAAGGTAAGTACACACTGTTTTATTGAGTGAATAAACACTGTAATCGATTTCTTACGCAGAGATGATTTCCACGGCGAGGACAGGTCAATTCCCCGAAGATCAAACATTCAAATGTTATCTGAAATGTTTGTACGATACACCGAAATTGGTAAAATTCAACGTTTTTATTTCTCATTAGTTCAACAATTAAACTATTTTTACTTTATCAACTATAATTTTCCAGTTGCATGAAGATGGCACCATCAACATCGAAGCTGCCATCGAAATAATACCGGATAGTCTGAAGAACATCTACAGTGAACCCATAAAGAAATGTGGAACACAGAGTAACTTCAATCATTTATTGCAATCACAAATCTAACGCTTCAAACTTTACAGTGGGAACAGACATTTGTGATACCTGCTTCAAAACGGCTCATTGCATCTTCATGAACACCAAAGAAGTAAGATAATACCAATTAAAACATCGAACTGTGTGTTAAAATTTAACTTGTCATTATGAATGTGACAGCAAAAAATGCTTACTTAATATTCGAATCTCAGATATCATCTGTCAAAATTAAATAACGTTTTCTTTTGTTACAGCATTTCTATCTAATTTGAAGCCACCGGAATTGTCTCTAAATAATTTAAAACTAACTAATATCTGTGGAATTACTCTAGTAGTGTTATAAAGAATAATAGTTAATAAAGTAATCGTCTAGATTTGCATGCAACAAAATTTGTGAGAAAGTTTTTCCAAAATTGCTTAACTTTCGTGCTCTGTTATTTATTTTTAAATTTTAAAAAATCTACTGAAACCATTAAAATTTACATAAATGAAACTTAGTATTAAAAAAATATTTTTTTTTAAATTCTTTTACATATGAATAATGTAAGTAATATTTTTAAATTAGATTATTAGATCAAGTTACATATGAAATTGAATCGTATGCAAGATGAAACGGCTTTTGTATTAACATGGAAACTGCAGTCCGTCTCAACCTAATGAACATGCATGTATTAATACAAATTGCGCAATTTGGAACAGGATCAAAGAAGCTTTGTTAAACCGGTTTCATTAATTTTAAAAATTCGAATCTAAATCCAAGCTAAGATTCAATAAATTGTTCGCTCTTATTACATCATCCCGGGTTTGATAAATTAATGCAATTTCGATATGTGCCCCCATTCATTTCGTCCTTATTATATTCTTCCTTTTCTCTATCATTCACCTTTTTCCCCCTTTCATTTCCTTTCGTGCCTTCATGCTCAATGCTTCGAGAACAAATTGAGTTGCTCGTCCATTTAACACACTCGTTGCAATCAGCGTTCTCCACGCGCTTCTAAACACTCGAATTAGAATCGAACAGGCAATGGAAAAGCGGAAAATAAAAGAAGACAAAAGGAACAAGGCCACGAAACGAATGTCAACCAGAGCGAAAATAATAAAAATGTTCTGGCTTTGAGCTACCGTTCGGTTCGAGTAGTAGGAATCCTCTGAAATTGTATATTGATCGCAAAAACATATTAAAAAAAATGAAATAAAAAATGATACGTATTTTACAACTTTAATTAAAAACTTTACCTCTAGGTGATGTTATTTTTCCACATGTTTTTAAATCAAGCAACTTGAGACAAGCAATTGTATGCAACCGACGAGACTTGTGACAGTTCAATTACACACTTTCTCGTCAAAATATAAATTGCACCTGTTCGAATCCTTGTACATGCGGTTCTAAAGGAATAAATGTGATCTTAAGGATGAAATAGCGGCAGTAAAAGAACGCAGATGTTTTTAATTGAAACGGACAATTTTATGAGGAGTGTAAAACACGTCTTAAAGCTGGAAGAAATGGTCAGTATTTTCTTGTAATATTAACATTTCGTTGCTTCAAATTACACAAGAAGTTAATAAAACTGGATTACATTTAAGTTTTATTTTTACAATTTTTAGTTTCACTTTGCATATTACATATTAAAGCTCGAATATTAAATATGTGAAAAACGGTATTAAGCCCTCAAGCGCTTCGATGCATTGTCTGAAGTGGCTCCCCTAGTAGCCACGTATTTTTATTGCTAGCGTATATATCCGTATATATAAGTAAATTCATGATGCGAATATATTAGTCATAAGCGCTACGCAATATAAAAGACCATGACGTATATCTTGTCTGGCTTGCAATTTATACATGTTCACATATCGTTTTCCTAGGTAGTAGCGGACCTCCCCATGACGTATATATACGACATAACCACTTAGCAAATCGGTTCGCTGTTGACATTTAGAAGTTGCTGCGCAGTAACATCAATGCTTGACGTTTGTATATATTTTTTTTAGTAATATTTAAATTGAAGATTCAAGAACTTGAAACGCCAAGGAATTCGTGTACGAATTGGCGTATCTACCATGAAGTACCCACTCTTCGTAATACGACTTTATAAACTATCAGCAACTTTGTAAATTTGATTTGTAGTTGTTCGCGATTTGGTCCTTTCAAGTCAGTCTTGTGTCCAGATGCATTCCCAAGTATCTCACCTTTGAAGATGTTCGAACTACTTTGTTGTTGAGTTTGACTGGAGGACATTTGTCTCGTTTTAAGGTGATGATAACATGCACCGATTTTGATTGGTTTATATCAATACGTCATTTCGTAAACCATATTTCGAGGAGATTATACTCTTCTTGAAGGTGTCTAGATGCAATTATGGGGTATTCGTCTGATGCCATAATTGCGGTGTCGTCTGAAAATGTTGCCATGTTTGTTTTGTCTGCAGATATGAATAGAAGATATATAATTGGAGCCAGGACATTGTGATTTGATGGAGCTGTGCTTAGTTAGCATTTCAAGATTTCATAGAAATTATGTAGAAATTTTATTTTTATCTTGAAGAACAAACCTGTGTTCCAAACTTTGTCGAAAGCCTAGGACGCATCAAGGAATACAGCTGAGCAGTATCTCTTCTCTTCCAGATCCTGGCCTATAATTTAGCATCAACTAGTCCAGTGTTTTTCAAACTTTTTGGTCTTCAATTCCCTTTTGCACTTAAAAATTTTAAAGTAACCACAACCTATCTACAACCACAATTTAAAAAAGCAGGAAACTAGTTGTCATTTCGGATTTAAATGGAGATTAATGTTTTTCAATTCATTCCTTTTTTCCTCGATAATTGATTTCACTTGGAACGCGATGCAACGCATTCGTTATTTTCTCTATTCATATATTTCATTTTGCACAAGTTCTATGCATGTCCTATTACCTTGTCATCGGAGAAGACTTGGCACTAAAAGCAAAATCCTTTGATGTCTCCAGCAACAAAAAAGCCGCAGCTAAAAATCACAACTTATTTTCCCGACTTTGACGTCGCGATTTTCGTTTCTATTAAAATATTATTTCAATAAAAATAAACATTAATACACACGTATAATTTATCTTTCTCTCTTTATATATATGTTTAGAGAGGTGAGAAGCAAATAAAAGTTTTATATTTCCTCCTCTCAACTTCCTTCCTTCTTCAATAAGATTTACGATTTGGACGTGCTCAAAAGAAAAGAGCGGTAGAGAAAAAAATTCGAGAATAATAATAATTACGGAGAACATTTTTCCTGAAATATTCATCGCGAAACAAAAAATAACAAAAGCATAACCGGAACAAAGTTCGTTTCATTAGGAGAGAGGGCGAGCTTTAATTACATTCGGAAGGAGTTTTAAAAGTGAAATTAATTTGAATTTTACGATGGGGAATCACGTGCATCGAATTACGAAGAAAAAAGAAACTTCCCCGAGCTTCGTAATCGTTTCCATCGACGAAACGGACGTACCATTTATTTTCTGTTTCCCTGGAGACGAATTATAATTTGTTGATTCGATAGGTAATTCAAAATTATTAGTTCAGGTATCCCCCGACTTACGAACTCCCGGACTTACGAACAAAATTCTAAAAGCTCTAACTTGTCACAAAAAGTTGATAATTTCTTTAATAAAATATAATATTTTTGGAAGATGTACTGTTTTATTGCATTTATTTCTTTTGTCGTTTTTATTAAATAATTGTGATGCCTACATTGTAAGTAAATAATTTGTTTATTTTAATCTATTTTTTCAAATTTATGCAGTCAGTAATACGGAATTTAACATATATAAAAGTAAAAACCATGATAAAGTGTGATAAGATAAGTATATTTTGAAACAAATCCAAATAGTATATTTGTTTATAATTTGTGTATATTTTGAAACGAACAAATTCGACTTACGAACAATCTTTTGGAACTAGTTCGTAAGTCGGGGGATACCTGTATTATCCTTTCCATAATACATCAGGAAAAAAAAACAAATTCAAAACTTGACAATCAACTTACGTACGAAACAAAAGATTTTTATCAATTGATTTTTTTTTATTAAAAGTACAAAATTATGTTTAGAAAATAATACATAATTAAAAATATTTAGGTAAAAATCTTAACAAAACTTGTTAAAATTATAGTTGTACCAATCATAATTCACTTTTTTAATTGAACCTACAAATAGATTTTTTTTATAATTCTTGTTATTCTTCACACGATACACAAGAAATAAATAAATGCGAACATAATCTCACATAATCCAACAGGACAAAAATAAAAGCGTAAAGTGTAACAGTGTTGCCGATTATTATTCATGTTTTCTACCCCAATTTTAGGATCACTAATGTGAAAACTCGTAAAATTCAGAGCAGTAAAACGACACTTAGATGTATAGATGATAAATTTATGGATAAATAAAATTACAATCGCATTATCTTTACTTTTTTTATTACAAATAATGAATATTTCAAAGAAAATAAAAACTAAATTTAAATTTTTTATTTAAACTTTTGATCTTTCTATAATTTCTAAAATTATAATATTAAATTAATTCTTCAAATAGAAATTTAAATTTTTACAAAAGTGAAACTTTAGACGTTTCTATTAAAAACAAAAGTTGAAATTGTGACAACGTTGTCAATGACTTTTCATAACATCATTGTTATTAAATCAATTATCAATTATCGAGGAAAATTAGGGATTATAGAAAAAAAATGTATGCTAAATCATCGAAGAGCTAAGTAATTGCAATGATAGATTCTCAATAAGCATAGATGTAATAAAATATGTTTACAACTGCAATGTATGCAGGATTGGAATTCTGGAATTGCGGCGCCACGGACAATGTTAATTACGCAAAATCGATAGTGTTTTGCTAGAAATTAACGTGGGACAGAGAACATTTCTTAATATAAATTCCAACGCATTGAATGCCAGGAATTTTAAACAGTGTTTCGGGTGAGTAAGCCGGTCGGATTATGAAAGTATGAAATATGTAGACGATGATCCTGCTACATCAAACACCAATAAACCGATCATCGGCTGCGATGTTTAACGCATTTTTCATACCAATTTTTTTAGAGCTGAAATACTTGACTTCGACATAAAACAAAGTTTCAAGGAGAGAACGATTACAAAAAAACAAATATTTCGTAGAGAATACTCAAATATTTTTGTAAATATACTCTTTATCTGAGTCTACAGTCTGAAGTAGAAAAGATTTTCAAATTTCATTGTTTTTGATGTAAATTTGAAAATGTAGTCTTAAACTTATACCTGTCGTATTAGTTGGATTCAGTTTTAGACTATGGTGTTAATTAGATTTATTCTTAAACTTGTAGTCTCCATTTAATTCAATATGAGACATGCAGTTTCAATCGGACTTAGTTTTGGATATACTGAACACTGTAGTCTTAATTATGTAGTCTGCTACATAATACTGAATTTTATATGTATTAGACTTAGATATGTATTTATAATTGTGTCTTAAGTATGCCTTAGTGATTAAATCAATCCTTAACAATACTTAATAATCAATTCATAAGTTTAATAATACATAAGCATCTAAATAAAATATTTCTCTAAATCAACATAAACAACAAGAATATGTTGTTTTCAAATTTCCAAGAGACAAACATCCTGTCTCCGCCTCTTACCTTATGTTTTCAACTTCGTTATCTGTAACCAAGGTTACGTTGTTTACAACAAGTGTAACCGCCATCGAGAATGTCCTTCATTTGCTTCGAATTAAATTTCACGCAGGCTGATAACGTTTGCGGAGGTGCTGTATGTATCATCACAGAGCTTTGTTGTTGCCGCTACCGCTAAGCTCAATGTAAACACCCACACACAGTTCTCATCTCCGATCGGAGTTTTTCAAAGTGCTCAGATACTGCAAATCTCAAACTGACATTTAAGGTAATTGTCAATCTTTAAACTGTTGCTTGGATCTGTAGTCTCGATCGATTCTAATTTGCGCAAACGGAATTTTCAATATATTTTCTATTTTTACAATTCTGTTTGCACGCGTTTCATAATATTTAATCAAATTAATTTTTATTGCCCCATCCGTTCATATACGAAGAGAAGCTTTCATCAAATATTTGGACCGTAAAAAAAAGTAATAATAAAAATGGAACTAAATTCAGATAGGATTAAGAATTGCGTAAACGAAATTCGCGAGATTAATTTATTTCCGTTTGTTTCGTCTCCAATTTATTCCCTTCTCTTTTCTGCTTATTAAAGTGCTAGTAAAGTGAAGGTTGGTGGTGGACTGGAATTAAAATTGCGTTCCGACATCAGTCGCTCAACCCTGCATCCTGTAAATAAATTACTGATAGTTTCGTCGCCCCTCGGAAACAAATGCAATTCACTTTCGAAAGACAGCTTCGCTTAGGTTATATTGCATCTTCGTGGAAATGTGTCCTTCTTTAATGCATGAATACTGGAAGATCTTCTCTAATAACCTCTGCGATGATTAATTAGAGTTGCGCAATCCATTTTCCTTCCAACAAAATATCATCTTGCAAGTACAAGCCCGAACTTTGTGCGCTTCATGTTCACGGTTTCCCTTGTTAATTTTAATCAGATTTCCATTATTATCTTTCGCATCTCAAACCATGAAGTCGATAGCTTTAGCGAAAACATCAATTACTCGCACGAAGTAGCGTTTTACTTGATATTTAAGTGCACTACATATATATCAATAAACATAATTAATTTTCTTAAAATCTAACTTCGTTACATACTTTAGTAAAAATAATCAACAAAATCATTAAATGAATCATATTTAGTAATGTCATTGGTAACTTGGTAATAAAAATAATATTTATTGCAAAATGTTACCAAAATATAAACTTAACATAGTAATAAAACTAAATTAAATTGCTGCAAAGTGCGAATATATTATTTGTTTCATTTCGAGAAGAATTACTTTTATTGTACTTAATTTATAATTTCATCTTTTTTATATTTACATACATGTACGTCTTTATTTTATAGAAGATTTTCCATAATTTCCATTTCTAATTATGAAAATTTGCAACTCTCTAAGCCAATTTTATCATAATTAATTAAATAATTAATTATTAAAATTATGGATTCAAAAATAAATAATAAATACCTAGTACATTACCCTGTGGTACCATTTAGAAATGCAGCGGATATTGTTTGTCTTAAAAGAAAGTAAAAACAAATATACATACATCATATTAGATAACTTCGGAAATAACAACAAAAATACTAGAATGGAAATATGTGCTTAGGTATGATGTGCAACTCCTTGGAAATATAATTTATGTTTGTTTTCCGCAAACTTTGTTGTGAATTCCATTAAAGTACATATACATGTTTGCATACACAACTTCTTGCTTACATTCGCATAGAAAATCTCTGAGTGTATTTGCACGAAATTGCAATTAAATATATGTAAAACCACGTAGATTTTAATTGAAATTGAAGAAATTTTACCACGACGCGAGAAAATTATATATTTAGTACAATAATTATTTGTAATCATCCTGAAAGAGCGTGAATGAAAAGCTCGATTATGTTTTTTTTTTAGTTTGTTGAGAGAAGACAACTTCTTTCAGCGAATCCGTCTCCAATTTAATTCAATTTGCTTTGAGGATTTAAACGTTCGTCCGTTCCATTAAATCGGCATTGAGACAACGCGGATTCCTCTGCCATTGTCGAATTAACATTCTTAGTTTCTCCGTCGCTTACGACCGCAACGATGAGACAGAAGTTTACGCTTAGATAAATTTTCCGGGGCGTTACATAAATATACAACTAAGATCGTTTAAAATTAGTTTCTAACATGTTGAATGGATGAAGAAAACAAATAAATTGAGGCTTACCAACTGCTTCCTCGTCTTCCAAAGAAGAAAATCACGTCTTCAACTTTCGGCAACTGCTTTCAGCAACTTTAAACTTTCGGATTGGATTGTTGATTTTATTTTTTCTGTAAGAGCGCGTGCGAAGAGATCTCGTAAGTTTGTTTCGCCCGATGGACCCGAACCGACGAGCAGCGAACTTCGGGAGTCGCCTGATAAAGACTGAAACATGTATTACATATTTCGAGCGTGGCGGCGGCGGCTAAAACAGTCGACGACGGCGCCGCCGCCTCCACCAACGAACGAGATGGACCTGTCAAAGCGCTTGGTTTGTCTGCCTATGTCAAGGTTCACCAAGGTCAGGAACTCTTAGGTAACCTCCACCAAACGATAATCAATCATACTAAATCTACACATTTCCGTCAGGAATTCCACTGGACACTGGATCGTTGATAGTAAATGCAAATTGATATTTCTACGCATCGTCGATCTACAAAGTGCAAACACTTCAATCAAACCCGGTGCGATTTGTATGCATATAGAAAAGCTAAAATGGACCATTAATCAAATACCTTAAAAATAGATTCAACTCGAACTCACAAACAATGGAAGAGGTGCATGGTCTGATTCATACATAATTTAAATCTATATAATAAATTAGGTTAAATTTTGATTAATTTTAATGTGATTGCATTCGTATTTTGGTTACGTTGAGATTGGTTAACTTAAGTTATGCTGAATTTATATGGGTTTGGTTGTGTTAGGCTACATTGTTAATATAGATTGTAATAAGATTTAGTTTAGGTTAGTTTAGATTCACAAAACATGAATACTTTAAAATATATTAGTTTATGAAAGAAATAGACTAGTTGATTGTAATTAATTTTTCTGCCATAAATCGGGAATAATGCTAAATACTAAGTTTCATGAAACAAACAGAAAATCGGACAGGAATTAAGTCTTAATCTTAATAGATAAACGAGATATTTATATACTTAAAAATGTATTGTTTTAGCTCTCAATAATATTGGCGCATTTCACATGTGAAATAAAAGAGAGTATTTCAAAATTGTAGAGCTGTTTAAAGTTTCAGAACTATAACGTTTATCAATTGAGATTTGGTAGCAAGTTTATTCTATTTCTTTATTTTTTATGGGAAACAAGGACAATTGATCTGTAAACATTATATCCTTTTTAAAATCGTGTTTTCTGAGAAAATAGTCATTTAATATTATTCTTTTTATGTAATATTCTAGATTTTTGTAAGTTTTGTATTTGAGCTTTTATATTCATTTAGTTTTAAATTTTGTATATATCTAATAAATAAAAATTCGTTGTGGAAATTCAAAACGTTGATTTATTGATTTGTCTCAAGGAATTCGATTGGAATTGCAGAGTTATACTAATAGTCGAATTACAAACAGACCACAACAGTTGGATACATAGGTTCAAATTGACATAATAAAAACTATGTATGCAAATAGTTTGTTCTCCAGTGAGGTTCATGATCTCCAACTCAACAGTCAATGCAAGCCAGCGACCATCGAACGTAGCGCTGTCATTTCCTCTTACTTGAAAGTGTCTTCCTGTCAATTAGGATTTAAACATAATAGAAGTACCCATTCGAAAGGCACTTTTTCAACTTATATAAAACTTCCCGTGCCATCAGAAGCCTGCAACAGAGCAGTACTTTTCCTTTTCCAAACTCTTATTGATCTCGGTAACAACACAGTGTACCTGTTCGACATTATCATGACGCTCCAGAAAACCAAAATAATAAATGAACTGCTATGAAGGCTAATGACCATAGGTCTTTCTGTCCTGACTTAATATAATTAAGTAGAAGTCGATAAGCAAAAAAAAAACGATGGAAAAAAAAAAATATTATAACGTACAAATACTGCATCCAATCCAATTCTAGCAAATCGCAGGAAACTATTGAAAAGGCGTGGAAATCTAATTTGAAAGGTAAAACTCATTGTGGTTTTCTCTCAATGTTTTCGATTTGCGCGCCCGTCAGATTATTATTATTCCTCCATCCTGTCTACTCAAATATATAATATTGAATTACGCGAAACGCATAAATCAAGCAACCAACGAAAATATACACACATACAAGAAACAAGCGTGATTTTCCCGCTCTTTGAAATCCGATAAATTCCCGTCTCGCTTTTGTTTCCGTACGCGTTCTCAGTGCTATCTCGACATTCTTTTCTCCGTCTGTATTTCTCTGCATTTATATTATATACTTACGTATTGGTGAGTGTGCGTGGGCGAGATTCTCTCCACGTTTTTTTTTTCTTCTTCTCCTTCTCTCATTTCCTCGTCGACATCGTGGTCTTCTTCGAGCTCGCCATTTATTTTTATTATTTTTCCGAATGTTCAACAAACTATCGCCTCTGCAAAACGTGTAAACACAGTTTTATTTGAAGTTTGTTTACTTTGATCTCGCCTTGCCCACCATCTGCCACCGATATATATTTTTTTACTGTTTGTAGCTTCTTCTTTTTGGATTTTGTTTTTCTCAATCAAATCCTTTAAATTTGCTGAAACCCATCCCACAAATTTCCTTTATGTTAGTTTCGCAACAACTTGTAATTAAATTTTCACACACCTCGCCGACTTTGCAGATAAATCGTAAAGTTAATCTTTGATGCCGAACAAGTTAAGAAGCTGAATGGTAACTACGAAAATCTATCAATCCGTGGGTAAATGAACGTACATTGTGTTTGCGTTAGATGCGAGTCGAGCACACTTTTATTTTTAGTAAGATTTAACGAATTGATGAAAACTTGGTGGACGCGCCGGGTATGAGCGGGAAGGTTGCCATGGGCAACGGTAGGGACGTAAAAACAAACAAATGAAGAAAAACGGATGAGAGACGACTGCAGAGGCAAACGGAAGCCGGCATGATGGGATTTCTTATACGATTATGTGACTGGAATCGGAAAACTCTTTATTATTACCGGATGGTTGCGTTCGGAAATTCCAGTTCTATGATTTAAGCAGAGAAACATAATAATTGGAATTGCATAATCGTGATTGATCCCATCCTTTTGCTCATTCTTTAGGGATTTGCCGTTTATTTTTAAAATCCCGATGGAATTTCTGGAAATATAGAGAACAAAACCACTGAATTCCCTAATTCACTAATGTTGAGCCATAACAACACTTTTGAAGTGCCGCATGTGACTCGCGAGCTACAGTTTGATCACTCCTAGAATATTATACAGATTATTATAAAACAAAAATAGATGAACTGCTATAAGGAACACCAAGCTGATTGTCAACAAAAAAAACTCGTAATTTATACATTTATAATAAATCAGGTGATGTTCAACAAAGAATTTAAATATTTACTTTATTTTAATACTTTAAATTTATATATATTTATATACAATTAATTAAATTAATAAACATTTGATCTTAGATTGTCTTCTGCTTAATCATCATCTATTACGATTACATCGTTGGTGTTGCCTCTGGAGCTGGTGGACACCTCTTTCCGTAACAAGGTAACGGAAGTGGACTCTTCCTATGGGTCTCTGGCGTCATCATCTCTGTTTTCTGCTCCACATATTGGTTTTCATTTGGGAATATTGTAGTTTCCAAATAGAAACCTTCTCCGGCAACTAGGCACAAATAACAACAACAACCTACTTGATAATCCTGGGGATCCATAATTTACAACCCCTATGAAATTTCTTAATAAATCATAATAAAATAATATGAAACACTGATTAGTTTTTATTTTAACTGTGGCCATTTAATTCATCTAGTTAAAATAGTCTGAATTTTTGCTAATGTTATGCTCATTTAACTACTTTATGTTTGTAAACTTTATTCAGTTGAGAAAAAACATTTTGCATATTTCAGCATACTCACTAGAATCCTTCGGAATAAAAAAGTATGTAGCTGAAGTAGAAAACATTAAGTTTCCTGAAACAATTTTGGTACTTTTCGAGAATAAAGATGTGGATCAGAAATCCAATAAAGTAAATATTATTATTAAAATTTCGTGTTGTAGTTGCTATCCTTATTTTATTGGTATGCAATATTTATTGCATTAAAATGTGCATAAAATTATTCCAAATTTAATTTCATAAATTAAGTGAATTTTAATGATTTTTTTTTTAAATAATTAAAACTAGTTAATTTTTATATTCATTCTACAGTTATAAACTTTAGTCAATTACAATTTTTAGATTTTTTCTAAAGAATTATACAAATATTCAGCTCTTTGACATACGTTGTGATTGTTTAATCCTTTATTTATTTTACTATGAACAACAATATTGATCTTCGCTATTATTCATTAATAATAGAAATTATAGAAGAAAACGGTTTTTGTGTGTGTTTTGCTGAATTTTGTGTGTTAATAAAACATTACTTTTTGATAGAAAAAAATATCGTTCAAGCAAAGCAATGGCTTGATAAGTGTTATGGGGACTCTTCTCCGTCTAGACAAATGGTAGAGATGTGGTTTGTTGATTCGGCAATAGTTGCAGAAAACATAAAAATTGGTTTGGGACAAATTGATGTTGCTTGATATAGCTGACACCCTGAAGATATCAGAAGACACCATTTTGCATGAACATTTGATCATGAGAAAGTTTTGTTCGAAATGGGTACCGTTCAAGCTCAAAGTGGACCAAAAACAACGAGTTGATGAAATAAAAAGGATTTTTTATACGGTATGTAACAATGGATGAAACCTGGATCCACCACTATAGTCAATAGTCAAATCAGTTGTCAGCTGAGTGGACAGCAAATGGTGTAAGCCGTATTTTGAGGCCAAAGATAAATCATTCTACAAGAAAGGTATCGAAATGTTAGATAAGCGTTGTTATGAATGAGCCACTCTTGAAAGAGACTATGTTCATGAATAAAGTCGAATATTGCCCAAAATTTGTTGTTTTATTAAGCATACTATGAACTTATTGAGTGAGGTGTTACATATAAAATAAATAAAACACTCCAAACACGCTAATAACTTTGTTCGCGCAAAATACGGAAATTAGTTATAATATTTCAACAATTGAACAAGGGTTTTCATCGCAGATAATTAACTGTGGTTTTCCATTCTCAAAAACTTTCCCTCGACTTCAGCTGCTACTATCTGCGAATGTCGGATGCAAATGAACTCTTGAAATGCACAATATTTAACGTCCAGTTAGTGCTATTTTGCAAATTCAATTAAAATAGTTTATGGTCACAACACGAGCGTTCAGTTTAAATCAATATTAATTGTATATAATTTCAATGTAAGCTTGTCTAACCTAACTATATTTAAGCTCTTAACATTACAAGAAACTGATTACACAAATGAAGGTAAAGTTTACTGATCTTATCATAAAATATCCTGGAGAAAAGGAAACATTGCATGCGGGCTGGTAAAGACGTAGTACTACGATCATGACGCACTAAAAGCTCTCCAAATCTAACCTAAAACAAAATACTTTAACCTAGCATAATTAAATCTATGAGAAACTGACATAACCTTACAAATCTAACATATCCTAACCTAAATTAATCTAAAATATACTATTAGAACTGAAGATGATCCATGTAATTTCACCGCAGAATGAATATACTGCGGACGTGGTTTATGCCATTCGGGTAATGGATTCCTCTTACAATGTAGATATACATTGTCGTTGACAGCAATGCGAAGACGATGAAAATCTATAAACACTGTCTGTCTCGGTCGGTAGTTAAAGTAGTTTACTTGAGATAATTTAACCAATAGGATTTGCAGTTGCAGAAAATGAAGAAGATTATTAAAGCAATAACTAATATACGTAATTTCTCTTTTGATTAGTTCTATTTGTTTCATTTACTTACATACAATTCATATTGTTATGATAAAATAAAAACAAGTTATTGCCGTAGTTCAACGTTATTTTTCCTGCAATTCCGATAACGATAATCCGACCGAACCAATTCGACGAAATCTTATGAAATATTGTGTGCAAACAAAATAGACCGGAAAGCCGAACACAAAACTAAACGATTTCAAATGTAGGGTTACAAATATGGCAAAACTTACAAACTTGCGTATTGTATAAGACAAACATTACAAAATGATAGATAAATCATAGAATTTATGAATATGCTGATGTTGACAGCGGTTTGCAATGTAATAGTTACTTGAAACAAAATTTAAATAAATCAATGTTTTGAAAAGAAGAATACGGTGACCCGACAAAAGCGCGCATATAACAGCCTGCAAATGAAACCAAATAATTGCACGTTAGGCTACTAACAACTGGACAGGGTTTATATTTAAAAATACATACAAACAATTTGGTTATATGGGATTTTCCATATTCACTCTAGTGCTATAAGTTACTAATAGTTGGGTAGGCTTTGTATTTTAAAATTATATACAAATTCTCGTGTATTTGAAGTGGTTATTTTACTGCGCTCTTTTGTTTTGCGCGCTTTCGTCTGCGCTCTTTTGTGTGCGTGCTTTTATTATGACGCCAAAGAATACATGACTTTTTTTTTCATCTTCTTATCCACCATGTCTAGCTTGTACCGATTCACAATGCATTGTTTTAAAATAAGCTACATGAAAATCTGATAGGCGCCAAGGTCGACATCAAAATGTTAAAAGTCGTGTAACTTAACCTTACCTTACCTAAAATATAATATAACCTTAAAAAATACGATATGCTTTTTTGAAGCTGACGAAGGATGAACGAAAAAAGTCAATCGAAATGTGTTTGTGTATGCGAATGGGAGAAAGAGAGTGCAAGAGATATATAGTGTGTATTTCAATTTGAATGTGCTTGCTTCTGTTTTACGTCCGTGGACGCGGCCGCAATTAAGAAAGTCAATATTTACCGAAGAGTATATTTTTAAAACGGCCAATAAAACCACTAAACGCTGCCGCCCCCGCCGCCGCCGCTGCAATCCTAATCCAATTCCTGTGCACGCTCTCTTTCTCTCTTTCCATTTATGCATTCTCCCTTCCCTGACTAAATCTGTAGATATCAACGCGAAAGAAATCACAATATCTGCGAGTAAAGCAAAAGCTAAATGTAGACAATTGTTAAATGAAAATGATGAGAATGTCCTGCTTGCGAAGGACAAGGATATCAAACGGGATCGAAAATAAAGAGGCATAAAATAAAACAGGAGCAAACTTCAGGCCAGGGAATTTATTAGCTGGAAACAGTTTACTTTGCTCAGTTCTTAAGGTAAACCGTGAACTGAAGCGCAACACAAACACAATCATTTCTTCTACATATTTTTTTTTTCGTAAACTTTTCTACACTACTGCTGCAAGAAAAAGTAGTTTTCAGAGAAAAAATATTTTGTTCAAAATAATCGACAATGTCCAAGAAATGTCAAATTATAAAAAATAAAAAGAAAAAACTCAGAAAACCGACAAGAAAATGTAAAAGATGAGAGACAACCAACAAGAGACATGAAAAAACTGACAATATACAAAAGAAAAACATCAGTCAACTATCTTAAACAATAAAGAACTGACAAAATTTAAAAGACAATAGACAGAGACAGAGACAAATGAAAGAAAAATACAGAAAACATCAGATAACCGACAAACATGAGAATGGAGAAGATATTGAAATAAAATCCTGTAATTCGTAATAAAATATTTTTGTTTAATTACATCATTTAAATCTATAAATTTTATCACAGTTTTATATTTTCCAACAATCTGAAAACGATTCCACCAACATATATAAATCAGTAAGAAATAATAAATTAACGCGAAACAATAACATACAGTACTAAATAAACTTTAAAAAATATTGAATTGTTTCAAGTTTGCGTTGTATTTGTGTATGTGTATTTGAAATATAAAAAAAAAAACAATATTTGTATAAAACTACGAACGAAAAAAATAGTAAAATCTTAGTCGGCTAAATATAAATAAAAATGTGTTTAAAAAATATCAAAACTATTTGCGTAACGTGTGAAACGTCTAGGATTTGTTAATAAGGAAGGAGTAGATGGAGGAGGAGGATAAAAAGTTTTGTCGAGTCGAGTCTAATCGGGGCATTCTATTCTGTTGGAGAATACGAGCTCTGAGACGATGGCCAACACCAAAAAGAGAAGATAGAAGGTGATGAGAACGATGCCGTTGATCCTCGAGAGCCGGAATTTGCTGCAGGAGAGCGTCAGGTACAGCGTGATTGCGACCATGATCAGAGCGAGAATTGTGTACTCGATGGAACCGGATTCTATCTGAATGACGGACATCGCCCTCGCCTGACCCACCACCGTCGTCTTGATGAACCACGGCAGACCCAAGGAAAGTAGGATGTTCATGGTGTTCGCGCCCAGCGCATTTGAAACGCCCATCGCACCCTCTCCTGCACAGAACAAAGCAATATTTAACTTAACAACCATCATCATACTTGTTTGTAATTAACTGACCTTTTCTCGAGGTAATCGTGATGCTGATGGCTTCGGGCAGACAACCGCCGGCCGCAAGGAACGTCAGACCCAGAATAGAATCTTGGATACCCAAAGTGTAACCTGCAAACGATGATGATAATGTAACTTTGCATTAAGAATCAGCATTAATAATCTTTCTGCTCGCACCAAAACTTCCGAACAACTCTCGTTAACGCTCCCATAAATAACTCAATTTGCATGCTAATTATTACTTGTTACAATTTTCGGATCATTAGTAGACGGAAATAACATATACAAGAAAAAACTTTAATATTATATAATTAATAATATCTGTTTATGCATATCACTAATTAATTCATCAATAACTAGAATTCAATGCCAGTTTTACATAAAGTATCAAAAATGTCATATGAAAACGTCAAATAATAAAATACTTTCAAACTTACCAATTACAGTGATCATCCAAGAAACCATGTATGAATTGAGCCCAATCCAAATGACACACATGATGAACGTGAGAGGGTAAATCCGTCTGTGCTTCCTGCAATCTGGAACTGTGATGAAGAGCATGAACTTAATTGGCCAATTGTAGATGAAGAACAGCTTGTTCCACCATCTTCCAGTAGGAATTTTAAAGATGGTTTCTATAGCAACAAGAAAGAAAATTAACTAAGTTTATTGACTCTTGAGTGATTAAGTCAAGTTACCAATCTGGTCGGCTTCGTCTTCGCTTTGCGGATTGTTGTTTCGATCTGGCTCGTTGATCTGCTCCTCATAGCGTTTGGTGCTCTCGATACAGCTGACCGTTTTCAGTTCGATGCAGCTCGTTACTTGATCGTTAGACACTTCTGGAACAATTTCTGATTAATTTATCGATTTTGTGAGATTTGCCCTCGCCCATCCACCACGTACCTTTCTTTAAGCAGCGCTTGAAGAAATTCGATATTCGAACGTTGTTGAACATGATTGTGAAATAAATAAAGTAAACGATGAAGAGAATCATAGCCTCGTACCAGTGGATAAGACCATCCCAGGTGATGCCCACCAGCAGGATTATGGCGATGACGTAGATGACGGTGTCGCGCGTCAAAGGCCACCAGTCCAGCTGAATTGGCTGTGAAGAAATATATATTAATTATTTGTTTAATTAAAATTAATAGTTTGGTTTGAGTATGAATTACCGCTTTGCTGGCAAGACCTCCGATGGCTGCTACGCCTAACGTGTTGAACATCGACGATCCGACTACAGTTCCGATACCTATATCGGAGCGCGTCACGAAAGTTCCGATGATGTTCACGAAGAGCTCAGGGGCAGATGTCGCAACGGACATGAAAGTAGCTGCGGCCACATCCTAATGAAAAATAAAGATTGCAAATTTAGTTATGATAAGCCAAGACTTTCTTGATTGCATTTGCATTGTCAACTTGTGATTGGTCTCGTTAGATTGTGACAGTTCAGTTTAACTTGTGACAGGTGAGCATAACTGGTGACAGATCTGCTTAGATTGTGACGGCTCTCGGATCTTAAGTTTTGTAATGACAGCTCTTATTGACTTTGATTGTGACTGGTTAGGTTACAGGACTGATTCTGATAGATGATATACAATCAGGAATCTTGGAAACTGTAAATTTCGTTTACCTGAGATAAATTGAGATGCTCGCAGATTCTCTCGACGCAGGGCAGAAAGTAGGAGTCACAGATGATCGCGATGATCGAGAAACAGTAGATGGCGATGACGAACGCCAAGATAACTGCTCCCTGCTTTCTCTGCTCCTCGGTGAAGAATTCCGGGAACTCTTCGATAGACTTGCTGCACTCCAGAAAGGTACTGTTTGGATTCAGAGATCGTCCAAACATGATAGGGAAGACCCGCTTCATATGAAGATGCTGGGTCCCCGTTCTCTCGACGAGGCCATGTCGATCCGACGGTGCGGATGCGACGATGACCTGATGCGATGCGCCGTCAGCTGAATCAAAACATTTGCACGTTTAATTATCGTCATTTACAATATATGATTACACCTTCCAGATTGTAATTGACATCGACACTGACCTTCCTGTTGCACTGCGTTCCCCGAGTAAACCAGCAGTAGAATGATGAAGGGATTCCGTATATTCATCTCTTATTTATTATTGATGACCAGCTCTCCAATACCCTTATTATATATCACTAATTCAATAACTATTTCTATTGACTTTCTATTAATTTTGTTTCTTCGTTTATTTTTTTTTTATTTAAATTAATTTACTATTCAGTCTATTTCCGATCAATGCTCGCAAATGTTCTTGTTCCCACGTCAGCTGCCTCGGATTCCGTGCCTCGTGTACTCCGCAATTGAGGGCCCTTTGATCCCTGTCCTTATCCTGCATAACCCCATAATGCATTTAAATCTGAAACACACATCGCAATACCAACATTACTAAACCATTAATTATTAGATTTTTACCTACTTCTTCCTTACATCATATATATAATTTATGTTGAGTAAATGAATTGCACTCTTTTTGACTAAACTAAATTTGTACAACACTTAATTCAATACTAATACTTATTTCTTATATTTTTTCTACCTTTTTATTATCTATCTACAGTTTATTAATAAAAAAAAGTCATTTATTATGAACATAAAAATCATTTGTAAAAAAAAATATCGAAATGTTTTGTTCGAAAATTTTCAGTACAGTTTTTATAGATTAGATTACATTTCACCATAGATAACGTTTGCCAATTTCTCTACTTACTTTTTTATGTACATTGCGATTCTTCAAAATTATTTTTAGACAATTTGAAATTTTATTAATATTTTGATATTGTCTAAATTGAATAGAAAATTTATTTCACATGCATAAATAAATTAATACATAGAATTACTAATTACATTAATTATTATAGTTTATTGCTATGTTCAGAGATAAGCTTATTTCATTAATTTGCTTATTGTAATTATGTCATCGATTCAACATCGAATTTCGAAATAACCTTATGTATATTAGTTTTTTTTAGATTATTTATTTAGTTTTTTTTAACGACAAGTTAGGTTACGTGTTTTTACACTGACATGCTAGAAATAACGTTGTTTTACACGTTTAATTTATTGATTTGAACATCGCGCAAATTATTAATTAGTTTTCAAATATTTCCGAGAAGTTGAGATACGGATAAAATGAAACTTATTACGTGGAATTTTTCAACAGACAAATAACGATTTTAATTTACCTTTTTTTTTTCTTCTTTACACATTTTTCTTCACAGTGAATAAGTTTATTTCTCTATTACTTAAATATTTTTTGTCCTTAATTTCGTTTCATAATCACGATACATTTTATTAAATTATTGATCGAACTACTTCCAAAAAAGTGCATCTGCTCAACATTAAATGATTCTACTGTAAAAAAAGTATACTTCTCCATAAAAATTGTGAATTATCTAGTGTATTTTGCTTCCGGAAGTAGTGGTTGTGTAGCATTAATTATTTATGCTAATTACGATTGCCGTACTAATTTCGATCGTTTTAAACATTAATTTCTAGATTACAATTGATTAGCGCTCTCCACACTCATCCACACTCGCTGCGGGATCTGTTTTATGTGTGCGATTTAATGGATTACGGGATTAATTCAGAATACATTTTCCGCTGTAATTTGATGTCCGATAATCCAGTTTTATGCATAGAGAAATACATCTCTTAAATGAGAAATTAGAGGTACAATTAGTGCGGATAAACCGAGAAACGGCGTAGAAAAAAAAACCGAAGAAAATCGTAAATATTTACATTTAATTTATTACGGACGAAAGCGGTTGGGAGGAACGAGAAGGAACAAGACGAAAGGAGATGTGAGTGGGTGGAAGAGAGAAACAGAGAGAGTTCGAGTGAGTGTAAAAGAGACGAAAGTCCGACCTCGCTGCCCCCAATATTAATCATTTTTTAAGTGTTTCGCCAAATATTTGCACACTCCGCTATTATATCTATGGTATTTCCATCCATCCATCCGTACATACATACATTATAAACCCAATTCCTCTTGTTAACCGATAATTATGAACCCGTTGTGTAATCGATCCGCTGCCCTCTGACTTACACCCAGCATTTATAATCTTTAGAATCTCACGTGCTTAGATAACACTCGCACGAACATATTCATACACAGTTATCTATACAATTGTTCCTATAGCAACGAACGATTGTATGCAAAATAAAAACAAGCGTTCGATTGGCTTCCACAATTTGATAATACCAGTTTTCAAAGCAACGCGTGATAGCCGACAATAAAAAGTCATCCTTTCTCGAATCGTGTTCCGGAAATTAAAAAAAAAAACAATTATTATGGATATAAGAATTAGGATTAAAAATGGAATTTCACAATGTTACGCACCGAAAACATTGTGACATTCAAAATTCATAGACAACAGTTCATCAAACATAAACGTAACTTGTTGTATTTTATAAATGTCAATGATTTTGATGGTAGTCAATTTGATTGTTGCAATTTTATTGCATGTTGGCTTACTTGGATTAAAAACGTATTATGAAATTATCAAAACTTATCTTATTTATTTCTAACTTGCAGTACCAAGTTTAAAAACATGCATTCATTGTGAGCTGTTTGTATAGATTTTTATGTGAGATTTTATGATTGTATTGAAAATAGATTAGAATTATATAATTTCAATTAGCTCATTTTAAATTGTAAATGGTTAACTTAGCTGTATGTAATGTCAACTGTCAAAATATGTTATTCTAATTGTAACTAATCCTACTGATTTTTGTTAATATAATTGTAAGAAAATGAATAAAACTTGTTCTAATTATGATTATTCTCAGGTGCAATTTAATTGTGGAGCCCTCTAAATATTTCCAATTTAATTATTCTTTTAGTTAGTAAATGTGTCGGTTTTTGAAAGGCCGCATTAAGGTTGTTGTGGGCTCATTTTAAGATAAATCTGCAAAAATAAGGATTGAACATTTTCATATCACCTAATATCTGTCAAATTAGAAGATATTAATATTACAAATTTTTTGTCCAATGTAAAATATAATAGTCCAATATGAAACCGCTTAGTTTAGTAATCTTATTTATAGTCTGTAATAATTTATATTTAAGCAATTGAATAGGAAAATTAAAAAGAACATTCAAATCTTACCTCGAAACTCAACTTAACCTTATAATCAAATCGGAAAACTGTAATTTAAGCAAACAAAACTGTGGATCATACGAGATGTTTTAAATACGTCAAAGCCTCTTTCATCATTTACTTTATGACCGTCTTATAAATAGGAATATTACACGAGTTTACTGACAATCGGATCATAATGCAAACGGCAATTAACGTTTTGCAGTCGAAGAATAAAGCATATTTTATTGTTCCGTGTCGTGTTTATTTGGGTGTCTTATTTCTGGAGCCAAAAACCTTTGTGTATCCGCAATTTAGTTTTTTATTTTTTTCCCAAAACTCAAAATTATTGCGCATTTGAAGCCGCGGAAACTCCCAGACAAAACAGTGAAAAATAATAGTGTAATCAGCATTAATTGACACTAATTAATTAACAGGATTTGTGGAGCGGCTGAAAAACACGAGAGAAAACTCGCGCCGCATCCAAATGAAACGTAATTTTCTGAATGCAACTGTTTATTGCGACTAAACCGAATTTGCAATTAAAAACGTGAATGTTTGTTCAAATAACGTAAAAGAATACGATAAAATTAATAAATAAATCCGGCGTTGTATTGTGTTTGGATTTAGATAAAATTGATGTTTTGTGTATTTCTTGTGAAATTCCCATCCCGGTGATATATCGACTCGCACAAACAAATTCGCATCCATTGACACATGTTAATCGATCACTTTGACACCTGCCTAATTGTTTATGTCTATCGTAGTGCTACTATTTACACATCGATCAATTCTCGTCTTTGTTTTGAGGAAATAAGCAAATGTAATGTCAAAATAAACTCAAAATTGATAGCTGTCAAAAGTTAAAATCTGCCAAATTAACTTTCTCAAAACTAATGTAGCATTTAAATTACATTATAGAACCATAGAAACTTTTGATGCAACTTATATAATATATAGTATAAATTAAATATAAAATTAAAAATACAAAATTACAAAATATACTAGCGTTTCAAGTGAATTATACATCTTCAGTTATTTTTTTAATCAAATTTAAGGATTTTATTAATTTTTTATGAACAATTTTTATTTTTTTATTAATGCTGTACTATTTTTTTTATAGATTTATGATTTATTTAATTTGTTCTGTATGTATATATTAATACTCAAAGCGTATGAAAAATCCGTTTCCGGTGTAAATAAAAAATAGTTCAAAACTAAAACTCACCGTACATATCAAGTCAAACTTGAGTGAAATATCCAAAGGCTTCCTGATTTATTGCAAATTTGCGTAAAATGAGAAGAAGAAGAAAAATTAAACACAACCAAAACGAAATTAGTATAACGAACTGAGAGATTTGGCTTGATCAAGTTGCAAAATATTGTTTTTTGTTTCGCGATTGGAACGAGACTGAATACGATCGACCTATCTTTCGATTCGTAATAATGGGATTTTATCAATTTATCGAATCCACCGTAGATAATACAAAGTTATCTCGCTTCAATCCGCCTATCTGTCAATAGATACGTCCTGCTCTCTCGCCCGTAGCAAAACTGCCATGCCCGTACGGCACGCGAACAATAAAGATAATACTACATGCGATTATCCTTCTTAATTATGCCAGACGAGAACTCGTAAACCCGGATTAATTGATGCGAGTGTAAACATCTTTGCACAAAATAAGTTGTTCGCATGCAAAAAAATAAATAAATAATTTAATCTACGCATAAACATGGTTATTAGATACACACGTTGGTAGATAATTGAAAATTTTCTATTAACTAACTGTTTAAAACATCAGTTTTGTCGTTTAAATCAGTACTCCGCAACTTATTTTCACCCACGGCACACCAAAGTTGTTTCTAGAATTCCACACCACACCAAAAGTTAAAATATATAGATATTTAATTGATACAAATTTCACAATAAATTTTCATTTTTAATTTTATAAGAATTCATACATAAAACACATAAAATAATGATTAATTAATGTGATACTTGCGCATGTTTCAATGAACACAAAAGTTATATATTTGACTCAAAACCTTTTATGCATGACCTCTTATCAATTAAAACAAAAGTTGAAAAACTTTGCTCACATGAATATATGGAAGTAGTAGTAGTCGGGAATGCGAGAATATTCTTTCTTAACGGAAATCGAAAAAACTACTGATGGAAGTTCGACAAAGTGAATTTTCAGCGTCCCGTCATGACTTAATTCTATAAATTGGTCCGTTTTCAATCATACTATGCTTGGTCCTTTCGTACATTTCTAAACATCCTTTTAGCAAGTTTTCCTGCGAAAGTTCGAATTTTTTTTAACCCCTATAATATATCGGAGTACCTCAATATATTCTCATTCCGATTTAGCATTTTTTATTAAGTTCATTCATATGCTCGAACATATCAGCCATGTATGCAAGTTTGGCTATCCAGTAATCATCATCGAGGTGCTGGTATAATTCGGGCATATTTTGATCTAAAAGAAATTCACGCACCTCGTAGAAAAGCTCAAACAATCTAGCCAAAACTTTTCCTCGGGATAACCAACGAACTTCAGTATAAAATAATAAGGATTCATATTCGGCTCCCATTTCTGCTCAAAGTATACCAAACATTTGCAAATGTAGGGTTCTCGATTTAATTATGCATAATGCATTCATTTATCGTGCTCCTCTGGAAAATTAATACTTCCTCTTGACCATTAATGCTTCTCGATGTATGCAACAGTATGTAAATAGTATTATCGAATTTTTTTGGACCGTTGAAAAATCATTTAGTTAGAATATTGTCTTATTTGACCGCGGTAGCACACCGGTTGCTGACCACTGGTTTAAATCAACATTGATTAAGGTTATTTTAGTTAATTTATATTTATCAGATGTCATTATTTATCGTTTGACATTTACAATTAAAAAACGTCACTTATATACTTATATCAATTTTGACATTTATCATTTGGCGATATTTGTACTTTTACATTTATTATCATAAAACGACAAATACATTTTGACATTTTGATGACATTTTGCGGTTAGAAAAATGATATTTCATATCAAAGTTTCCAGTTTTCAAAATTAGCAAATGTGATTAGCAGATGATTTTTGTTTAAAAACTACATTAATTAATTAACATTCAGTTATTTTTACATTATTTTTTATATCAGAACAAAGAGTTTTGGATATTAGCAGATGTGAATCCACTGCGAATTGCGTTATTTTGAATTCAAAGCAGAACCGAAACGGTCGGAGGCACTGCCTTCATTATAAGCGGTAACCTTTCGTATCGGAGAGCGTGCATTAATCGACACTGAAGATCCTGAATTCGTAACGATGTCGCGTCGCTGAAGTGTTGTGATAACCTTCATATATCTTGGCATCCTAGACCCAGATTCCTTATCTGTAGACACATACAAATGTCCAGTTTATGTTTGTCACTAACTTCCTCTGTTCCTTTGCGAATGCATGGATTAGATGGAGCATAAATTCCGAAGATTCTGATCACGTGCCGACGAATTGTTGGTCCCCCGCGACCAATATTTAAGTGAGTGTGTGTGTGTGTGAAAATTCATATTATAAAACCGAGAGATCGCAATCGCCTCGATAACACTCCGATAATAAAAATGAAAGGCTTTAAAAAATAACAATAATAATGAGAAGTTGCGATAAGTCCAATCGACAGATAATAGAGCCGCGATGAATTCTCTGTAATGCGAGGAGAGAAAGACACGTATTACAGGAATAAAGAACATTGTAAATGCAATACTTGAAATTTCAGTCCCACGTTGGTTGGTCAAGTCATGAAATTTATAATATTAAAATTACAAACCATATATTAAAGAAAAGTTAAGTAAAAGTTATAATTCTTTGGAGATGCTCGATTATAGGAATATTCAAAGGGTATGAACATCTAATTCCACAAAGGCGGTATTCACACACATGTTTATTTAAGCACATCACAGATAGTAAATAACGCAGAGAGAGAAACACAGGATAAATAGAGATTTTACAGTATATCGAGTACGAGACACAAGGGCCAAGACAAGAGATACAGAGAACCTTACCTTATTGAGACACGAGAGAAGAGCGTCAAAAGAGAGTGATTATAGATATGCTGCAGCTTAGGTGGTAGAACCCTTATCTAACTTTCCTGCAATGTCCACCTACGAGCTGGATTGGGGCGCATGGTTGGCGATTGGGGTTGATAAGTTGCAATAATTATACTTACCCAATTTTAAATTTAAACTTAAACTTTCTTCTTAAACTTACTTACTTACTTTGGTATTAAAATTTGCAATTCTTTTACTGCTGTAAGCAAGTTGACAAATAAAATATATAAAAGCAAGGACTTGGGACTGCGGATCACGAAAAATATCTTCAAAATAATACTCAATCGATTTCTATCGGAACAAGATCAATATCTATTATCGCAGACCCGGCAAAACACCTTAAACGACTCGAATAACTGGATTCTGTTATTATTTATCATATAACGGTTAATTAAACTGCCTGTTATAAAAATAGATGCAAACTGTGGAAAGATAATAAATAAAATACACAAAAAAGCGGGTAATTTCCGTTGAGGATGAATCAAATATTATTTTCGTGATTGACAATTATTGCGTTTTATACCATCAGTATTTATCTACCTATATATGTAATTTAATCAAAGGAATATAGAACTAAGATATTTTAAGCATGCAAAACTATATGTAATTAATTAAATTAAAGTTATTACAACTACGAAGGTAAAAATAGAAAATCTTTTCTTTTTGTCGAAGAATGTGATCATCGGTCGCACGTTGGAAGGTTGACGGGGAAGAAGGTGTTGAGCTCGATGAGGGATGCCAACGATAGGAAACCGATGTACATGAGTAGACACGTGAGGCCGACCTTCCAATCCAATCTGCAAACAAGAACAAATACAATTTAGAGAGAAACAAAATGTTTTATTATATTAATCTCAGAGAGCCGGGAGAATAAAACAGTGTAACAATTTCGAAGCGGAAATCGTATACAAAGTTGCACGATTGCGCTTGACCTTTACTACCGATCGATCAAATCTCGAAATGAAAATAAAATTATGCGAAACACTGTGAAAAAGTATGTAAGTTAATAATAATAGTAGTAGTATTAATAATGATGATGAACCCGGAGGGAATTTGCACTGACGATAAGAGCGATACGAAATTATTATCGCAAAAATATATTAGTGTAGAAATCGTCGAAAGATGGCGCATCCTAAAAAACGATTCGAATTGTTTAAGAAATTCATATGATTGAATAAGTACAATCAAAATAGATATATTTGTGATTATGATTTAGGGTAATTCCGATTTGTTAGTTAGAATAGTATAGTCTGCAAAACGGTGGCATGATCGATACTACTAGATAACATGATCACGAATAAGTTGAATCAGTTGACAATAAATCGAGACAGATAGCAAATTCGATTAGGATCGAGTGATCATGGATTTATATAAATAGATTGAGATTCAAATGTGATCGCTAGATGGCACTAGATAAAACTTACTTGAACTTGTTGAAGAGTAAACTTAAGTAGAACATGACGAGCGTGGATAGGAGCGAGAGGGCGCTGTAGGTCAGCCCACCCGAGTTAATATCGATGACGTGATCTCCTGCCACTTTGGGATAGAACCAGGTCTTCACGAGCCATGGCAGACCCAAGCAGAGCAGAATATCGAAAGTATTAGATCCTATCGAGCTGCTCAGACCCATGGATCCATGACCTAAAGAGAAAAAAAAACCTGTTAAAAGCATTCCGTAAAGTGATACGCGACCCTTTTCTCAGGCAGAAACAAAACAAGTCCACTTTCCCTTTCATAACTCTCGACGTCGCGGTCGTATTTTTTTTGTAACCCTCGCCCGGCTTGATGTAATTTTATATGCCGTCGAACCAATCGATCAATCAATCAATTTATTATATTACAATGACACGTCAAATATTACATTTTTCGCCCAACAATACACCGCTTTCTGTTCATTAAAATCGTTGCAAACCTTCCCAAAAATAGGGGATGCCACGATTAATCGCGTGTTCCGGATTAATTTCAAATTAATTTTGGAAATCCATTATTCACGTCCATCAAAAATAAAACTCGTACGTTGATTAAGTTGCCTAACTCACCCTGATTAGTGACGATGACGCTGGACACAGCTTCCGGCACGCTCGTTCCGGCCGCCAGAAACGTCAATCCCATAACCGAATCCGGTATATTCAATGTATCGCCTGCAAAATTTAACGGGCGGTTAAAATTTCTGGATGCATCAATTTTTCCGTTAATTACCTACGACTGTGATCAGCCATGCTACCATGTAAGATGTGCTGCCTATCCAAAAGATGCACATTATGAAAGTCAGTACGTACAGCCTGGGGTACTTCCGACAATCGGGCGTTGTTATGCTGAGCACGAACGAAATAGGCCAAGAAACCAACCAAAACATCTGCCCCAAAATAGTATAACTGCTTGGCCATTCCCACAACTTGGTCGATTCTTCTGTTATTTTTTAATAAAAATTAATACCATCTCAAATTTACTACTATTTACGCACCGAAATCTTCACAATCTTTCAAAGTCAATTCAGTGTCGAACACATCTTCGATGCTAATAGAATTCCCGTTCGTCTTGCAACAGTTTCCGTTCTCCTTCAGAAGTGGTCGAGTCTCACTCATGACCTCCTTGAAATGATTCCTGCGTTTCCTGCAACATCTCGCTATCCTATGGATGGTATTGATGACTTTATCGTTGAAGCACATCACTGTAAAATAAATAAACAAATATCTAAGTAACTCAACTCTAAATATAATTAATATCTTACTTAGAATATAAAAGATGTAGGCTGATACCAGCATTGCAGCCTCCCAACACTCGATTTGTCCATCTCTCAGTACGCCGATCAACATCAGAACGGCCACTCCGTACATCAAGCTGTCCCTGGTTATCGGCCACCATTCCAATTGCAACACCTACAAACAAACTACATATTACCAACATTGCGCTGAATATTACTGTCAATTTTGATCTCTCCAGGATTAAGTCAAAGAACATTTGATTTGTCTTGTTTTAATTACCATATTGGCGAAAAGGCCGCAGCACGCGGGAACCGCGAGGACGTTGAAGACGGCTGAACCGACAATCGTTCCAACCCCAATATCGCCTTCGGTGATGAACGTTCCGACGCAGTTTATGAAGAGCTCAGGACTGGAACTCGCTGTCGCCATGAAAGTCGCTCCAGCTATGTCTTCCTTCAGCTTCAAATCTGAACAAAACAAACCATTATGACAACTGTTTAAAATGTTATGATGACAGTCACAGTCATTCCAGATCTTGTAAAAAAAAACTAACAATGTAATTATGACAATTCATCAAATATTTATATCATATTTACTATAATGGTTGCTAATGAAAAACTAAAATTATTTATAAAATTTACTGATTCGTAATCATTATGGAACATAACAAAAGAGTATATTAAACATAATAATAATTATAATATGACACTTGATAAATGACATCTAAATGTCAAATTTAGTTGATGATAAAAATAAAAAAACTAGAATGTATGTTCAAATTGTTCTTAAACATGGAGAATTCAAAAAATACCTTATACTACATTTTGAACTTTCATCTGGAAACTTATCTTTAACACATTTAATTATTATAAAAGATGTGCTTCAGAAAAGTGGGAAAGAACGCAATACTAGATAAACGAAAGATGGAAATTCCTTGGTCCGAACGAGATAAGGGCATTGCTCATCTTTGGAATGCATTTAAGAAACTTACTATCGCATAATTTCTTTATAGCTGGGACAAAATAGTCATCACAAACGATAGCCAAAAGTATGAAGAGGTAACATGCAAGGCAAGCGTGAAGTATGGCCCATCCGCTCTGCCTCTGATTCCTCGTAAATCCATCATCAGGAAACTCGTTTATTGCGGCCGGCGTGCAGTTGATGCCTTCCACCAAATTTAGGAGATTCCTTGAATTGTACTTCTCTACGGAACAGAAGAAAAGAAATCAAAACATGTCAAAGCAAACGGCCATAAGTTGATATTTTCAAATTATACAAAAAAAATACATCTTAAGTTGATAAATAATAATTAATAAAGCACAGACAAGAATGTATCATTTAAAATATGATTGTTGGCAGGTTGTAGTAGCAGTTTGTATAACTATTCATTTTATTTTACAATATCAAAATAAAGAAGTTTAGGTTATTTTATGTTAAGTTATTTTATATAATAAACACAATATATTGCAAATATATTAAGTTGAAAGTATTAGGTAAATTATTTGACTGGTAAATGTGTACATTTGCTATTTTAAATATCTGAAGAGTTTATGACTAATACAAACATTAGAAACATTTATTTTAAAAAAATAACGATTTCAATGTAATTGGTAATATTTTGTTTAAAACGTTTCCAAGGTGTTTACTAAAATTATAGATAAAAATAAATACCGCCATTATACAAATTACAATGGAATGATTAAACCAGGCGCGGAACTTCAAATCTTTGTATTCCGTGAAAAATATAAAGGGAATCTCCCTATATCTCAGACCGCCAAATTAAGAATTTTGTAAACCCTAGACACCAGTTACTTTTATTATTTGAGAATCATAAACAACTTTAGTTACGGTGCATTGTGAATTAAACTATATAATTTTAAATAATACGAGATGTCATTTGAATGAAGTAAGTTATCCAGTTACAATTTCATAACAAATGTCAAATTACAATAAAATTATATTGCTTTTGTTTATTTACTTATTAATAGGATAGATTCATTGGTTTTAAGAATATTTTCAACTTTAAACCAGGGTTTCAGATCCTTATTGCAGCACGGTCAAACATATTGTTAAGAATTTTTCCACCACTTTGACACAAGGTGAAAGCTGTCATTTCGCAACCATTAAAAATTTAACAATTTTGGGTCTCGAAACAATAAAAAAAATTATATAAGAATTTAATCTAACTAATAATTTATTGCATTCTCAGTAAATAATTAGCATTAATATGCACATAAACAAATATATATGTCACGAGTTCAAGTAGATGTCTTTTGTCATCTGTTATTTTATGATATTATGATATAATAACAATAAAATAAATGCAATATTGTTAACAAATATTAGAAAGTAAAGATTTATATATAAACATTGGGCAGCAGTTTAATTTTTGTTATTGTATTGAGTTTGTATTAAAGGATATAAAATATGACTATCACTAGTTTGCTATATAAATGACATATTTTTATTAAAAAATTATTACAAAATGGAAAATAAAGTTTAAATTGAGATATGTAGCAATAATATAATAAAATGACGTCAATCGTTAAAACCGATAAAACCCGCACGTAAATTTTGAGTAGATTTATCGTAACAACAATAATTAGCCCCCGTAGATTATCAAATATTTCTCTCCGAACGAACAATATTCGAACTGGAAGTGAGTCATGCAATTTGACCAATTATCGGCGCATTAATTGGGATCCAATTTTGTTTACCATTTCGAGCGGAGCGTTCTTGTTTTTATTTTGATTCTAGTATAAATTTAGACTGGAGGCCATTTCAAAGATGATCATTCTGCAAACTGACCTTATTCTTTGATGATCATTGAAGAGAAAAAAAAGTTAATAATGTCGAGTTAATGACACCACGAAGCAGGCAGGCACGTGCTGCTTCAGCATTTGTTTTTTTTTTTTTTCAAGAGGTGGAAAATTTCCCGTCTGGTAATTGTAATCAATTTGTCAATATTTACTTTACATAATGTTTATTTGTGTGCTCGGTGTGCTTTAATCGCATGTTTGTTTTCAGTGTAAATAAATGCAGTACCGAGTAGTTACATCCAATATGTAACCTTAATTGTTTTACTATTAATATTTTCAACTTTTCAATGAAACTGTTTAAGCAATACTGCATTTAATTTGCAAAGTCTAACAATTTCTTATGCAAGTTACACAACAAGTATCAAATATAACAAATATTTTGAAAGATTGAATAAACTTACAACTTGAAACTTTGAATTAAATAAAGCTTGAACTTGATATAGGCAAGTGCGAAATACTATAATCATCTTCTTAAGCGTAAACTTAAAATCAGTAACTTTTAGTTGAGCTTGAGTTAGTTAGGTACACACTACCACGTTTTATTTGCCATCTCCAGAGTAACTACTTACACAAATTATTTGTCAAGTACCAAATTTACCATCTTTATTAGAGAGACGACAAAAGTTAGTTAAGTATAGAATTAAACTTGTTTTACCAATGTTCTTCTCGTGGATCGTCTTGCCGCTGCTCAAACCGCCGATGATGACGTAAGTCATCGTGATCGTAACAACTGCGATGATCTTCAACACCACAGCCACCTTATATTTCTTAGTCCGTAACAACATTTTGCTCATATTATTTGTTAGTTTTTGATTCGATGTCAAGAAATCGAGCTCATTAACGCGCACCACCAGCCTCCCAGGTATGAAATTTTGGACCAAATCTTTACGCGCAGATCTCACACCCTCGACTCGGAGAAAAAGACGACACCCAGTGTGTTTTTTTTTTCGTTTTTTAAGACGAATCAACGATGTCGCACTGATGCTTGGTCAGCTTCGAATGGATCTTGTTTATTAATCCGCTTCGATTCCTTTTTCTTATCTCGCGAAACGCGACGATATCGCACTTCACCTATCCCTCCCCACCATTCGAATCAATCGAATACATTTAATGTAATTTATTTGTTGTTTCATCCTTCTTCTTCCTCTTTCACTACTTGAACTTCTGCTAATTTTTCTTTTTTTTTGCGTTATCGCGTGCTTCAGGAATTGTTTTTACAAACGAGCCGATAAATTGATACAAAAAGTTTTTTTTTTTTTAATTATTACAATTCAGAAATTAATGCACACTTGTATATGCATATGGATAAATTTAGAAACAAAATTTAATATATTCAACGGAAATTTTTGAATTGTGGAAGTTTCCACAATATTATAACCTCCTCATTTGTTTTAAAGCATACTATGAATATGAGCAATTTTAACATTATTGTTTAATTATCTGAATTATAATTTTTTTTCGGAAACCGAAAATGAATGGTGGTAGCAATGTAAAATAGTAACACTTCTTTTATGACATTTATTTGTCGATGAAATATACTAAAATATATATCAATGAAATTCTAGAATCTATTCTATAAAATTATTGAATATAAATGATTTCACTTGAAATACAAAATTGGTTCATCAAAACTATTGATTTTAATTGAATTTGGTTATAATCTCTTTATGAGATGGTTGAAGAAATGAATGAAAAGTGAACATTTTCAGAGTTAGTGGTGAAAAATTCAATTTCTTGCGTGGAAAAAAGATGAGGCCGTGGCTTCCAGCAGTGGATGGTCAAACGTACGTACGTAGATTTGCAATTGTAGCAGAGCCTAATTGAATGAAACGAACGAGTCGAGAGTGCAATTAGCGTACGCGTACCGACGATCTGGATGAGATTCAGGCGACGAAGCGAAGTTGGACGACGGCACATGGCACCAGACACCGTACACGGCACGCCACTGTCCAACAATACACCACCATCACCAACGAAGAATAAGTAGTACAACTAGAACAAGATCAAGCAGATTACAAGAACAGCATCACCTGATTACTTTACCTGACACTTAACGTCCAGTCGTGTGTCAAATTTTCACGTTTAATTGGGCATCGTTCTAGGCCTCAACGGAGAGAGGAAGTGTATATGAGTGTGTGTGTACGTGCGAAGAGTAGATACCAGCGAGTAGGAAAAGGACATCAACGTTTTTCTTTTGTTTCCTAAAGTGAATTGATGAATGTAAGTTGATGTATGTGTGTGTGTATGAGAGTCGAGTGTAAGTTGATGTGTGTGTGTATGTGTTTGTGAGCGAGTGAGTGAGTTTAGTTAAGTGTCCAATATTGTATTGTATTATTGTCCAGTGTTGTTGGCTGTGGTGGAAGGGGTGGCACTGAAATCAGTAAGTGGTCTGTTCTACGGACATCAACATGGACTTCGAAACTTTGGCAGGAGGTAAACCTAGTTACTACTATAAACACTTGTAATCCCAACTTCTCTTTCGCCTTCCGCCGCAAACAATCACCAAGAAAAAAACCCTTATAAATCTGCACAATTCTTCAGCTCATCCATCTACCCCCTAACTAAATTGTAAATACGATGCACGCAAAAAAAAACGTTGATCATCCTCGTTGAATCCTCGTGAGGACGTGTACCGAAAGAAGTGCACCACCACACACTCTCGCACTCTTAACACGCACCATCCATTAACAAGCCTAAAGTGGATGATGATTCGCTCGTCGATGCTCCTCTCTGCTCTTAATATCAATCTCTCTTATTTCTCTCCGTCGCTCATCCAGATGCCCAGAATTATCCTGATCCTACACGATTTCCTTCCGAGGGACACGTGAATCAAACAAAAATATACAAAGCTTGCATGAGGCAGCCTTGATCGTGTGATGCAACAACGCCGATTTCCGGTTTCGATTCTGTTTTGTTTGCTTTTGTTTCCCGAATTTGTTTCACATCCAATTCGATCCGATTCGACTCGGTTCCGTTGTTCCGCAATTGTTATCTCAAAAATCTCTCTCTCTCTTTAACTCTTCGCATTTTCGCATTTGAGTGTTGCGGTGGTGGTGAACCTCCTCAACTTATTCGGCGTTATTATTTAATTAACGTGCAAACGGAACCGACAAATTATGTTTAAGCTCTCTTAAACGATGTCCCTCTTCTTTTCTTATTTCCTTCAACTTTTCTTTCCTTTCATTTCCCCCATTTCGTGTTACATTCTGTTTTTTTATCTATTATTTATTTTTGTGTGTGAACGTGTGGTACGTACATGTAGTATATGTACGCCAGATATGCAGGAGAGGAACGCGCTAGGGAAGAGAAGAGACTATTGTTATATAATTATGATCTTTTATTAGGAAATTTGTGAGGGCTCACTTAGCTCAACGACATGACAAAAGTCATTTAGATCATTACGTGTATTCCTCCTAGCGGCACAATCGCACATATACGGACCTCTACGAACCCATCAAAAACTCACATAACATTAAACCTCATTCACAATTTTTTGATAATCGTATAATAGATAAAAAATTGATACAATTCACCAAATTATAAATAATTACACCAAAATGTTGAATTACGAATTATTCATTAAAAAAATATATAAATTTACATTTATCTTCAGCAAAAATATTCTTTTATTTGTAAGATTTCCTTAGATATATACAGATTGACAATGTTAATCGAATATTTAAAAAAAATCGAAAAAAAATGTTATGCCAATATTGGATTTATTGTTATAGATGTGCTTATATATTATAATAATAATAAACCTATGTTACCTTTAAATTTCGATCCGTCTGTAGTAAATGAGAAAAAAGTTGGAAGTTGAAATTGCGTACCAACCAATTGCATTTAAGTGTTGTTAACAACAATACAATTCATATTCTAATGTCAATTTAACTTTAACGTGTCCCAGACGTCTATAGTTTAATTTAGAATTTTTAAATAATTACGGTAAAAATAATAACTAGTAATGTTTCAAATCTGTAAAATTGTGAAGAAAAAAATAATAATTCTTACGGTAAACTCATAAGTATTTTTTAACAAAAGTGTAGCCAGTAGTTCAAGCAAACGTTCTTAAGTTATATGAAAAAAATGTTTGTCAGAAAGTAAGGAAGAATTAAATTGGATAATAATATAAAGCTATTTAATGCAAATCATAGGATCAACGCTATGGTTAAAAAAAAACGTAAAGTTCTTTATTCATTCCTACAAGTACTGAATAATGACTTTTTGGAATGATATTAAAAGAAATTATTTACTAATGAAACAATTCAATGCTAAAGGAATTAATTAATTTCCTTTTTTTTCCTTACCTTACTTATATTTTATTCGTATTAATATTATTTTATTAATTTCAAGTAAACATTCTGACTTTAATATTAACTTCGAAGCTTACAATTGCATAACGTCAAATTTGAGGCATTTATATTGAAAACTAAAACTTGAGAATCTTAAATTGTGCATCGAAGATAATATTTTAAATATCCGTGAATGTAAGTTTTTTTTACTAGTAACATTGAGATGTATATTTAAGTTATATACAGTCGGTAGGAGGAATGCAATTTGCAGGTTTCGTGTGAAATTCAATTTCGTCCAAATTTACTAACGACCGTGCAATTGACGGATTGACACTTTCGGCATTCTTTCCTTCACTCAACTTCAGTAAGCTTTCGTGGCGGCGCCAAAAGGGTGATAGAAACGGTAGTGAAAAGTGAAAAGCAATAAATGCGATAAAAAACGTAAATAAATAAGCATTACAACATATAGTAAATCGATGTCGATAGAAGTGTCCACAGCGCCATGTACACCAAAGGTATCAAGTGCACGATGTTGTTTATTAAACAAAGGTCGCGTATCATATCTTAGCAACGCTAAACAACGTTACTTAGCAATATTAATTATCGAAACAATGGAAACGATTTTTTCAATTGGAATTACTATTTTTTTCCCTCGGAACTCGGGAATTGTAAATTCTAATGTCCAGTTGCAATTACAATTATATACGTTATTGCGAGGTCTCCTAATGAACGTTTCATACTTGCCGCTTTGCTCTTCACTTAATCTTTCTCTTTCCGTCTCCTTCTCTAACATTGTGTTTGCGTTGCGTTATTTTGCTTGTAATTAGGTTAAAATTACGGGGCGCCCTGTGATGTCGTTCCGCGCGGCTTCCGGTCCCTCGTAAGACGATCTCCGGGGCCCCCGGAAGTTGCGTCACGACGACGTCTTACTAACCGCCTTCTCGTTGCGTAATTGATGAGCTGTTCTCTCTTCCCCCTATTCTGGATGGGAAGCAATAGCCATCCACACAGTCCAACAAATCCTATTCTCATATCTCGTCTCGAACATTTGTTTACTTTTACGCCATTCGTAAATACACGGAGTTACGCAACTATTTGGGATCGATGGTGGAGACTTCCAATGACACGAATTCAACAACAAACAACAACAAATGGATAATGCAATGCGTTACCAGATTCCAGATTTAAATAATTCAATGATTAATTTAGAGCTCACTGTGTTTAATTCTTTTCAAGACTCAACTCGCTTAAAACCATTATTTCTCATCTTCTCAGAATTAAATTATATGATATCTCATAAAATATATTTATGAATTGGATTCTACTAAAATCTATTTATTAAAGAAGTTTGTCAAACTTGTCAACATCAAATTAACAAAAGCAAATACTAAAGATAACTACTTTATTGCATAGTTTTTAGTATATTAATATATAAATCAATTATTACTGCTGATTAAATAAAGTTATATATGAATCACTAAGTAAATGTGTTGAGAAATAAAATTGTATTTTGTTGTTGTTGATAGGTCCAAACTGCACGCTTCCTGCGATCGACGACTTCCCCAGAGACTTATTCACAGAAGCTGAGAGGCAAGACGGTGCCGTTGCCATACACATCCTCGTCTCGTTATACCTGTTCGTTGCGCTGGCCGTCGTTTGCGATAAATTCTTTGTACCTGCAGTCGAAAAAATATGCCACGGTTCGTATTAAATCCCATAAAACAAAAGATATAAAAACCATAGATATATCCTCATCGTGTCTTTTTTTTAAATTTATTTTCTGTTCTCGTTTCATCACCTAAAGCCCTAAACATGTCCAGCGATGTGGCGGGCGCCACCTTCATGGCGGCGGCGACCTCAGCCCCCGAGCTCTTCGTCAACGTCATCGGCACCTTCATCACCGAGGGGGACATCGGCGTCGGCACCATCGTTGGTTCCGCCGTCTTCAACATCCTAGCTGTGGCCGCTTGTTGCGGCATCGGCGCCGGAATGGTAAGATTCCAAATTGTAGACAACCAACCGCATTTATAACATATTGTTGATATCCATAAAAATTGAAACTAAACCTCAGCAATCTATATTAATTATTAGGTTTGTATGCTACCTAATAATTTATATCGAAATGAACAAAATGTATTCCAGTCCGGTTCTGTTCAATCACAGTTCACAACTGATATATTTGTAGTTAAAATGAACTACAAATATATCATTTTACTTAACACATTATCCATAATACCAAACAATATGCACGTACGCGTTAGTACCATATGTACTTACTTAAATTACATTGCATGTAAGGTATTTGATTATATATCTAAAAAATAAACTGAAGTATGTCATTGCATTTAGTTCACTGAAATTTAATTCGACTGCACAATGCTCACTCTGGTCTGGCCCTGTACAATTGATTCCTCTTCTAAAGATGCTTGGTGAACTGATGGTTGTTAACTTTATCCCATTCATTATAATGTTACATTTAATATTTCTTCTTCATTAATTTAGATTCTATGTTAAAGCTCGTTGACCTTAATTCCTCGACGCACAATGTGCTTGCTTCTTTAATAATTTCATCGTCTTCGATTGTTAATTGATTAATTGATTGACCAACTTTAATTCCATCTACATTAAAAAATGAGACAACTACAATTATTTTCATTCTCACTTTCGTTTTTCCTTAGTGTTCTTTAATTCCTTGGAAAATTAAATCATCACTTACCACAACTATGTATAATTTTAAATTCTTCAAGTTTTATTTAGCACGCTTCAGGTGGTTTCATTTTACGTTCGTGGCAATAATATAAATGCATGCTTAACATGAAACTATGGAAATATATATAATTGTTGGCGAATTGTAATTCAAAGAGCGCCGCTTGGCTGCTTGTAATGTATAACAAATGTACATGGAAATGTATTAATGTAATGAAATCTGTTACAAACTATGTCTTCTTGCTGATTGTTTGGGTGCGTGTAGTGCGGAGTTCAGGTTGTGCCGTTGGATTGGTGGCCCTTGACGAGGGACTGCTTAGCATACGGGATCACCGTTTCTATACTGATCTGCATAATACACGACGAGAGGGTCGAATGGTACGAGGCCCTCTGTCTGGTCCTCCTCTACACGGTCTACATTCTGATCATGTACTTCGATAAGTCGATCCAGAAGTGCGCCAGAGGTAAGAAACCCTTGTATATATCAAAAACTTTGCTTGACAATGCGCAAATTGCAAATTGCGCTTTGTTTCTAAAGGAAGCGTCGAGCAGGCTAGAAGACATTCCAAGAAATCCGAAGAGGCTTCCACGGAGAACAACAGCACCGCTCATTCAGTTGGTGAGTTTACTGTTAGCGTAGCTAGGAGAGAAAAAGGAAAAACGAACGTCGCTTTGTTGCCAGAGGCTGCTGAGGGTCGGCTAGACTTGAGGGCGGTCCACGAAGACGGCGAAAAGAAGATTGACGACAGCAATATCGAGTATATCGATAATGAGAAATTGGAACAGGCGTTACCGCCTACGCCACCATCACCTCCTGAAGATGATCACGAAGTGTTGCCGCAACAACCACCTCCCCATCTCAATGGATCCGTTAAGGTGCACATAGATGAGAAGCAACCGGAAAAGAAGGAGGAGGACACAGGTCATAGTTTGTGGAAGTGGCCCTCGGGTCGAGGGAAATTTACGCAGGTTTTTGTTATTCTTCCGGTTTCATGCAAATCTTGTACGACATATGATTCATTGCTTTTCAGATGACATGGATCTTGACATGGCCCATACACTTGGTCTTCTTGTTTACGATTCCCGATTGCGAGAAACCGCGCTTCAAAAAATGGTTTCCGCTCACCTTCATGATGTGCATCGTGTGGATTGGATCGCTCTCGTACGTCGTCGCCTGGATGATCACCATCATCGGCGACACCCTGAAAATACCTGATTCAGTTATGGGCATCACCTTCCTGGCGGCCGGCACCAGCGTTCCGGAGGCAGTCTCCAGCGTCATCGTATCTAAACAAGGTATGTAATCTAACAAACATCGCATCCAGATAGTCTTACAACAATGCATTTTCAGGTCATGGATCTATGGGTATCAGCAACTCCATCGGCTCGAACACCTTTGACATCCTGCTGTGCCTGGGGCTGCCCTGGTTTATCAAAGCCACCTTCATGCCGACGTTACCGGGCAAACGATGGGTAACAAACATCCTTAGTGGTCTATTTCCAGCACTTCAATTTGCATACTTCTTTCCAGGTGGGCATAAATTCCGCGGGCATCGAGTACAGCGCCATCTCGCTGCTCTCATCTCTTCTACTCCTCTATCTGGTCTTTTGGCTGAACAAGTTCAAGCTGGACAAGAAGGTCGGCAGAATCTGCCTGTTAATGTACGCTGTGTTCCTAATCCTTGCGAGCCTAATAGAATTAAACGCGTTTTTCACAGTGAACTTACCCACTTGCGGCCGATGAACCCGACTTTAAAACCAAACAAAAAAAGTCAAAAATTCAAAACAAAATCAAAAAAAAATATAATTAAACTTCTCTTCTCTAAATACGCGCTCTCTATCTCTTTCCTTAAATTTTCAAACCACATCAGTTTTCCAAATCACCTGAATAAGAAAATTCACAAACAATACAAACCCCCACCTCTCGAAATTAAAAAACAAAACATAATTAAGTGCCATTGCAAGATCTCACATTTCGTTGAAGTTTTGGGCCAAAATAGGAAAATTATTCTTTTAAAACAAAATCATTGCATTTCAATTGTATTCACTCTATGTCTCTATCGGTCTTCCCTGAGTGTATGTCTGCGTGCGTGCGTGTTTATCATATACCGTAGGAAATAAGAAAGTTGTTTGTTTTTTTTTAATCAGAAACGAGGAAAAATTTGTACATAGAATTTATTATTTAATTCTATTTTATAATTTACTTCTTATGTTTTAAATTAATGATAAGAATAATATTGATGATGATGACGATTGTAATTTATGAATCGCGAATAGCCTAAGATAGATTGCATTCTTTCGTATCCACTGTAGGCAATATTCGCAACAACTTAATGTCGAAAGAGTTGCCTATCGAAAGTTGCAGCATAATTCAAATCTCTGAACTTCTTTGTATACATTAGAAACGATGTATTTATTGTCAAATTAGATTCTACTATGTTTAAGCATTATTATCAGAATATTGTTTTATTATAAAATGAAAAAAAAATATCATAAAGTAACATTTCATAAAATAAACGGTAACCGATGGTAACTGTAAATTAATCTTTAATAAATAACAAAATATATTATATTGATGCATCAAGCTACTTATTTATGTGAATTGAATTTAAAAATATTCATTTATTTCGTATTCCACGTTATTCCACATATAATCAGTTATATAGACAGAAGATAATCTTTATTCTATATTAAATTGTCATGGATAACTATATAAATTTTTTAAAAATACTTTTTATTCTGAAGCAAAAGATTCATAATTATTATTATATTATTGGTATTGTTGTACAGTTGAATTTAAATCATACATAATTTTATTCCATGATAAAAATATACAGACGATAGTCTGTATCGTATACGAAAGGTGAAAGGTTTAAATATCAGCAAAAAGCCTTTGATTACAAAAATAAGAATACAAGTATAATATGAATATATTCTGTAACTCGAAAAGTCTGAGTCGCCAAAGTTATTAAAAGAGATTGCATAATAAATTTGTGTAGAGGGCAAATAATTTTACGTTGGTATTACTAAGAATATAATATTAGCAGCGACATCCGTAGTCGTTGGTGAAGTCAGGTATGTATGTCGATTGATGTTGTCGATGTTGGTGGGTGGTAGTAATTATGGTGTAGTGTGAAGATTGTCGTAGTAGATAAAGCGCGACGTATCTATTTTCGACAACGAAGGTGACTTTTGGAAGTTCAATCAATGCCCTACATTTTGGTTCGCGGCAATTTGGCGTCTTACCGCACCTCGACACCGTGGAGAGTCCTAGTTTCCGGTTTGAAGGCGAATGACATCGACCAGTTGAGGCGGTTCCCATCAGGTGGTTTATGCGACGATTGGACCATCGAGTACATGCAACATCCTACTGTCATCCTCACGGCCCTCGAAGTGTTAGGGTACAAGGTTGTCACCTCCAGCAGCTCAGGCTTCCCGAAGCATCAGGAAGATTTCGAATATCACATGTGGACTATGCAAAAGGACTTCTCCGAACCGGATCCAGAGCACTCCGCCGCTTCTCCAACCGGAAGAATCGCATAAGGCAACGAAGGAAGAAAAAAGAATGGAAATACCGGCCACCCTATTGATGACCAGCGGTACGTACGTGTACGTGGCAGTCAAGGGCTCCGTGCATTCCTCAACCAGTCAAGCCTACGGATTGGACAAAGATGAAGAGACGGCTCTTGCAAAGAAGTACACGAATCTCTGTGAACCGGTGGTGAACGGTGTTTTGGTGAAGGCGTCGCCAGTCGAGCTGATCAACGCATTAGGAGAGTTGGGATACAAAGTGGTCACTCAATCCGGCGAATCAGAGATCGTCTGGACGATGCAACGCGAGGTCTAAAAACTGAGCATCCAGCAAACAAAAATAATAACAATGTCGAACTGTCATGACTGTCAGTGTCATCATGCCGTTAGCGGCGTTCAACAAACTCTGGATGAGCTGGAGTTCGAACGTGGTATTTGGGCTGCGGCCCACTGCGGGGACTTGGACAGGGTTGAACAGTTGGTTAAGTTTAAAGGTGAATGTGTAGACAGACCTGATAAAGCCGGGTACACGGCCTTGCATTATGCGGCGCGAGCGGGTCACTTGGAAGTCTGCAAGTTCCTCCTAAAGCACGGGGCTTTCGTTGATGCCACAACCAGGGCCGGCCTTGCGACTGCACTTCACAGAGCTGCCAGCACAGGTTGGTGATACAACCTAGACCACCCCCCACCACCCCTAAATAAACCAACCACCCACCACTGATCAACGAACCAACCAACCAATAAATTACATTAATTACAGGTAAATTGGATGTGGTCCGATTGTTGATAGCGCACAAGGCAAATGCGCGTCTCCAGGACGCTGACGGAAAAACGGCCCTGCATCGAGCCGCCGAAAAGCAAAACGGCAACATCTACCAAGAAATCTTATCGTATGCGCCCAATCTAAGCGACGTTCGAGATAACAAATCCAAACTCGCTTCAGATTACTTACACTGAACTAATCCAATTTAGAAAGTATCCGCTTCTTAAACTCTTATTACTAACAAGTGATCACCTCCTCCCCGCCCAAAAAAAGGAAATTTAAATCCTAATTTTTTGAAGAAAGAAAAACACTAATCTTAATGTTTCAATAACTTCTTTATTATTAACCTATTTTCATTAAATAAATTGTATTTCTTATTTGTAATTATTTATATAATAATTATATATATATACTAATGCTATATATATATAATATATTTTCAAAGTAATTTCTCTTTTTAATTTCGAAGGCTCATTAAAATGTTGTAAAAAGTTATTGCAAATTGATTATCCTTACATTTCCTTTCATTCAATGTAATATTATTATTACGAATTATCGCGGTTACCGGAAGAAAACAAAACTAAAAATAAAGTTTACATGTAACCTAAAGAGACTTAAGGATTGAGAAATAGATAAATTAGGGTTTTGTCACATGTAAACTAAATTATGTGAACCATTTCTGTTGCTTCTGATTACACACAAAACAATAGTACGAAAAAAGTCTTTGAGGTTTTATCTTGTTGTTCCTTTCTTTTTTGCATGTGTTTTAAAATTATTTTAAAAACGGTACTATTTCATCTCCTTGGTGTAGGCGTCAAGCTCTGCGTCTAACTGTTCCGCAGTTGGGGGCGCTCCTGGTTTCTTCGTATTCCTGGGATTGCGACCTCCACCGCCGCGTCCTACTCATGAAGAAAGATTTGATAATAAGCTTATTTCTTAATTGAATATTTTTGTTTCATTACCTCTCGTTGGCCTGCTCTTGGGTCCTCCTCTCCTTGGGCTACCACCTCTATTATTGCTGCTGAACTTTCTCTCCATGCCTATGGGTCCAGTTGGTCCACCTCCCATGATTCTGCCACTCCTCAGCACTGACTGGATCTCTGATGTGGTGATCTGTATGTTCATAGCGCGTCCATCCAATGGGACTCCGTTGTACTGTTTCATTGCCTTGATGGCATCCATCTTCCTCTCAAAAATTACATCAGCTGTTCCCAGCGACCGCCCTGAGCGATCATAATGCACGGCGGCATTTTTCAGCGGTCCGAACTCTGCAAACAGCTCTTGGATGTCAGAGTCTGAGACCCCAAAGTCCAAATTGGAGACCATCAGTTTAGTTGGCCCCATGCTGGATTGCACAGCTGCCCTGACAGCCGCCAGTTTCCTCGGGCCATAGCCCTCAAACAAATCGTGCTTCCAAGCACTGTTAACATCTCCCTGGGGACAGAACAATTCAGACTTCAAAAATGCGCTCCGCACACTTGGCACACGCAACACTAAATATTATTTTTATACTGATCATCAACACTATTTCTGGGTTATTTATCACACGCAGACTTTCCACCACTTCGCCACTGCCGCATCATTATCATCATCGATAACAACATTATCAACAACTGCCCCCGTTGCATCATCGGTGTTCCGGGATATGATATAACGTATTTCTGCACGTGTGTCTGGGAAGATTGAGGAGATTTTTACCCTGATGTATGGCCTGGCGACGCCGCCCCGATTGCGCCCCCTTTGAACGCCGCCCCTCAATTGTCCACCGCCGCCTCCTCTGCTGAATTGGGCGCCTCCTCTTCCGCCGCCCCTGGTACTTCCTCGTGAGACTCCGCGGCCGCCCCGCTTGCCGCCACCACGGCCTCTTCCGCCACCGCTCGGTTTTCCAGTCTTGATTATATCATCCAAACTCATATCCATCTTGTCAACCATATTTTCAATCCAACCACACTCACTCACTTAGCAGAAAAATTAATAAAACAATATATCGCAGCAACAAACTGAAGCCCAAAATAGAAATGGCGGCTAATGACGCCAACCAGAATCGTTGCCAACGTAAAGACACCGAACACACCACATTAAAGACTTCTTCGCAGAGGTACCAACGTAACTAAAATTAAAATGAACATATAGGAACACACGAATATCACATGAAATTGCAGATTTATTTGCTTTGGTCCTTATGATCTAATATGTAGAGAAGCATTTTGCTCTGGTCGATAGCATCATTCGAACCCAAGTATGCATTATCACCTGAAAATAACAACAGTGGATTTAATAAATTGCAACATTGCGCAACGACAAATATAAACTTTTCATTTGCTACTTTCCAAATACCAAAAGGTAGACGTAACTCAAGTAATCATAACCGAATATAAAATTGATGATTTCAGACTCCTCCAACGAGGTCACAGATCGATTACGATTGGTTGATCAATTTATTTTCACATAATAGTTGAAGCGAGTCTACCTTTTGTATCAAAATTTAAATAAAACGACCAAAACTTAAAATGAGAATTTCAACATGAATTTACCTAATAAATTTTGTTCTAGGCTGTCCAGCTCCGGCATCGAGAGGGTGGCGTTGCTCCGTATGTTCTTCTCGAATTCCATCTCGAGACTGTTAAAGTCCAATACGCCATCGAGATTCTTTGGGCCACCTGGAATAAGATTGGTATCGTACCCGTCCCCGATGTACCGCTCTAAATTGCTGTCGATGTCGTGCAGTACGTCGTCATCGTCCTTTGAACCCTCTCTCAGGCTTAGCAGATCAGCAATATCACAGTGATTGTCGTCCTCGTTATCCTCTTCCTCCTCCTCCTCTTCCTCGTTGATGGCTTCTATCCGCCTATCGATTGTTTTCACGTTGGCTAGATCGCAGCTCTCCTGCGAATGCTTCCTCTTCAGATGACGAGCCAACGAACTCTTCAGCTTCACTATGTGATCGCAGAGCGGACACTGAAAGCACTTCTCGAAATGGATAGCCGCGTGCTCCTTCATCTCCTCCACAGTCTTGAAACTCTCATCGCAGTGCATGCACCTCTTGCTGTGCACCCTACCGTAGTGCGTGGTCAGATTGGACCGTTGCCGGAACTTTTGTCCGCATACCGAGCACCTGTGCTTGTACTCGGCGTTGTGGATAAGCATGTGTTTTGTCAAATACTTCTTCACCGAGAACTTCTTTCGACACTGCGGACACTCGTACTCTCCGATACCCTTGTGGATGCGTATGTGATCCAAATAAACGTCTTTCCTGGTGAACTTTTTGCAACAGACCTGACACACGAAATGCGAGTCGCTATGAGAGGTCATGTGTTGCGTGAGGTGCTTCTTGGTGGCGAACTGCTTCGAACAGATATCGCACATGTTCGATTCCTGCTGTTTCTCACGGATGGCTTTCGCATAGTGCACCCGGAGATGGCGGTTCAGGTTCTTGCTGCAGTAGAACTCCTTAGTGCACATCGTGCATGGGAATGTTACCTTCTCTGGGGAACAGGCGTGCGCATCCAACGTCTTCTGCGAGGGAAACACCTTCTTGCAATCGCCGTGGCAGATAAACTGCTGCTTGTGCTTCAAGCTGATGTGTCGCGTCAAGTACTTCTTCAGTGTAAAGCGCTGATCGCACAGGTCGCATTTTATGTCCAGCTTTTTGTTGCAGTTGTGCGACAGAAAGTTCTCATTTCTTGTAAAAACCTATGGAAATATAAAATTACTTCAATAAATGCGAACCGTGCTAGTCCAGAAAAACTGACAGAAATATTAAATCAATATTTATTTTAAATCGAGTGGGTTTTGTCTTCAAATTTGTATCCATAAAATGTAAATGAACATAAGATTAATTTAAAAAAAGAAAATAACTGCAAACAAAAACTGAAATGATCTTGTTTATTTTGTTTTTGTTACGTTCCTTGAATACTCCCATGGAAATATAATAAATATTGACAAAACCATTTGAAATAACTGTATGTGAAATGTAAAGAGCGAATACCGTTTTGCAATGTCCACAGACAAAATCGCCCGTGTGAGCCGCCATGTGGACGATAAGGAGTCGCAATTTGCTAAAGCTCTTCGGGCATATATCGCAGCAGAATCTCTCCGCCGGTGCGAGGTTATCTGGCAAAGGAAAGTCGAACGTTTCGTGCACCTGCAGAATATTATCGACGCCCAGATTTAGTGAGTCGATTTCCAAATTGCTGGGAACCATCTCGAACGGCGGCAGTACGTGATCCAGTAAGACGTTACTATTCTCCATTGAGTCGATCTCGTTGAGTAGAGGTCCTCCGATTCCAGCGGTGTCCGCTGTCTTCTTATTATTATTGATGCGGCCCTTCTCCAAATCAATGTGAGTAGCGTAGGTCACGTTCGAATGAACGAAGAACATGTGTTTCTTCAAACTCTGCGTCACACAAAACACCACAGGAATAACTTCATTTCATCCTGGCCGCGCCACAGTGCTAACCTTACGTGTTTGGAAGGACTGCTTGCACAGCTCGCACACCTTCCTCAGCTGCATGATGTAATGCTCGCGTATATGCTTCGCGAAAGATGTTATCGTCTCCTCCGGTTTTCCGCAGAACTTGCAAGTCCACGCCGCCCTCTCCGTTATATCCTGATTCTTCATGACTAGACTATTAACATCTGAAACACAACAGAAAAAAAAATTCCGTGATTAATGACAAATTCCAGTTTCAAGAAGAAACCCCACCAAAATCACGGGTAATATTAACCACTTCACTCTCCAATGTCTTGGCATTCATTAATTTGCCATAATAGTCTGAGTACCATACTTTCAAATAGTCATTTATGTCAATATTTCTTATAACTAGAAAGTAAATCTCTGAGCAGTGCTCAAAGCACACCAAGTTCTGCTCCTCCAACACACTAGCAGTCTGCACAAAATACATCCAATTGCAGTCAGCCTCATTGGAATTGTCCAAGTAATACTCTTTGAAATATTCATCTTTGCTATTGAATATCTTTAATGGGAATGATACAGCTGGATGGATGGTGAAGATTTGTTTAGCCTCGAATGGACCAAATTTTGTGCCCTTTTGTATAACCATCAGGGACTGCACAGAGCAGCTTCCATCTGCCATCTTCACCACCTGCAGCCCATCTGGCAGTGATAGTTGAGCCCTGGAAGGCACCTTCTTATCTTTGATGTGGGTGCTCACTGTAATCGTGCCACATTCGGTGTACGCGTGTTTCTCTCCGCAGAGTCCGCACACCATCTCCTGTGGGATCAAAGCCTCGCTTTCCATTCTGTTTTCCATCCTAATTTTAAAATCCCACAGCGACAACAACAAACCGATTTCTAGGTTAGCTTCCAGGTGACACCTGTCAAACCATTGTTGCCTAACCTATTAGCCGAATCAGCGTTTCTCAATCTAAGACAGTTTAAAAATGTTATGCGACAATATACGGATCTATCAATATAATGGATGCGACTGGATCCAAATCTGCAATAATTGGAAGAGATATTCAATACAGAAAACATATGTTATCGTACTAATGCCTACATCATCGGTAGCAATCAGGCTAGAGCAAGTTGGGGAAACACTTCTAAGTACATACAGTCCTGTATCGTTCAAGAAAACCGCAATTGACGGCACTGTTGACCTAGGTAAGTGATAGTTTCATAACTAATTCCAAAATATAAATAAATAATAGAAGATGTTGATGACGGGCAGCAACAATATGGGGCGGCGCCGAACGTTGGCAGTATTTTTGAAGCACCGACGTTCCGTAATCGCGAAGGGTTGGCACTAACTTCGGCGAATTTCCTAACCAAACCTGAAAGAAACAAAGAGAAAAATAATAACAATAAACGTAGCAACTGCAACCAACCTCAAGTATATCAACATTGAATCAACCATATTAACTACACACACGAACATACACATATGTATGTGTGTGTGTATAATATTGCATATAAAAGGAAATCAAAATAAGTTTGTCGATTGTTCATTTTTGTTTTAATTGATTTAGCGAGGGCCGCCGATAGAGAGTCGCTATATTCATATTAATCTCTCTATCGTTATAAGTGTGCGAGTGTGTGCTTCGAGATTGCCGATGGTATGATGATAGCGCTCGAATTCTTGTCGGTCGGATATTTATAGAATTTTATGTTTCAATCGTTAATTTCGGGCGCCATTTTATATTTGCCGGTTTCCCCATTTGTACGTGCGGTTGTCAAAAACGCCAGTGGTGGAGGAAGAAGAAGAAGTGGAGGTTAAGGAGAAGGAGTAACGCCGATTGTAAGAGAAGATCGAAAACAACAGAAGAGCGAAACAAGAAAAAATAACAGCTAGATAATAGATGTGTGTATATATGTAAATATATATAGTATATATATATATGTAGTGTGTACGTCGGTTTGCGAATAGTTGTGAGCACACGGAGGCGACGAAATTGTACATAGTTTTTTTTTACTTATTTGTTATTTTTTCTCTTTAGTGAAGAGAAAAGCCTTTAATTGCTAACCATCATTCGTGTGAGCACACATATAAATATATATACATACATATATGTATAGATAGTGTTATTTTTTAATTTCGGATTGGTAATATACTTATTAAAAGGCGGAGTGTGCACAGGATAAGATTAAAAGTGTGGTAATACGACTGGAAAAAGGGATATTTTCGGGAACAACGTAATAGGATAGAAGTGCTCGTTTCATTGGCCCTCTTCACTTCTCTTTTTGGTATTTATTTTTTGCGTGCAAGTGGAAAAAAGGTGAGTGCGAATTCCCACATTCTCTCTTTCTTTCTCTCTCTCTCTGTACTTTTTGGCTGTGTGCATTTTTCTCTTCTCGCACACATAGAGAATTGCGAATCGTATCTGTCAGTTTCTGTCACTCCCTTTGGTTAGGTTTTTCCCCACGACAGACGTACGGTGCGTTTGACACTTGTCATTCCTTAAGTAGGGTAGGTTTTCGACTGCCCACTGTGAATTCGCGAATAACCCCCCAAATTCGTGTGTTCGCCCTTGTCTTCGTCGGTAGAGTGTCTTCGCAACCGGGGATCCTGCGATACCGCTGACAACGGTTCCGGTTTTCCTGCGCGGGGGGGTAAGTCGATCAGTTTCTTTGCAAGCGACATCAATTACTCATTAATCTCAACCCCCCTAAAACTGACAGAATCTCCTGCCTCTCACCTCTTATTCTTTCTGTAGATAACAGTACAAGCCTCCCTGTTTTATTTTTAGTATTGCCTCATTGCCTAAAGCAGTGTGGTTTAATTATTTGCTATGTATTACTCTTCTATCTATCCCTTTTATAACAGTGATAATCAGCTGATTATCCATTATTAATGCCTACACTCTACTTCAACACAATTTATCAAATCGAAAGATGAATATCGACAATCAGCTGATCACATCAATCCTACTGTCTTTATCATTTGTTTTTGTCTGCAGCTTGAGTATGTTTTCCTAATATCAGCTGATTATCTAATTCTGTGCAAATTGATCTTTTAAAGGTCTTTTACTTTTGAAAACATTCTTGATTTTACTACTTTAACTAGAACCATCAGTATTACTAATAACACCATTAGCATATGTCATCTCATGTATTTTAAAAATTTCAGCAATGCCCAATGTATTCCAGGCAACCTTCACGACACATATTCAATACATATTGTATTAATTCAATTGATCATTTCTACAAATGCTGATGCAGATTATATATGAATTGATAATTCTAGTAGAATTTTATGACATTAACTAAAATAAGTCTTAATACTATTTACAATTTTAGATGTCGTAATAGCATTGAGTATTATCAGTTGATTAACTAAGATAAAATTAGTTGTTTCTATGCTCTAGCATGTAATATCAATACATTAACGTTAACATATTCATGATAATTTTCTATACATACTTGGTGATCTAAATGAAATAAATGAATTGAATTCCTTGATGCATATGATTATTTTAAAATTGTATTTATTTACCTGCACACAATCTCAACATAAATAATTTGAGCATATTTAATTCAAAGTTCAAGTTATATTTTCGAGAATTGTTTTTGTTGAATTTTTTGTTTTGCATCAACTAAATTTCTGATGTTATTATTCCACACTGTCTCGGTTGATAACCCAATGATTCATTCCAGTTTTATCTGCATTTTTAAGATCTTTCACGAATTTCATCAGTTCTTCAGCTCTTAATCAAACCTCTTTAAGATTTCATAATCATATTCATCTTATTTCCCCTCCGAAAGAGAGAAAGATACTTAAAAGCAATCCTTGTATTATTTTTAGTGACGTTACTTACCGTTCATTTGTTTTATGCACAAGTTTGTTTTATTTTTAGCTTTGCGAATGATACATCCACACTTTTCGCATTGTGCAATATCAACCTATCTAATTAATGCATATTCCGTTACATTTTTACACTCGCAATTGAAATCGAACGAATTGTTTCATCTGTTATTTTCAAAATTAGTTGTTTACAATTTTTGTGAATAAGACAACAACTTGTACATATTTAGCAAATCCACTAATTTATTTTTAGTCTCTGCCGATTATTAGTTTTCATTTGTTCGTGAATCATTGTAAGACAATATTGCGTAACATTATTGATTTTTCATAGATAAAACTTATAATCGTTTTGCCATTTTTGTTAATTGAAGTTAATCGGTTTTATAGAAATTAATTTGACTTTTTCATTGAATGTTAAAGGTTAAAGGAACGTTTGTATTGATTTTCAGATATCCCAAGTAATATGTACGAAGTTGATTGAAGGAAAGACAGAGATAAATCAAGGGAATATCAATCAAAATGACTATAGCTACAAGAGGACAAGGCATACCAGGGGATTCATCAGATAATCATGTAATTATAGTAACTAAAATCTCTTGATTATAAACATATTAGTTTACTAATCTAATCTTAAATCGTTGCAGAGTGTAAATCCGGTGGTACCAGGTCCAGCCGACGTGCCATGCGACAACAACAATGTACAGCAGCAGCAGAACAATGCACCAGAAAATCCGGCCGAGCCTCAGTTTCCGGTTGAGAAGTTGGCGACTTTGGATGAGAAGATCTCCAATCTGCGATGGGTCGTGCCGGTTTTACCAGACCAAGAGCTTGAAAGTTTGCTGAACGCGGCGATAGACCTGTGCAGACAGGGCGTGGACACCAGGTCCGAGGCATGTCAGCGGTTCTTCCGCGAAGGTCTGACCGTTTCCTTTACGAAGATCCTAACGGACGACGCCGTTTCCAGCTGGAAACCGAACATTCAGGCGTGCATCAACCACAATTGCATCAAGCTTATAGAACTGTGCGTTATAAAGCTACCGCACGACTGGTTTCCGCTGCTCGATCTATTAGCAATGGTCCTCAATCCCAACAACAAGTTTCACACGTATAACGCATCCAGACAGAGTGAAACGGTGGGCACAACCTCAAATCTCTCCGAGGAGGAGCTCTTTGCCAGACCATCGACGGACTTACGAAATCCACGCGGATGGTTGGTAGATTTGATCAACAAGTTTGGTGAGCTGGGCGGTTTCCAGCTGCTTCTGGAACGTTTTCAAAGCGGCAAGAACTTGACCGTGGCAATTGTTTATGCGCTACTGAGACCGTTTGGTCTGTCATACGAGTGTCTCACGCCGCACACTATCAACAAATTTCTACTTCCCGTGCTGGAAATGGTCCCGGAAATCCTGGACAAGCTGAGTGACGATGAGCTAAAACGCGAGGCGAAGAACGAGACGAAGAGCGATATCGTCTCGGCGATCATTAAGAGCTCCAAGAACCTGGCCTCACGCGTCTCCAATCAGGACGAGTTAATAAAAACGTTGGAGGGTTTCCGGCTGAAGATGATCCTCCGGCAGCTGCAGATCTCCAGCTTCAACGGCAAGATGAATGCCCTGAACGAAATCAATAAGGTTATCTCCAGCGTGTCCTACTATCCTAATAGACACCAGGGCGTCGAGGAGGAGGAATTTCTAAATCCCGAAAAGATGGCCAAGTGGATAAATGAGAATCGAGTGTTGGAAATCGTGTTGAGGGATTCGCTACATCAGCCGCAATACGTGGAAAAGTTAGAGAAGATTCTGCGGTTCGTCATCAAGGAGCATGCATTGAGCTTGAGCGATTTGGACGCGGTGTGGGCGGCGCAGGTGGGAAAGCACGAGGCCATCGTCAAGAACGTGCACGATCTTCTAGCGAAATTAGCCTGGGATTTTAGTCCCGAGCAACTGGACCACCTGTTCGAGTGTTTTCAAGCGTCGTGGACGTCGGCATCGCGACGACAGAGAGAAAGATTATTGGAGTTGATCAGGAGATTGGCAGAGGATGACAAGGATGGTGTAATGGCACACAAGGTGTTGACATTGTTTTGGAATTTAGCACATGAAGACGCACCGACGGAGATCATGGATCAAGCATTGACGGCGCACGTTAAAATTTTAGATTACTCCTGCTCCCAGGAGAGGGATGCGCAGAAGACTGTGTGGTTAGATAAATGCGTGGATGAGCTGAAAGGTGGAGAAATGTGGGCTCTGCCTGCATTGAAACAGATCAGAGAGATTTGTTGCCTGTACGAACCATCGACCAACGGCATTCTGCCGCAACGAGGCCATCACATGTTCTACAGGCAAGAGGTGATCGAGCGTTTGCAAAACCAGCATTCGCTCGTCATTCTGGTCACTAATAGTTTGACATGTTACATGGATCACTTACGGAATTTAATCAAAGAAACGCCGGAGCTGACGAGCGAAACTTATCTGCCGGATGGTAGGTATAGCCACGTGATGCAAGTGCAGGAAAGACTGAACTTTTTGCGGTTCCTGCTAAAGGATGGACAGCTGTGGTTATGCGCAGAGCAGGCCAAACAGATCTGGCAATGTCTCGCAGAAAACGCGGTCTTCGCCTCGGACCGTGAATCCTGCTTCAAGTGGTTTTCGAAACTGATGGGCGAAGAACCTGATCTAGATCCGGGCATCAACAAGGACTTCTTCGAGAACAATATCCTGCAGCTGGAGCCCACCCTGCTGACGGAGAGCGGCATCAAGTGCTTCGACAGGTTCTTCAAAGCAGTCAACACAAGGGCGGGTAAACTGAAGATCAAGCGACGTTCCCTTCTAACCGAAGATCCTGATCTCATAGGTTTGGATTATTTGTGGAAGGTTGTTACATTGTGCAACGACGACATAGCGGCAAGGGCAGTGGAGCTGCTGCGAGAGGTCAGCACCAATCTGGGGCCACGACTGATTGGATCTCAGATGGACTTTCATGAAAATTACATAACCGAGTGTTACGATAGGTTGAGGGCGCACTATGATACGGTGACGGTGCTGCAGTCATCGGAGACGACGGAGATCGGTCAGCAGATCGAGAATAGGATCAAGGCGGAGGCGGTGAAGATGTGCAGGGTGATGCATGTACTGCACGAATATATGAGCGAGTGCGACAACGGGTTCGTTGGAGAGAGAAAGATACTTCCCTTGCACAGAGCCTGCAGAGGCAAACATATGGGGTTGATCGTGAGGTTTTCAAGTCCAAATCGACAAGTGGAAGACATGGAGGTATTCACACATAGCAATGATACATTGGCATCTCTGCGACGTTACATCCTGCGTAGAATCAAACCAGGCGTACATTGCAAGCTGGAACTGTACGTGAATTCGGAACCACTGGATGCGGCCGATGATAAAAAATTGCTTTCTCAGATCGCTCTCAGAGATAAAGTGTTGATCTTGGCTAAAGTCACGCAGGTCAACTCGAACATGGCCTCGTCTCAGGACAGCAGTTCGGACAGCTCCACTTCTTCACCGCTGCACCCTTACGATGGACCCAATATGGAAGCAGAAAACCTTCTACCGGGACTCTTGATGTCCATGCAACCAGTTTATGCCCAATTCTTTTGCCAACTATCTGCGCTTGGAACCGCATTGAACTATCCGCCACTCAGAGATAATGGGCGGGCACTGCTGCAGTTGATGCCCTGCGATTCGAGCATTATTCAAAAGCTTTTGCTACTGTTTACTCCGACCCCTTCCAATGATCCGGATATAACGGTGGAGAACATGTTCTTCAGTGCCACACCATCGGAAGTCTTGTACAACTTGGAAGTGCTCTATGTATTGCTGATGCCAGCGTTGGACCCGCTCTCAGAGAAATCGTTCGAGATCCAATACAACTTTATGGTTTCTGGAGAAGCGCATTTGTTCCTCGAGATGCTGACCCGTAACAATTTCATGTCATCTGCAGACATGGTAACCAAACGATCGGCATATTTGGTGGTTCTGAAAATTTGTAAGCTGATCTTGACCAGCGTGGCTCATGTGCTCGTGAAGCTGAGCGAAGATCACACTCCTGAGAACGAGAATTCGGGCGAAAACCCGGGGAAATTCTTGAGGTTATCGCTACGCGCTGTCCCTGGTCATTCTGACCAATTCATAAGACAGGTCAGCCTGAAGGTCTCCGCCAATTTGGCGGAGTTGGTTCTAGCGGACTCATCGAGTTCCGGACCAGCTCCACAAGCACTCTTCAGTCAAGCATTGAATTGGGAATTGCCTGATGCAAACACGGTTCAAGCACTGATAAGATTAGTTTGGGCTGCAAGCAGTGCAAATCTACACTCTCTTAACGCCACGCCGGAGATGTTGCATTCTCTCTGCGATCCGACGAAAAGAAATGCTCAGCTGGAGTTGCACGCCGACGACGTGCTACTGTGCAAGGAAGCATTCGAGCTGTTGAGTATGAGCTTGATCCTGAATCCGAGCAGTTTAAAAGAAATGTGCACAGAAGAGCACCACCATTTCCAACTGTTCCTCACCGACCTCCTTCTGCTGAATCCGTGTCGAGCTGTACGTATTTCGGCGGCCGAACAGTTCATCATTATTTGCACGAACGGCGCTGCGAGCAGAACGGCACTTCAACTTATTACACCTTTACTATTTTCGCTTCTCGACACACTTGTGTTAGAGAATGCCAAGACTTCACACGAATTCTTCCAGGTACTCTGCCGATTCGTGAGTTTCACTTACAATACTACCAGCCCGCTGCCAGAGGCAGAAGGACTACTTGCATCAGAAGTGGCATGGCTAAGAAAGGCACGAGGTCAGCACGATGTGCTTTTGGAAGGCCACCTTGGTCTCACCAGAGAGTTGCTGAGTTTCATGTCACCCGAGCAAAAGTGCGAACTGGGCTCAACCGATCGTGGCAGCTTCATCAAAGAGTTGATCGAGGATTTCCTGTTTCCCGCGAGCAAATTAATGCTTCAGTTGCAGAGGACCGGACAAATGGGGGAGGATCCAGCTACGCCCATTTGCGACACGCCGCAAACGCAAGCCGCCGCCTTTGATCTAATCATCTCGCTGTGCATAAGCTGCGTACCCAACTGTAAGCAACTGGTCATTATGTTGAATGACATGTTCTACTCGGACCAGGAGACGGCGATAGTCGATTGGGATTATTTTCCATCCGTAGGTCCAAGACCGCAACAGGGATTTGTCGGACTGAAGAATGCCGGCGCAACGTGTTACATGAACTCTGTGCTTCAGCAGTTGTACATGGTGTGTAGTATTCGGGAAGGAATTCTTGCATGCGAAGGAGCTGCTACCAATCTGAACGAAGATTTCAGTGGAGAAGACAGAAACGAGATGGACAACGTGGAATGCTGTGACGATCGCGATGATAATCGAAAGGACTATAACGTAGGCATCCTAAAACAGGTGCAGGCAATTTTTGGACATCTGGCCTGTTCCCGACTTCAGTACTACGTACCCAAAGGACTATGGAGACATTTCAAACTGCAAGGTACATTGTCGATTAACAACTATTATTATAATCACGGTTTGAACTGTTTTTGATTATATTTTTGTTTGCAGGCGAGCCAGTGAATTTGCGCGAACAGCAAGACGCCGTCGAATTCTTCATGGCTCTAGTGGAGAGTCTGGACGAGGCACTCAAGACGCTCGGACACGAACAGATCATGAGCAAGATTCTGGGCGGCTCGTTCTCCGATCAGAAGATTTGCAAGGGCTGTCCGCATCGATATTCGAAGGAGGAGCCGTTCAGCGTGATCAGCGTAGACATCAGGAATCACAGCAGTCTGCCTGACTCGCTCGAGCAATATGTGAAAGGAGAACTGCTAGAAGGTGCAGATGCATACCACTGCGAGAAATGCTCCAAAAAGGTAGTGACTGTAAAGAGGCTGTGCGTGAAGAAGCTGCCGCCGGTGCTGGGAATCCAGCTGAAGCGATTCGAGTACGACTTTGAGCGGGTTTGCGCCATCAAGTTCAACGACTACTTCGAGTTCCCGCGTGACCTCGACATGGAACCATACACGGTTTCGGGGCTGGCGCGACTCGAGGGAGAGATCATAGACTGCGACATAGATCCAAGCTCTGTCGACGTCTGCACCAGATACAGATTGTCGGGAATTGTGGTGCACTCGGGTCAGGCATCGGGCGGACATTATTATTCCTACATAAGACACAAAGATGCTATCACCGGGGAGGGTAGTTGGTACAAGTTTGACGATGGCGAAGTGTCCGAATGTCGCATGGGTGAGGACGAAGAGATGAAAGTCCAGTGTTTCGGTGGCGATTATATGGGTGAGGTCTACGACCCAATGCTGAAGAGAACCACATACAGACGTCAGAAGAGATGGTGGAATGCATATATGCTCTTCTACACTCGTCTCGACATCGAAGAAAATGGATTCATCAACAAATTAGCTACATTGTCTTTGAGTGAGTATTTTCTGCACAATTGGTGTGAAACTAGTCAATATGTAGATGTAGAAATATAATTCAAATGAACAACTGTTTTTAATATCTGTAATTCATTTAGACGATGGCGAAAAGAAGGAGATTGCGCCGCTGCTGAAGATGCCCGTAGCTATAGAGAACAGTATCCGGCGGCAGAATATCAAGTTCCTGCACCATCGTAGCCAATTTTCGGCCGAGTACTTCTCGTTCATTAGGAAGCTGGTGCATGGAAACGCTCCTACGGGCACCCGCCTTATACAGCCGCTTCCCACCGAAACGGAACGGCTCTGCATGCTGAGCACCCAATTAGCAAGCAAGTTCCTATTTCACACCGGATGGCACACCAAGAAGAATCTGAGGGGTCCAGCCATGGAATGGTAAATGCGAATGATCTTTAAATTAATATGAATGGATAGAATAATATTGTTTTTTTCAGGTGTGATGTTTTGTGCCTACATCTGCGCGCTGCCACTTCGATACGGACGTGGTTCGCACAGCAGATGCTCTTCAATTATCCTCATCGATTCTGCGAGTACCTACTTAGCTGTCCCAGCAACGAGGTGCGATCAGCCTTCATTAAGATCGTCGTGCTGCTGGCTCATTTCTCGATGAACGACGGCCCCAGTCCGTGTCCTGCCACTCTCAACAATCCCGACCCCAATGCCACCCTCAGCGATCACATCCTCTGGGCCCTTCTGGGTCTGTTGCAGCGCGAGGTCAGTGAACACGGACGGCACTTACCTCATTACTGTAACGTGTTTCACATGTATGCTAGTCAAGGTAGGAGAGAACATATAATTGGACCATATCGTATATAATTATGTTGTGTTTGGTCCGTTACTTCTTTAGGTCTTCAGGAGAAGGCTCAACTGTTGAGGATGAACGTACCTGCTACGTTTATGCTGGTGGCTTTGGACGAAGGCCCTGGGCCGGCCATCAAGTTTCAATACACCGAACTGGGAAAGTTGAACCAGGTGGTTTCGTGTCTGGTGAGGTGCTGTGACATCACCTCCAAGTGCCAGTCCAGCATCGGTGCACCAATCCTGCCGAATCCGTACGGTGATCCTTCTTGCAGCGAGTACATCATGACTCTCTCGCCGCAGGCTTCCGAGGTCCTCTTCTCTCGCACCAGGTACCATCTCTTTCTCTCTCGTCACGATGTGACTATTTGCTACTACATTTTGTGTATTATTGCAGTTATATTAAAAAGGTGATCGAGGATTCAAACCTGACGGAGGAGTCGATAAAACTGCTGCAGTACTGCTCCTGGGAGAATCCGCACTTTTCGCGGACCGTGCTTTTGGAGTTGCTGTGGCAGATCGCGTTCGCTTACTGTCAAGAGTTGCGCCATCACATCGAGCTACTCCTCGCCGTTCTGTTACTCGAGGACTCTTGGCAGACGCACCGTATTCACAACGCAATCAAGGGTGTTCCCGATGAGCGGGAGGGTTTACTGGAGACCATAGCCAGGTCGAAGAACCTCTACCAGAAGCGGGCATACCAGTGCGTCAAGTGCATGGTAGCCCTCTTCACGAAGTGCCGGCCTGCCTTGCAGATCCTGCACTCGCAGGCCGACGTTCGAAAGCAGTGGGCAGAAGCTGTCGCGTGGTTGCAGGACGAGCTCAGCAAGAAGTGTGCGCCGAACTCGCAGTATACCTACGCCACGTGGTCGCCTCCTGCTCAGAGCAACGAAAACTCCAATGGTTACTACCTGGAGCGGTCGAACAGTGCCCGAAAAACCTTGGAGCGCGCCGTGGAGCTGATGCCTGAGAGCGAACGTGAGGAAGGTTACATCAGCGAAGAGCTGGAGTCCCAGGAGGAGGTCGCGGAGAACAATGGCCAAGTGGAAGAGCAGCAGCAACCGCAGCAACAAGGACAACAGCAACCGCAACAATTGCATCAGCAGCAACAACCATCGCCACCTCAGCAACAACAACAACCCACCACATCAAGTAACAACGGCACGTCTTCGAAGAGCGGTCTGCCGGACGTCACACAGAGCTGTGAGAATATGCCCTAAAACAGGGTTATTCGTTCAGTTGATTATTTCGTTTCGTTGTAATTATTTCTCCGTTATCTGTTAACGCGCCGTTTGTATTTTGTTCGATTGAAGAGTGGAAGGCGTGGAAGGGTCGATCGGTCTATAGAGGCGGTTGCTCGCTTCTCCTCCGAAGCAAAACAGGTGGGTCGTACTTTACATTACTACTATTAATTATACATATATATCCATATATATATATATTATTATTTTTCCGTTGTCTATTCTTCTGTCTGTCTGTTGAGAAAGATCGGGAGGACTTTGTGATACAATTGTATATAATTATGTAACGACGCATTTTTGTGACTTTTTATAATGAACCGGGATTTGCATTTTTTTTTCGTTTCTCTTTGTCTCACTCTCTATTTCTCTATCTCTCTCTATCTAAATCTCATTTTGTCTCGTGCGCCTTTCAAAAATTATTTTATCATTATTTTTCCTTGTCCTATTAAGGCGTTGATTAATTTTACTATGCTATGCATATATACGTATATTATATATATATAAATACTACTATTTAGCCCCATTTTTATATGAATGAAAAACCAAAAAAAAATTTCTTCAATTACTTCAACACACACCCACACACATAATTCAATTAAAACACGCGTATACTTTTATAATTTTTGTTTTACGGTCTTTTGTTTGTAACTATTATTTTTTACGGAGGGGAGAATGCAAATAAACAACTTAAATTAAGCAAAATTAAAAAACAAAACATTGACAGAAGATTTAAATTTTAAATTAGATTTGTTCTCGGGGCGAGAGGCTTTCATTTAATCGTTGACATTTAATTTCACGTTAAGATATGTCAAGATTCGAATTGTTTGGTCATTTTGTACGCCGCTCCTTCTATTATTTATTTAAACCAAATATTTATGTATCCGCTCCCCTCCTTTTTGTTTTGTTTTTGGGCGCGCCTCTGCGGACATTGCTTAAGTTTTACGGATTAAAAAAATATTTGACGCTGACTCGAAACGAAACATACATCAATTATGGACACCCGCTTTCCTCCAATAATTTCATAAATTGACACACGCATTTTTTTGGTGGAATCTACGATTATCAATTCTTTTCAATTCGTATAAACAAAATGTAATAAACGAATTATTGAAATTGAACGGAAACGACCTGCATTTGACATTGACAGAGGATTGTCGCGAACCGGAAATCACCCCCTGAAACAAACAAATATGTATCGCCGTTGTTGATTTTCATTTTGTTTGTTTTCTTTTTTGTTGTAAGAATATGAAACTAAGCAATTAAATGGTAATATGTATGTATTTGCAATTTGCTACTTACGTATGAATTGTTTTTGATTTTGTAAACATGTAACAACCAACAGAAAATCGAACGTCTGTCTTTTCTTGTATAAAAAATTATAATAAACCAGTAATAGACAATAGAGTTACGTTATTTGGGCGCGAAACATAGGAAAAGATGAGATAAGAAAAAAATGCACCGTAATTCCCTAATGCGTTGAAAACAAAATGTTTTTTTTGTTTGTTTACCTTTTCTGTGTTTTATATATAATATATAATATTTCTTTTCAATACACTTATTTATTGATCAATACTAAACAACACACCTACATATGAAGAAGAAATACAATTGAATCCATCAAAAATAAAGTTGAAACACTTGCATACACTTATTTATATATATATATATCTTTATATATATATATATTGATATACTGACTTAATTTGACTTACTCTTAAATGAATAATTGATTTCTCAGTCGATCAACAAGTGAAAAATTTGATTAAAAAAAAACGATATTAGCGTTTTTTATTTCTTTTCTTGTAAATACCGTTTATATACACATAGATGTATAAATATATATAAAAAAAATAATCTTTTTTTCCTTTTAGTAATGTTAAATGTATTTATTTATATATATACATATATATATACCTTATACAAGTAATATATAAATATATATTTATATAGATGCTATATATTAATGAAACGAGAAACTGAGAAATTAATTTCATATTTTATATACTGCATATATCCGATTTTTTTTTATATAGTATGTGCTATGTTTGTTTTGTACTTTTTTGTTTCCTTGTTCTTTTATATATAAATATAAATTGATTTTCGTTGCGAGAAGATGACGGAAACTAAGCGAAACCAAACGACAGAAATACAAATAATATAACATGGCGGAAAGTAATTGAAGTGTGAATTGTTTCGACGTTTGACGAGATGATAACAAAAAAAAAATAACTTGAAGCATAAGACAGAATAAATTTTGAAATGAAAACCAGAAATCTATTAATCTTTGTAGTTAGTGCAGTTTGTCTCTAACTTAATTATTGAATGTAAATACCTCTAGCTTAATAAAAACGAAACAGTTTTGTGGTCTTATTGATTATTATAATTATATTACTATTATTTCTTTTAATTATTATTACTATTTGTGATATCGTTTTAATTTTATTTTTTATTTCTACTTTATTATTATTTTTTTGGAAACAAAGTGTTTTTATTATGTTAAAATGTCAATTTTTAAACTACTCTGCGCTACTTCTCTTTCGTTTGTTTTATTTTCTACGATTTACGTACATCCCGCATCCCTTTTTTATAGGTTTTATTAATTACTCCAGTTTCTCAATTTTTGTTAAAAAAAATAATAAAATAAAGAGTGTATAGATTGGTTTTATTTATTAGTGCAGTCCGGATTGGGTGATTATGAACCGGCAAGCGTCCGGTTTCAGATAGGGGGCGTTCACCACGCGGAATCGACGAATCCCATTGGTCCAGTCCCGTTCGATTAGGAAACGACACACGACGTAATTGGCCCATGCATTGCCTAGACTTGGCCCTGACGTATCGCTATTAGGGTCATCCGTTACCTAAGTTTTACCACACAATCAATTTCCGGTGTGTTTTTGGTATCGTTTTTCAATTACCTGATTCACGCACACCACCACCAAGTTGTGAGTCCGGGCCAAATGGTTCAATTGTCTGCAAATGTCATCGATTTCTTTGGATCTTTCCAAGTATTTGATATCTTCGCTGCGGAAAATCGCAGCTATCGAATCGATAACGACGAGACTAATGCGCACGTTTTCCAGAAGCTTCGGCAACTTCACGAACAGCAGTCTCCGAAGGGCGATCTGCAAATAGTATTGTTTTTTTAATTATTGAATTAAATCTTAATTAATAGCGGTTCATAGCACTGTGGCTATAGTCGCCTGTATCATAAAACTGATACGAAAGGTGACAGGTTCGAATCTCACCAACAATCAAAATTGTGGGGGTGGATAAGCACCGAAAATGTTATACAAATGTGATACTAACGAAGTCCATCGAATGTTCCACGAACACTTTGTCCATGAGGCTCTCGTCGCCGCTGAGACCAAATGCGGACGGGACGCTGAGTGATAGTTCTAAAAGTCGATTGGCTGGAAACGATTTATCGGTGCACACATAGAAAGCGGCGCCACTGATTGGAGGCATTTGCACAGCGACAGCCAATTGCAGGCAGAGCTGCGTCTTACCAACGCCGGCCTCTCCGTAAACCTCGTTTATCATTTTGAAGCGGAATCCCCCTCGAGTCAGATCATCAATTTGAGCACATCCCGTTCTGAGCCTCAAGCAGTCTTCAATACCTAAAGCTAATATTCGAACAGAATGACTCGAAACTTTAATAAATATAACACGAACCATCTTTAATCCTGTCACCAATTACAACTTCGGCTGCTATTTTCTGCAGATGCTCAGATTCTTGTATACTAATCGTATACTTCTTGTGTAACGAAATCGCTTCCGATATTAAAATTTCTTTAATAGACTCCACTTCGCCTTAAAATAAACATCAACGAATACTCTTCATTTAAAGATAAATCAAAATATATTTAAATGAACTTTTCATACTCAATTTGTGTGCAATTTTCTCCGGCAACTTCTCCTTCAGAAAATCCATGTTTTAGGTTATAAATATAAACTTGCAAAATGTTCGCTCCTTTTTCTTACTCGACAATAAAAAATCACGTGAAAATATCATTTATTAAATAATTTAAACACTATTTAAACAATTTATTTTGTGGTATAATATAATGAAAAATTAAAAGTAAAATATTTTTTACGTTTTGCTTCGTTTTATCTTTTTGTCATGAATGAAGAGAAAAAAATCGAAAATAAAAATAATAGTAAGTCTTGGGTATGTAATAAATGTTGGTAAAAAAATATCCCAGATGCTGCTAAATCAGATAAGGGAAAAGAAGAACAAATGAGACTACATATGAAGGAGGTTTTGAATTCATGTCCTGTTTAGCCAGATGATAGCTTTCAGCAGGAAGTATGCAATGCCCAATCCATATACTATTTTCTCTTTCTGCAGACGCCCCAGGTGCTCCAACTCCAAAGCCATAACGCGTCTATTCAATTTGGCCATCTGACGACGTAAATGCAGCACCTCGTCATTTGCACTCAAAGTGTCTCCACCAGCACCAATTGGTGGACTGCTCTCTCTATGCAATATACTTGAATCATTCAAGTCAAACCTAGCTATCTGCTTGGCTTGGTGCGCTCTCGGTTTTGGTTCAGGCTCAGGTTCTTCAAAATTAGCATCAGGAAATGGATATCTGTCCAATGTGAGTGTTCTTGGTGGGGTGGCCACTCTTAAATCACATGGGTATGGTTCTGTGGGTAAAAGGGAATTGTCGAAAGCGATTTCGCGTGGCGGTGCTCTGGTGCCCATGTGCTGATGCTGTCCCACAACAAGAATCCTCTCGGGGACCTGCATATTGATGTTTTCATTCCAGTGTGGACCCCCATTCAGACTCTCACTGCTGAAGCTAATCTTGTTCGGCACCTGCATCTTTTGGCTGATGTCTACTTTGAAATTAGCATCGGTGATAAACGCATCCTCCAGCTCACTGTAGTTGGGACTTATGCCATTCGCAGACATTTTTAAAATAAACCCTAGAAAATATATACAAAAATGGGAGTGATGATGAGCACAACGCACAGCGATTTATTTACCTCTGGCTCAAGTACCGCACTCCCAGCAACAGAACAAATATGTAAAATTAACTCAATCTTAGGTATAAAATGTTCCTGAGCTGAATCAAGCTGAATAACTGGCTGCAACCAACTTGCACACTTTAAAATTGACAGCTGACAGGACAGGAACCAATGACAGTTCCATATTTAGCAAATTTAGATCTGTGTTGCATAACACGTCTAATTAATAATTGAATTTCGTATAAATGAAGAAATAAAGCGTTGTATTAAGAAACTTTCTTAATAAGGTTCACTTTACGAATAGTATATGATGTATGCAACCAGATATGCATACATAATGAAAGTACAAAGTCATTGTAATAAAATCTTTATTTTTTTTTTGTAATTAATATACAAACTTATAATTTATGTTAAGGTTAGACGAAATCCATTTTTGGTTGTTCCGTCTCAGCGTCCCTACATTTGGCGTGCTGCAGCTCGCGTCTGATCTCGTTCGTTATAGTCGGATGGTTCTGCTTCTTCAGGAGATTCAATAGAGCATCTCTTTGTTCGCTGGAGATATCCGCTTTATATCTTTGCACAAAAGTCAGGAATGCTTGATGCCATAGCACTGGCAATTCTCTGGTATCTCTTTCGAATCTCAAGAAATGGAAAACCACCGCATCCACGACCCTGTATGGCAGAGCGTACTTTTTATCGAAAAATATCCTAAGGAAGATCGAATTTGCTCCGGTATAATCCATCTCGGCGATCTTCAAAATAGCTGCGGATGAGTGCAGAATCGGTATAGAGTTTTTGGCAACGATAGAACCGATGATTATAGCTTCGCGAAGCGTACAATTTCCGCTCTCGAGGAGTGGCAAAAGGAAGCCCTTCATGAACGCTCCCGGTTTGTACAAAGACTTTTTAACCGCTTGATACAAGTGAAAGTTTAGTCTCTTATACTCAGCCAAATCGTCTCTTATACGAGGCAGTAAAACCAAATTGTAAAACCTTTGGGCCATCTTCTCCTTCAAGTTTGAAGCGAATATCCTTGTAGACTGATACATTGCAGCAGCGGACCAAGTAGGTGGATCAGTTATATAAAGTATTTGTTCCCAATTCCTCAGCTTGGGCACAAGTTTAAACGCTTTCGGTATCTTTCCGCTCCTGTACTTCTGCAACACCTCTTTAACACCTTCATACATCTGTTTAACCCTGGGGTCTAAGTCTTGTAATTGCAACGAGCCCGCGTCAGTGAAGTGTGTATCCAATTCTGTGTGTTTTTCAGTAATTTTCTCCATAATGATATCAGCCAAAGTCCTCCTCGGCGCCGGATTTGCGCTCATGAACAACTCCATTGCCTTCTCGTCATCCTCATTGATCTCCAGATCCTCGTAAAACGTGTCTGGAGGCTCAGCAGTCTCCTCTTCAGAATCAGAATTGTCATCATCTGAAATATCCAGTTTCACCTTTTTCTTTTGTGCGATAGCTTCAACAGGAGTAGGCACAAATTCGTTTTCCATTTCCCTCTGCTGCTCCCTGACAGCAGACAGGATTTTCTTTGACAGACCAGCATCGACATACTAAAAACAGTATCAATGTTAAACATAAAATACAAAGAAAAATAATTCTTAAACCTAACCTCATCATCCTCCTCATCTCTTGAGCGCACTTTATTCCTGTTCTTCGCTTTCACCGATTGTCCAGCAGCAATGTCCTCTTCAAGAGACTTCTTTGCTCCCATCTGCGAGGGCTTCAACTTTTTCGCTTTACCCATTATCACATTTGCTGTAGGTAACAATCACAAAAATGAAACTTGACTTGTAAACAACGCACGTGTTTTTAAACGTCAAATTGAAGCAAGTTGTCAAAACTATTCCAGAACTACCAACATATGATTTTGTGTAATGAATTAAAGTATTTACATTATTAAACAATTAACGAACTATCACATTATTTTATTACATTATATTTGATTAAATATATATATTTTTTTAAATATTTTAATTGATTTCTGAAAGATTTCTATATCGGTGACAGCTGTTAATTGACAGTTGTTTTGGATCACTTTGACGTTTCTTCCGGCTTATCCTTTTGACTATATATGAACTTTTTTGTTTTAATGTTTTTTCGAATTAGCAGTTGGAATTTGATCGTTAACTAAAATGCAGAACGTAATCAACAGTGTTAAGGGTACAGCTCTTGGTGTTGCTGAATACTTGACTCCAGTCCTTAAGGTAGAACGTTAATTATCACTGTTCATTGATCACATTATTATCATGAACGTTTTAGGAGTCAAAGTTTCGCGAGACTGGGGTGCTAACCCCAGAGGAGTTTGTGGCTGCTGGTGACCATTTGGTGCATCACTGCCCGACATGGCAATGGGCCAGTGGTGATGAGGCCAAAGCTAAACCATACCTGCCAAAGGGGAAGCAGTTTTTGATCACCCGAAATGTACCTTGTTCAAGGAGATGTGAGCAAATGGAGTACTCTGAGGAGTTCCAGAGGATCATTGAATCTGATGATGCTGATAATGGTTGGGTAGACACACACCACTATGACCCACATAACACAGGATTAGAGGATAAAGTATCAGAGATGACATTGGATAATGGGAAGGTGGAGAGTATGGAAGATGCTTTGTTGAATGATGAATGCAATGAAAACGACGACGATGATGATGATGAGGAGGCTGCGGATATGGAGGAATTTGAGGAGAGCGGTATGCTAGACGACGCTCAGGTTGTTCCTCATTAGTTTATATATATAAATATACGAAATTTTCACGAGCGTTAAAATTTCAGACCACAACTGTTATCCACATACCGGAGAAGATGATTTCCAAGCAGACGGACGAGGAAGGCGGAATCATTCACACGCGCACCTACGACTTGCATATAACGTACGATAAGTACTATCAAACGCCGAGGCTGTGGCTAACCGGATACGACGAGGTTCGTATCCATTAAATCAAGTCGACTTTCGCCGGATCAGCTTTTGTTTTGCCGTAGAAACGGAAGCCATTGAATCGAGATGAGACATTCCAAGACATCAGCAAAGATTACGCAATGAAGACGGTTACCATGGAACCGCATCCACATATGAGTATAGCCAAGATGCCTTCTGTCCATCCCTGCAGGTGTGTTTCCTATTCCAATATTGTAATGCTGACATTCAGTATGTCAAATATTTTACAGACATGCCGAAGTGATGAAGAGTATCATCGAAACGGTGACGGAAGGAGGCGGAGAATTGGGAGTGCACATGTACCTCATCATTTTCTTGAAGTTCATGCAATCGGTAATACCCACGATCGAGTACGATTACACGCAAAACTTCACCATGTAACAGCGTTCGGCAACATGCATTTGCAATCATTTTCTCACATACGTGATTACGATGTTGTCTCATTATTACGTTCAATTCTCAGTTAAATTTAAACTTGATAAGCTTTAAATGATTTTACAAATTTTCATGGAAAATTTGCCGCTTCTTCGAAACTTATTGTTTTGGCTTTAAGATTACATACGTACGTGTACTTTATATCTTCTATTTCTTGTCTAGCACATTAATAAAAAGTAAAATTCACTTAACTTCTTTTTTTTAACATTAATAATAATAATATTACTTCATTTCATCCTGTTCTTGATCCAATCTATCCAATTATACAAAATATAGTTTACCCAGAACATTTCAAGATCCATGCGAATAACGGAGTTTAAAATGATGCATAATTATGTATAAGAAGTTCTATAAGTTACAATTACAGTTGGTAAATAATGTTTCTTTCGGACTGAGCAATATAATGCTTTAGCATTTTATTTAATAACGTGCAAAAAAAAGGAAATAAATATAAATAATCCTCATCTAAAGTATTACAGTTCATATATATCATTTTAAGTAGTTTAGTTATTACTATTTGAATGACAGTGTCGAGTGCAAAGCCTTGCTTATTATTAAGTATTAGTAAGATAATTTCTTTCTTCAGTAATTTTAAGTTTCATAAACCTCCGTAATCGGATACATTCGGAGGGCACCGAAAGTATGCTGCATCAAGGTTTGTTTAATTAATCGTCCGATAATAAAGCTATATCCTATGACTATGATTACACACATGCAAAATAACTTAACTAACGAATTGTTCGAATACTGATTTGAGAATGGAAAGAGGAAATCACAAAAATATTAAGAAACGAAAATATCACAATGAGGAATCAAACTCGAGTAGAGTTAAAAGAAATCTGATCACAATTGAGAGAAAATCATACCGAAAGTCGCGTGGAGAAGAATAAAAGTATTTTTTTCTGATTTTTTTTGTTGTTGTTGTTGCTGTTGTTTGTTAGGTGCGCATGGCATTCAAGTTGGAAAGTTATCCAGTTTAGCGATAGAATTTGACTTCGGTCTCGACGCAATCCTTGAGAAGCTCATCCAGCTCGCTCAGATCTTCGCCTACGCTCTCGACGATGGCGTCCAGCTCTTTCACGCAGTCCGCTTCCATTGCGAATAGGAGTTTCTGCATTTCGTTACCCTCGTCCTTCATGGAATCCTTGTGCAAGGTGTACAAAGTATGCTCGCCAGATTTCTGAAGACAAAAATGAGCTGTTGATGATGTACGGGAATAAGGTAACAGTTAAAATTACCTCATCTTCGGGACACTTGGTGTGTTTGGAAATGACGGCGTTTGGGGTGAACACGAATGGCTTGAAGACAGACTTGCTAGGATCCGGGGTCGCCGTGAACCAATGAACGCTCGGTCTAAATGCACTGAGCGTGGATACCTATAAGATCAAGATTTGTGACTTACAAGTGAGTTTACAATTATATGTTTGCACCTACTTGGCTCCCCTGGGTTGGAAAGGGTGAGTCGCAGGAGCGACAGATGTCGGTGTCCGTATTACGAAGGATCGTAAACATATCAGTTTCCTTGAAGTCTTTACTTGCGCTCAAAGTCTTAAGAAGATCCTCACCGGACTTCTGGCGCGAGTCGCCCACCTGACCTGAAGAACCGAAAGCTTCGGCGAAGTTGAATTCTCCCTGAAAAATGCGTTTTGATCAAGAATCTCTTTGGATTTGTTGCTGTAGTACAATTACATCGCCATTCCATAATCCTTTCTCTTTTGCGTACTCGATCAGCCCATCGGAATGCTTATCGATCTTGGTTGTAATCGTTAAACCGTTCGAGATATTTCTGTAACCACCTGAAACACAATAATTTCATGGCTTTGATAAAGATAACCTTTTTATCGAAATCTACTACTTGTAATCTGAACGGCGGCCCAATGTTTTCCGCTAGTTTCCAGAATCCAGGCTTCGCTGGTGTCGGCGATCAAGAACGAGTTGTGGTAGGAAAGGTCGCCGTCCAGTTGACAAGGTCCACCTTGCCCGTACTTTTCCAGCAATCCCGTTATAACGTCCAAAGCCTCCAAGGCGGTGGAACCCCTTTCCAAACCGAGCCTTGAATCGCGACAAAAACACATATTTTGACGACGATCTGAATACCTTCGTGCCAATCACCTCACCTCACCAGATCCATGCCCAACAATCTTTTGATGCTCGTATCATGGTTCCCTTCGTTATCCTTGGTCCAAACAGCCTCGTTGCCAATAGCGACACCGCATTCGTTAGCCCCCATTTCGGCGCCCCACATCCATCCCGGTTTGCTCAGAATGACAGCCTTCTTTGGGCCACCCGCTTCGACCTCAATATAAGTGCACTAAACCATCATCCCACAAAAAAAAACATTTTTTAAAAAATTCGTAAATGATTAACAATGATAATGACCTGAATGGTATTCGGAGACGTATCACTCGCAGGAAAGTACACGACCTCCTGCACCTCATTCTGAGGCCTATCCGAGTTTTTGCCGAAAACGACCCCATGGTTCGTCAGCGGTGGTAAAACCACAAAAGTATCACAGGATTTAGGTTCCATCTATCAATTTATAAAAATAAAAATAAATATCAATTCTCGCAGATAATGAGAGCCATAAATAAACGCATCGAAGCTTAAGCAGTCTGGCAGACAGATGCAAAGAGATTAGTTTTTATTTATCCCAAAATATTTCTGTTATGCCTTTTCCAAGAAAATAAAAGATTCTCTCCAAGCAAAGTGCAACTGATTCTGTTATCTGTATTTGTGTGTGCATGACCATATAAAAATAATAATTAAAAACTCAGATAATATCTATATTTTTATATAATCATTCTAAAGTTACACAATTGATTTGCAAAAAATATTTCGATTGTTGATGGATATAATTGATTAGCCTCACATGTATCTAGATTAGATAAAATTGAAACAATGTTTGTTGATTAGATGCGGTCGTTTGCGATTTGCGACGAACTTACGAGAATTTCGTGAAGGGTGTCGATTCGCAAGTATGGTGGAACTATGGATCTTCCAGCTGTTATATACGTGCATGACAAAAAAAAGCGAAAAGACGAGAGAAAATAATACAAAGAATAATACGATATTGTAGTATTACTTAATCGAAAGGAAAACGCATGCACGAAAATCTTGATTTATCTTACTTTTTTTTGTTTATAAAAGAAATAGGCTCCCTATGCAGGCGTCAGTCGCACCACCTTTTCTGCACATCAGCTGTCAAACGACGGCGCAAACTACGACCCACGTAACACACTGAACTTGTCCAATGAATAAGTTAAAAAATTAACATTTAACCTATGCAACAATCAAATTGTCGAACGAAGAGTAAGATTTTGCTTAACACTTAGATTGTTATTTATTTTTAAGTTGACCTACTGACTTTAACACTTCAATTTTGTCTTTTGTTTGACAGTTTCGCATTTACGCGAATTACAATGAATTTGATAGTTATTTTATATTGAAATTGAACAGTAATCAGTAATCCTGATGATTTTGATTGACAGTTGCATATATCCGTATTTCATAATCAATTTCGTGGTTACATTGACAGATTGTGATCATTGTGATGCTTGTTGCGAATGTTTAGACACAATATGAAGTCTAATGTTTTATCGATGACTTAATTGACGGATCAAAGTTATCTCGTATATGCAAAGACCTTTGGAAACCGAATTTGTTGTTAACTTTTGTAACGGTTCAAGGTTTATAATTTGTTCCAAGGCTTCATCTAAACATTCTTATTCTATAAATAATTGAGTATTTAATTTTGTTTTATTGTAACGTAGCTGTCGAAGAGTTGTCATTAAATTGTACTGTATATCAGTTTTTGTTATTTGTTTCTAGACAAGCATTTCCAATGGTTTAATGATGGTGAATCAAGGTTGGAAAGCGCTGGCTTAGATCAGGGGCGCTCAGCATCGGCGATCTACCATAAAAGTATTAGGCGGCAAGGTAAAAATAAAATACAAAGTTGGAATGAGATAGAATGTATTAAATATTTAGTGTAGTTTTTATAAATTGAACGTCAGAGATTTCAAACATATATGTAATCGATCGATTTAAAAACCTTTCGTGATCGACCACCATGATGAGCACTGTTGGCTTAGATTATCTTCTTAGGTAGCAGCCAGTAGCAGCTTAGGTTACAATTGTTTTATAAGTTGGAAAGACGTAGGCGTCTTCTTGGAGGTCGATGGTCATTGAAGTTAGCAGCGGATCATCGGCCAATGGGGCGTGGACTCGGCGAGTGACGCATGCTCTGATTGGTGGATTAGCGAACTCCCGCTCGTTCCATCCCTGTCCTCGAGCGACTGGATTCATTTGGTTCCGCTGCTTTGGAGGCAGACGCCGCCGTCTAATCAGGCACCCACATTCGCACATCAAAATTCGTCCGGTTAGCACGTTTTCCCTTCGTCAGATTGTTCCATTCAAAAAAAGTCTAGTGATCGCTGAGTGTTGTCCGTGAAGGGGATAAAAAATGGCATTGTTCCGAGTATCGACAACCAAAGGACTTGAGCTCCAAGTAAGTGAAACCATTTGCCTTCTCCTTCACTTCTGGCCAACCGTCTCGACGATTGTGCAGAAGGAGGACAAAAGTGAGTTGCGAAAAAAATTGACGAGAAAAGAAAAACCTGCATGTTTCGCATTAGAAACCGTATATAGTTTCGGTCGAAGAGCTGCACTTGTTGAGGGGGCGGTCAAATACAACGAGGATGAAGGGTTTTTATAAATATTTAAAAAGTAGGCCTTTGCAAATCGCATTCTTTTGTTCGAGCTACCGTTATATAATATTGTGTATATATACAGTTATAACAGGACATCTTTTGGCATCTCATTAATCCAATTTCTTACCTATGAACATCATCCTCTCTCTAATTCGGGGCCAACGAAATTTAATAAAAATCTCTTCATCCAGAAAATGAACACACGAGAGAGAGGAAGAGATCATTTTCGCTAAGGTCAACAAGTTTATAAAATCGACCTCAGCTCCCATTATATGTTCGTATAATGAGGTAATGCGAAAAAAGGGAAAAACGCTTCGTACAATCGAATCGTTTGGAAAATCCTGAATACGGGACTTACGTAACGAGAAGAGAATTGCTTTTCGCGGATTATTTGTTTGGCTGTGCGGTCACGAAGCAAAGAAAACACGTGGAAATAATCGGTTGGCCGGATACGCGATGGCCTAGGACACGTGATTTAATTTAGAACCGTGCATTAAAGATTCGAAACGCAAACAATGCGACCTATAGTTTTATTCAATTATTGGGTGGACACGGAGACTTACTTCCTCGTTACGGAAGCATTAAAAAAAAATTGATAAAGAAACAGAATTGACAACGTCATTGGAAAATCGAGTCCACGCGAGGAATTGAATTACAAATGTGTTTTAATGTATTCCTTCAATTTCTCCGAACTCGGAATTCCGAACTCATACATTATGCATGCGATTCAGAAGAACTTATTTATTTGCTTTTACGTATCTTCAACTATTTACTCTGTGGTTATGTACGACCGCCAAAAAAATAGACAACAAACAATTTCGAAACTCGTTACGCAAGCGAATAATTATGTTTTTTTTGCAAGGTTTTCTGTATTGTTCGGCCTCGTTTGCGCGCGAGATACTCTGATAAGATAAGATTTTTGTGTCGATTCATCGACGCCCACGGCTCAGACTATTGTCTTTTTCCTCAATGAAGAAGGATTCGATTTTTATTAGTACACGCGCGTCCTTTTCGGGATTAGTAAAGTGGGCCAAAAGCGCGTGCCAACTGTTGGCTCGTCGATTTTAACTAAATGCTTGTACTATGCAGATACTGGCGCCTCGTCGTTAAAAGTTTACTTCTCTCTCTTTCTCGCAGGTTTCAAAACGACCTCAAAATAAAATCGAATTCGTGTTTGGCCGAAGATATATCGCACATACATATACTTTATTAATAATACGAATCCAATGTCGGCGCGAGCTATTTTTTCCCTGAGAGGCGCCGAAAATACGCGTGAATTGCCATCACCAGCCACACACGAGATTCCTCCAACATGCCATTAACTTATTACTTCTTTTATTCATGCACATAGTAAATTTTACATAAACGTTATGCAACTGCGGTTGCGTAATTGCTGCAACGACATTTAACACAAATCTTAATGACTGTCAGCAGACTTTGCCAATTATTTATCCATTTGGTTTTCATCGCAACTGAATTATTCAAGTAGCCAATTGCAAAATCTCTACGAATTATCGCATATACAATTAGAGTTTGCTCACGTCACAATTCGTTGTTATTAAACCGTGACATAATGACTTATTTACATTGTTGACATTGTAAGTGAGATTTCAATGTAACACATTTAAACAAGTACAACGGAGAGCGAAAATATGTGCAAATTACAACAACAATATATTACATTTATAGATTTTTATTTTAGTTTACTGTCATAGACTATCTTAAGGTTAGAGATATCTTGACGTTAATTCTAAAGGTATTTATTTGGTTGGATTAGTTAAACATAATCAGCCTACTGATAACGACGCGATTACTTTAATCTTCGATCATTTTAACAACTCGCAGAATTACGCGATGACATTGCTAATTGATGGATGATAACAGCAGTTGGCACGCGAGGATTCTCTTCAAACATTTCCAAGATTCACTTCCATCTTGGGAAAACAATCTCCTATTGCCTTCAAACAATTCACGTCAATCTCTAGGAAATAACGAGTTCTGTGAAGTTATCAATGTGGTTGATTTTATTTCTATATTCATTATTTGTAATTGGCGTCATTGTCACAGTTGTGACTTGAGTTGTTGAATCATTTAGAATTACTGATTTTTCAGTGAATTATTTTTTTGTTGTTTGTTACGAACTATTGTTTTTTATTGTTTTACATGAAAGTTATGTAAGTTAATAGTCTCAAAAGATATAGAGTAACATTTGACGTCTAAAATGTCCTGTAATAAAACAAACTCGACTAATGCCGAGATGAGTAAAACAGAGGCGAATCTTCCAGAATGTTTACTGGAGACGATCGAAATGATAATGATGGCAATACGATGCTTCTTATCAATGTAAACAGAGATTACTTCTATGTCGAAAATTAATTCTGTTTTGTCATTGCGTTATGTCATAGGTATAGAGTGCGATACATTTGCACCTATTAGTCAAAAGGTTGAAATTGATTGCGCATATTTAATGGATCAATAAACCGGTCGACTTTACGAATTAGCGATTCATTGTTAACTCGCTTCGTCTTTTGCGAATGAGAGATGATCAGCTGATGCTCGCCGATCGTCCCACCGTAATCGAAGCACCTAAATTTAGCAACGAAAAGTTATATTAAACAAAAAAAATAAAATCTTTGGCCTCGCTCGCTCGAAATAGACTTTCATCTATTCAGGCAATTGCGTCATTCAATTTTATTTTTTGATTCAATTTTCTGCCTCTTCCTCGTTCTGTTCTACATACATTTCGCACTTGCAGTTTTTTTTGTTGTTTCTTTACGTGAATTCAACAAACGGCGGTGATAAATCCTTGTTCAATGCGTTCCTCCACACCCACACTCTATTTGCATACATTAATATCACGTTACAATGTATACTAATATACTATAACGCGATTCTCTCCATTCCTCTTCGCGAATGATTCAAGATCATCGGGTTTTATGATTCATAAATGCAAGATCATTCAACTTCTGACATATATTTCTTTTGTAACTTGCGATTAATTCAATCATTGTTTTTTTTAATACTCAGTTAAAAATTCAATCCTATTTTTATTTACCAGATTTCTGTGTTAAGGGTGACATAATTATATGATAATCGATGATAATGTTACTGAAAATGTCACAATTGTCCAATTGTAATGTAAATTAATGCATGATACATGAGTCAATACATAACTGTATTTTATAGATCAACTCTAATAATGAAAAATCATCCACGATTTAGTGATTATTTACGATATATGTGATAAAAAATATTTGACGTTGAATCTGATCGGCAATTATGAAGGATGAATTAAGTTGTATTTATTAACTTATCTGTGACAATTACTGGACATTATTTTTCATTTAGGGTCACGTAATTTTTGAAACACAGAGATGTAACAATTTATAATATGTATTTATTAAACAATATCATTAACAATGGTAAGAAAAAAAATCGAGAATAATTTCTCTTTCTAAATCGACTTTAAGAAATTATTACGGATCAAAGAAGATCTGTAGGAGCTTTCGTTCGCATGCAATTAGACTCGAAATAATAAGGCTGCGTATTTACGTAATTTGCGGGTAATTCAATTCCGACATGCTTTATCTCAGTGGAAATCCGCGATTTGCACGTTTATAAATAGGAAACATGTTTTCCAAACAAAAGTTGTTTATCTATGTAAACGTCAAAATCGACACGGGTGTTTATTGATGTTATTGTACCAAAGAGAAACTTCAAATTCGTATAAATGTACTTATTATGATTGAATTACGTTTTAACGTTAAATTTGTTAACGATTATTTAATTTTGAAAGTTAGTTTAGAATTTATATGAAAATTTTACTTAATGTATGGATGTTAAAATCCCTATATCTAGGATCTAGACAACATATGTTTGTTAAGTTCTGATTTAAGGATGTTTAAATTTTAATTAAACATCAAATTGAAAATCATAGTTGACGTATTTGAAGTATTAATTAACCTATAATTGCATGTCAACGTTGATATATGTATCTTATGTGTTCTAATGTGTTGTTACAGAAAGCCCTGTCTCAGATCTGCAGACAATTCAGCGATGCGTCGACTGATCTCAAAGCGGTTATGGCCGCTAAAATACCAAAGGAACAGGAGCGGGTCAAGAACTTCAGGAAGACTCACGGCAACACCAAAGTCGGAGAAGTCACCGTCGACATGGTTAGTATTCATCATCACCTGAATTTTATAATTGAATTGAATGCAACCAAACGGCCGGCGGTCGTTAAATGTGTATTATTCACGATCGGGCGGGTCGGGTGCCGTGGCCCGGGGTCAAGCAGGAGCCAAGGTCCAGAGTTCCCGCCGCGAAAGTACAAATTTCAATGCGATATTGGCGTAGAAAAAAAAAACGATCCGCCAACATTATTCATGTGCACATTTTTCGCCCAAAAATAGAGCCCGAGGAAAATTTGAACGAAAACACGCGTGGACACGTGATGCATTCGTGTCCAAAATCTCTGAAAGCCAGGGTCTGATTATATGAATACAAGTATTCTACATAGATAGAGAGAGATGTAAAAGAAAAACAATGATAATTATTTTGTTTATTTACTTTTTTTGCGGAAAATTAAACATTTCATATAGTATTGCAACGGAACCTTGAAACAGCCAAGGCACGCTCCGAATTAATGACACGCTACTTTTGTTTTTATCACTTGTTTTCGATTTGGAATAAATGATGTACATCTTCATTTTATATGTTTATATATATATAAACGCATGAACCTTGCGCACACTTTCTTAAGTAATCTTAATCAGTTTGGACTAGTTAACTGGAGGATTGTAGTTTGGTTGCATTCATTTAAAAGTTTAGCTTTTTTAAAATTATATTTCAAACTGTGAAAGTTATGTAATTCATATCAATTGTTGTTTCCTGCAGTAACAATTTGTATGGTATTTTCTTTAGCAACGTTTCGATATACGCCAATGCTCGTTAGTGGTAGACTTCCTAAGAAACACCATGAAGCTATCACCTCCAAAACATTGGCATATCAAAATCACGATTTCCGTCTTTACTGATGTAGGAAAACATATTGTCTCTTATAATTGGACGGAAATTGGACATTTTTTAAATTTATTCTTAATAAATGCCTATTACTGACAATATTTTTTGTTTAAAGTTAATATCATAATTGCTATACACTTTTCAAATCTTTAATTTTCTTTTTCCTTAAGTAAATTCGAATCGTTTTTTATAGTGAAACGCTAATTACCTATAGAATAGTATTAATAGTAATAGGACATTCAGACGATCAATATTTATTATTGGTATTACAATTTTTTTTTTCAAATGTTTGCAACTGTATATTGTTTGTTTTGTATATTAAAGATAAATTAATTCTAAAACAACTCTAAAACTAAAGTTTAATATTGTATGTATGATGATTTTAATGAAAAAATATTGTCAGTGATAATCTATATTACAGTAAAATTAATAATATTTAATCATTTTGTGATACTGGACGATTTTCATGAAATGCAATGTAACCATATGGAAAAAAGAATGATTGAGTATTTGGTTGTTTGAATGCTGCTTGTGTAACGACGATGACAGTTAATCATTGTAGATAATTTTAAGGTCGTAAAAAAACATGCAGCATTGCGTATATGTTGTGTATACATAATAAATGTGTTTTGTTGTTGCTTTGCGCAGATGTACGGTGGTATGAGAGGCATCAAGGGTTTGGTGTGCGAAACTTCGGTGCTGGACGCCGACGAGGGCATCAGGTTCCGTGGTCTTTCCATTCCCGAGTGCCAGAAGCTGCTTCCCAAAGCTCCAGGCGGTGCCGAACCATTGCCAGAAGGTCTCTTCTGGCTGTTGATGACAGGAGACGTGCCGACCGATGCTCAGGTAAGCATTCGCATCTATGAAAACGTTAGAATTTGGAATTAATCTATTGAATCTATGTAGGTGAAACAATTGTCGAAGCAATGGGCGGAACGCGCCGATCTCCCCGCCCACGTGGTGACCCTTCTAAACAACATGCCAAACACCGTGCACCCAATGTCACAGTTCAGCGCCGCCGTAACTACCCTGAACAGCGAGAGCAAGTTCGCCAAGGCTTACGCCAGCGGCGTTCACAAGTCCAAATACTGGGAATACGTGTACGAGGACAGTATGGATCTGATCGCCAAACTGCCCGTCATTGCCGCCACCATCTACCGCAACACCTTCAAGGACGGCAGCGGCATCGGCGCCATCGACACATCCAAGGATTGGTCCTGCAACTTCACCCACATGCTCGGCTACGATGATCCTCAATTCATCGAACTGATGCGTCTCTACCTCACCATTCACAGTGACCACGAGGGCGGCAACGTTTCTGCCCACACCGTCCATCTTGTCGGATCCGCCCTCAGCGACCCCTACCTCTCCTTCGCCGCCGGACTCAACGGTCTTGCCGGACCACTCCACGGCCTGGCCAACCAAGAAGTAAGTCACACATGCAATCATCTTATTACATACATGTTACACCAATGCTCGTTAGTGGTAGACTTCTAAATATACACTATGAAGGTATCACCTCCAAAAGATTGGTAGATTAAAAATCACGATTTTCGTCACCTTATTGTAAGAGAACATATTGTCTCTTGCAATCAGACGGAAATTGGACAAATATATAAAGTGAAAGACTTATTTTGTAAATCAACAATTGCATTGTAAATGATGAGAAAAATCTGAGAACATCTTTTAACTTTTTTTTCTTTTTTCTATGTTTATTTAGGTTTTGGTTTGGTTGCAAAAATTGCGCCAGCAAGTCGGTGACAAGGCCACCGAAGAGCAACTCAAAGAGTTCATTTGGAAGACCCTCAAGTCCGGCCAGGTCGTTCCCGGCTACGGTCACGCCGTCCTCAGAAAAACCGACCCGAGGTATACGTGCCAAAGAGAATTCGCCCTCAAGCACTTGCCCAATGACCCGCTCTTCCAGCTGGTCTCCAACGTCTATAAAGTGGTGCCACCAATCCTGTTGGAACTTGGAAAGGTCAAGAACCCATGGCCCAATGTAGATGCTCACTCTGGTGTCCTCTTACAGGTAACATCTCAAACGATAAACGTGTTAAGTCTTATCTTATAACGATATGTTCTTTCTTTTCTCTTTCAGTATTACGGACTTTCAGAAATGAACTATTACACCGTGCTGTTCGGCGTGTCTAGGGCTCTCGGTGTCTTGGCCTCCATGGTCTGGGACCGCGCTCTTGGCCTGCCCATCGAAAGACCAAAGTCCTTGTCCACGGACGGTTTGATGAAAGCCCTCAAAGCAGCTTAAACACAAACTTTCTCCGATGATTTTGTTTTAAGAAAAAAAGAAACCAATCAAAAATCAACATCACCAGTAGCAGGAACTATATAGAATTAGTCACAACAACACAACCCCAATTTTATAAGGAATCATCAACGAACAGCAACAATCACGGATTAGTAGTAATACAATAATCGCCATCATCTCACGTTTGTTACCATTTTTGTTTCTTTGTAATTTAATTTAGAGTAAAACAAAAGCAAAATTAAAAACATTTTTAAGAGAAAGCGAAGCAATCAGGAGGGATTCAAACTAAATGCAAAATGTACAATCATGGAATACTGAAGCTATATATGTATAATATATTTTGACTATTTATTAATTAATCTATTTGATTAGCTTCAATTGTGTATTAGTGTGTACAGTTTAGTTTCTTTAATTTTATTTTCTTTTTGTGTAGTCTTGTTTTGTGTTCATTTGTATATTTAAGGCGAAAAAAATCTTTTAAGTTTCCTTTAATTTATTCTGCGACGGATTCACTCGATCCGGAGTTGACTTGTGTTATTTTGTCTTAGTTACTACTATTACTAATTTTCTTTCTCTTCCTGACCTTCAAATCTTTCTATGTACAAAGTCTTTTCTTGTAAATTTTACCCAAGAAATTTATTGAATAGTTCAATAATAAAAGATGAAAGGAGCAAAGAAAAGTTACATCGTAGAATTTGAAGACGATCCCATCCTTTAAGTAATATACATTGATATATATATATTCTATTTCGATATTACATTTTCAGGCGTTTTAAGCGAAGGAATTATTTGGAATGGTGTTTACTAACTTATATATGTGTATAGGTTTATTAAAGTTGAGTTGGTTGCATATATGTGAATTGTCAAGTTAATGATTAGAGATGGAGGATTCAGTGGGTATTAGAGCAGTGGCGTGTACATTTTCAACGCGCAGCATTTTATTGATTGCGGGTGAAATCAGGTCATCGGAAGTTCTGTAGTGCAGCGAAATTACCAGATACACCATACACACAGTTGACATTTGTTTTGACAGTTAATCAGCTGTATACATGTATCGGCAAGTCTTACCTAAATAAATAAAACATGGATATGGAACTTGATGTGAATTAGACGAAGAGTTTGCAGAAACTACGAATTTTTGATTATGGACTTCCAGAATGGATAAAAGCTATTCGAATGGCGTAGTGTGCGCATTTGGCCGATGAAGATTTTGTGGTAGCAACAAATGTATTAATATTATGGATATCCAGAATGAGTTACTGGTGGCAATTGATGAGGGCAATTTGAACACGATCAAAAGCGCACTCGAGCGGGGGGCGAACGTGAACAGAATATCTTCAAGAGGTATCACCCCATTGGGTGCTGCTGTTCAGACAGGCAACTTGGCAGTCCTGAAAGTGCTGACAGAGAGCACAAAGCTGAGCTTGAATCTGGATGGGTCTCAGCAGCAGCAACAGAGGAACAATATTGGGTACTTTGTGGTTTGCAAGGATCTGGATGAATTTGGCGACGGGCCGACGCCAGATGGTATGGATGCCCTGGAATGGGACATGGAGATTAGAAATGAAAATAGCGCACAGGAGAGGCCCGTGAGCCCTGACATCAGTTTATACAATTGGTATGCAAAGATATTGAATCAAACTTCGATTTTGCTAAAATCGCCAGAGTACGATATTTCCAGATTGGATTCTCATGGCCAGAATGTGTTGCATTACTCGGTGCGGTGCGGTCATATGGATATGGTGGAGTATCTGTTGGATAATTACGACGAACTGGATGTCAACCAGTGCGATGGGCATTGGTGCAGTCCTCTGCACATCGCCTGCCGCACGGACAGACCAGAAATGGTGCAGCTTCTGATTAAGAAGGGCGCCGATGTGAATGGAGAGAGCACGCACAGAGAGACTCCGCTGCACGTTGCAGCTCAAATGGGCGATCTGGAAGCAGTCAAGGTGTTGATAGAGAATGGGGCCAACGTTAATGTATACAACATGGAGGACAGATCGCCTCTGAGTATGGCAATATGCAATTTGCATGAGCATGTTGCAGAGTACTTGGTGGGCAAGGGGACCAGACTAAACCAAGAAGAATGCCTTGGCTACACAGTGCTTTATAAGGCTGTATGGAATAACTTGTATAGCACTACCAAACTACTGTTGAAGGCTGGAGCTAAAATCATCAATTCCCACCATTTACTGCATCTTGCAACAAATCAAAACAATTTGGATATGGTCAAGCTGATTCATGAGGCTGGAGCCTTCGTCAACACCAGAGATGACCATGGCAACACTCCACTCATGACAGCTTGTCTAGTCAGGAACTTGGACATAGCTTCATACTACCTAAGAAATGGTAATTCCCACAACAATACCACTATCTAGGATTCTGCTTAAATGTTGATTTTTATCATTGCAGGTGCTCCTGCGAATTCGGTGAATCAGATAACAGGGATGTCGGCGCTGCATCTGTGCGTGCAGCACGAGGACGATCCTGAAAAATTCAGACAGTTCCTGGATCTCCTCACCAGCTGCAACGCGGACATCAACGCCAACAGCCATCAGGGGAACGTCCTCTTCTACTCGATAATACTGAACAACGTAAGCGCGGCGTCTCTGCTCATCAAATACGGTGCAGATGTCAACAGTCGTGACGAGCACGGCTACTTCGATAATCTTAGTGTCGCAAAGAAACAGGGGAACTTCGATCTGGTCAGACTCCTGGTGTATGCCGGCTTCCGTTACAGGAATCTGCTGTTCGACGTGAAATCGCTGAAGGACGATAGCGGCGACGATCAGATATACGACTTCATCGTGCAGACAAGGAGCAAACCGATGAATCTGCGTGATCTCTGCAGGATCAGGGTAAGAGCCTGCCTCGGACGACAGCTCCATCGCAGGATCAACAAGCTACCACTGCCTTCGATCATCCAAAAATATCTGGCCTTTGAAATTTTATAAGCTGGATCGTAAATTTCGCATCATCGAACTGCCACACGACAGTTGAAAGTTTTTAGTCTCTCTCACTTTCCTCATCTCACTAGTCATATTGTATACACAATGAAATATATTTAGATTTTCTAAACCGTTCCTTTTTCTTTCAATTCCCACAGCTGAATATTTATAGTTCTCATAGAGACAGTTGAAAATGGCGAACGTCAAATAGATAATTAGAAAAAAATGTTAATTGTAATAATGCATAATTATTTTCATATTCAATCAAGTAAGTATATACATACGGACTTGGTGACTATCAATATTTGCTAGAGTGCCATTTTATATCACAAGTGTATACCATGGGTTCAGATCAAAATCCCAACAACCATAATCTCAAAAGTGTTAAAATCACAACAGTATTTTTCTTATTTTATATAGACGTGAATAAAAAAAAGAGTATCGATATTCTATTGTTTAGTGTATTTTATAGGAACCGTATTTTATTCGTACGCTAACTAAAACTATTTAGTTCATTAATTCTTAGACTCATCAATATTTGTAAAAATGAATACAGTGGAACCTCGCTTAACGAGCAAAATTAATTGTAAGGAAAATTACTGGCATAACGAGTGACGATGAGAAGCTACATCATTTTTAAAACTTGTGTACACATATTATGTGTATTTTTGAATATGTTTCACTATACGAGTAAAAATGTAGAAATTTTGGAACGGATTAAACTCGTTAAGCGAGGTTCTACTGTATTTGTGAAATAATTCCGTCACAAAGCGGCAGTGATAAAGTTGAATGCGTTCTCCGCATTAGACAGAAAGTATTGCAAAAATTCGCCAAAATGTTCGAGATTTTGATAATGTTGAGATGTTCACTACGGCAGGATTTCGATATGTGATGATATACGGGTCTATCGCACATACAAACATATTTGTTAATTTACAAACCGATGATTGTAAAAGTAATCTTTTAATTAAAGGAAATGCTTGTAATCTTTTAATTGAAAACGAAAAATATTTATTTGTATACGCGAAGATAGCATTAAAATGCTTCAGTATCGTAGATAAACGGTGGTGTAAATTGGAATTCGATGACCTCCGACTACCGGGGTTAATTGAATTCCGCATAAACTGAAGAGGACATCCACTATATAAACCACAAGAAGTTGGTCGAAAGATGTGCATTCAGTTTGAAGCAATCGCAAACGATCAGCCAACATTAACCTACACGCAGTAAGTAGTGTACATTTCTTTTAAATTTGTTGTAATTTCTATTGAACTTTTTTTTATTTTACATTTATTTTTATTGTGTTAAAATTTGTGCTCTCTTACTTTGCGCAGATGGCGCCAGCAATCGAAGTAGTTTCCGAAGAGGTGATCCTGGGCGAAGGACCGCATTGGGATGAGCAATTGCAGTGTCTTTACTATGTGGATATATTCGGACAGGCCATCCACAAATTCGTGCCATCTACCAATTCGCACACCAAAGTAGTCATTGGTTCGTTATTTGCTTATTGTTAATTAAATGTGCGTTGTTATAACATTGCTTTTTTCAGAGGGCGGACCGGTGACTCTGCTGGTCCCGGTGGAAGGTACCACGGACCAATTCCTGATCAGCGTGGGTAGAAAATTGGAGGTGGTCACTTGGGATGGCATTTCGAAGAAGGTGTCCAGACAAGAGCATCTGCTGGAGGTGGAGACGGAAGCGGACGTGCGCGGAAACCGCTGGAACGACGGAAAGGCGGATCCCGTCGGCCGTTTGTGGGCGGGTACCATGGGACCGGAACCGGAAATCGGAAAACTCGAGAAAGAAAAGGGATCTCTATACACGCTAATTGCCAAACACAGAGTGCGCAAGCATTTGGAAAAGGTGAGCATCGCCAATGGTTTGGCATGGAACATCAAGCTGAAGAGAATGTACTACATCGATTCACCAAAAAGAACCGTTGACCAATACGACTACGATATAACGAAGGGAGAAATAAGTAAGATTTATATATAACTCGAAAAGAAAAAGAATTTTAATTTAACTCCATTTACAGAGAATTGCAAACCCATCTTCGATCTAGACAAACATGATATCCCCGGCGTTCCCGACGGCATGACCATCGACACCGATGGTAACCTTTGGGTTGCCGTCTTCGACGGCGGTAGATTGTTGCACATCAACCCCAACACCGGCAAGTTGATTCAAACAATCTACTTCCCTGCCAAACAGGTAACATAACTTGCCACATTGAGAAAATACTCGTACATCTTCAATTTCTAGATAACTGCTTGCGCTTTTGGAGGACCGAACATGGACGTCCTCTACGTGACCAGTGCCAAGTTGGTGGTCAAGGGCGAGGAGCAACCGAAACCAGCAGGTGCTCTCTTTAGAGTCACCAGAACCGGATGCAGAGGAATTCCCGGATACAAGGTGGATCTGGAAAAACTCCACTGAGCAATAGCACCGTAGAAATATTCAATTTGTAGTAATAACAATAAAGCGTAAACATTATAGATGAACATAAAAAAAATTTCTTATAAATTATATATATGCAACCCATTTCACAAAACAATCGCAATTTCACAACATAGTTATGAAAAAAAAAGCATAGCTCTTTACATAAGGTAAAATTATAGTCTTGCGCTCCACACCACTGATGTGTTGCACGTGGAAACCGGAGTATTTCCATTGAAGATTAGAAGAGCAGAATTGGCGAGACGTTATTTCGTGAAGTGTAGAGCAAGCCCACTTTCAGCTACTCGCCCTCTCATCGCCAGGGCAGCGTCGGAGTTCCAATGAAACCCTTTTTGGCCGACCAAGGGAATCCCACTTCTGATTCAGGCGTGGAGAGATACGGAAACATTCAGAAGAATGGTGGGTCAGATAGCCATAAAAATATCTTCGCAACATCTTCCAATGGTGGGATTGGATATTGATAATTAAAAATAATGTAATTTGAAAAATTAATTTTAATAGAAAACTGAACATTTCATCACTAGGTATTATCTTTCCTTAATTCGTAAGTCTTTAGGCAGATGTACATATTAAAGGTCATTATAGATTGGACCTTCGAGTTTGTTCACAACATGGCGATTAAGAATAGTCTTAAGTGGTATTTGTTCTAAGTCTTAATGACTTACATAAATAAACATGTATAAAATAATAAGGGCTAACATAATATAAACAATAACTGTTATACATAACAATACTACCGTGAGCATTAATTACCAACACCGGCTGGATATTCACCCAGACCCTCTTACTGCTGAGCTGGCTAACACAGAGAATCATCGCCGAAGATTTAAGAGTTTCAAGCCCCAAGACCTACCAAATCGTTTTTAGAATTAGCAGTTCGTGACTCCGTGTGCCTCCAAAGTGATTATGTTAAGGTTGGTTACTGAACCAATCCCTTGACTTCTTTTGTATTTTATGTTTTAATTGTCACCAGACCGGTTTATTATTTTATGTAAAATAGAGGGCTGAACAAAAAAAAAGAATTACTCTCAGTAAAACCTTTCAAGATGAACATAGTCTTATAAGAATTTTAATATGATGAGCATAGTCTCAGATGAATCTTAAATCGACCAAGTAACGAAAAAGTTATGTAAAACCAAAGGAATTTCATTAAATTCCCAACAACTAAGACTCCACAACGACAACACCAGTCAAAATTCCAATGTGTCCAGAATTCCATCCCTAGTATACGACAAAATATTAATTGTTTATTCAGTCCGGATTTTTACTCGTATAATGAAACTGTGGTGCTCAGCCCGGTACGGTGCGCCCCACTCCAGCCCGCAGCTGGTATTCCAGGAAGGTCTGATAAGGGCTCTACTTGGTTAGGGTATATAAGCGGAAAAAAATCTGTATCTCTCTTCTCTTATTTCCTGTCGTCGCTTCCGCATCTCTTGTGTGTAGTAATAAGCTGTAAGGTTCCCGGTATTATCTCGTGAGTATTCTCTGTGTTGGCTCTCGGGCCTCGGACTCATTATACTGTAAGAAACCTTTGTAACATATGTATCCTGTGTATCACACTATATTGTAACAAGCCATGATTTACTCTAATAAACATATATACGAGCATCCCCAAAAAACATATTAAAAAATACACATAATATGTGTACAAAAGTTTTAAAAATGATGTGGCAGACGCGCAATCCGGACTGCTCTTCTCATCATCACTCGTTAAGCGAGTCTTTTTTATTGTTAAGGAAAATGCTCGATATGCGAGGTGCTTGTTAAGCGAGGTTCGACTGTACTACATTAAAAAAGGACACAGAAAAAAGGTCAACCATCAAGGTTTATAAACAACAACAAATTATGTAAATACTGATTTGCGAATTGTCTTCCAAAAAAAGCTGTTAACATTTACTCATCTTAAGATTTATTATATTTCGAAACTTGAATTAAGGTCACCTTTTAAACGGTGACATGTAATAAACAAATAATATTCAGCGAAGGACATCGTCAATAACATGTCTCGAACTGAAATTGTTATAATGAAGCACCATAATTATCGATGGAAAAAGATACGATTACGTTAACAAACATTATAACTTGTTTTCTCTCAAGTATAAAGAGTCCGCAATACTGCAATACTAGTCATTCAAGATGCAGATTCAACAAATACATATTGCTGGAGCTACAGAGTTGGGCGAGGGACCGCATTGGGATCAACGAACGCAGAGTCTTTACTACGTTGATATCATCGGAAAGACCATCCACAAGTATACACCAGCAACCGAGAAACATTCCAAAGCACAACTAGGTAAAATCGTATAGAATTTAAAAGTTGAATTTTCTGAAATGATGATGCGTTTCACAGATGAAAATGTATCGATTATCATCCCAAAAGATGGAGAACCAGAAAAGTTTATCGTAACGATGAATAGGAAGATCGTGGATATCGAGTGGGACGGTACCAGTCCGAATGTTAAGAATATAAAGATCTTGACCGAAGTCGACAAAGAAAACAGTGTTAACACGAACCGCATCAACGATGGAAAATGCGACCCGAAAGGACGTCTTTGGTTCGGTAAATTATTCTTATACACGACTTAACTGAATTGGGATTTGGATTCTTTTAGGTACGATGGGAGGACAACAGATGAACTGGCAAAAAGCTACAAACTCCGGTAGTCTGTTCAGTATGGATTCAAAATGTAACGTGACGAAACACGTGAATAACATCTGCCTATCCAACGGTCTCACATGGAACGCGGATCGTACCAAGTTCTATTACATAGATTCCATGAAGTTTACCATCGACGAGTACGATTACGACGATGAATCCGGAAAAATTGGTATAAACGATTGTAGCGACATCTAGCCATATTACTGATACACATGCACCATTTCAGGAAACGGAAGAGCGATCTTCACGTTATCTTTGAATAACATCGAAGGTATTGCGGATGGAATGACCATCGATACCGACGGGAACTTATGGGTTGCCATTTTCAAGAGTTTCCTGGTTATCCAAATAGATCCACGAAAACCGGAAACGCTCTTACGAACCGTCAAGATTCCCGCCAAACTGGTAACGTCGGTCGCGTGGGGCGGCGAGAACTTGGATGAGCTGTACGTGACCTCAGGCAAGTTCACCATGGACAACGTCGTATTGGATGCAAAGGAAGGACACGGAGGATTGTTCGTGATTAAGGGGTTGGGCGCTCGAGGTCTCCCCATGACCGACTATAAGATATAAATGGATCAATCAACTAGCCAAACTCATTTTGTGTTTTGAAAATAATAGATTACGTGTGCTGTACCCAAGTTTTTCTAGGCAACCAATATAACACGGAACGGTTAGCCATTTAGTCGACCATTATTCAAATATGATTATTACTAACTTGACGTAAAGAATGAAAATCATGTAATAATCAGGATTAAAATTTAAAATTTAATTAAATCAGTGGAGTATTATACATTTAGACACGAACCAATATATTTTCCTATAGTATTTAAAATAGATGATTTTTTTCAAATATTTTTGGGATATTTTCGGATATTTTCGAAAACTTGTTAAATATGTGAACGACGAAAATAGCATTGAAAAATAAATATATTTAGATAATGAAGCAGTTATTTATTGTATTGATTCTTTAAACTGTTTATGGTCTGGTATGAGGTACATGAAGGTCAAATTACTTGATAAGCGATTAGATACTATTACTCAATAATATATAAGCAAACCGAGATTTAGTGCATTTGAGTGTCTACCGTTCGATATGTCTATGAAGCGAGTATCGATAGTCGGTGCAACGGAATTGGGCGAGGGCCCGCATTGGGATCAACGAACGCAAAGTCTGTACTACGTTGATATCTTCGGCCAGACCATAAATAAGTACACGCCGGCAACGGAGTCGCACTCCAAAGCAAAGCTAGGTATATCACAAATTAAACTTTGATGGGTCGAAGTCATTGAATAACGATAAGGGATTGTTTTGCAGATGAGAATGTCACGTTCATCATCCCGAAAGACGGAGAACCGGACAAATTTATTATTACTGTAGGCAGCAAGATCGTTGAAATCGAATGGAACGGTATCAGTCCGGATGTTAAGATATTGAAGACCTTGACCGAGATGGACTCTAAGAGAATCAACGATGGGAAATGCGATCCGCGCGGCCGTCTGTGGTTCGGTAACTTAAACAAGCGCTTTGAGAGTACTGAAATTGAATTGGATTTGCATTGATTGATACACCCAGGTACGATTGGCGTAGATCCAGTCAACAGTGAGGCGAAATCGGAGATGGGCAGCTTGTTCTGCTTGGACCTCATGGGCAATATATCTATGCACGTGAGCAACGTCATGATCTCCAATGGTCTCACCTGGAACGCAGATCGCACCAAGTTCTACTATATAGATTCCATGAAATTCACCATCGACGAATTCGACTACGACGATGTAACCGGGCACATTGGTATTAGCAATATCTTAAATGCTACGCAATCTGGCTTCATTACGGAAACATTTTTTTAGGAAACGGAAGACCGATCTTCTCGTTGAAATTGAACAAAATAGAAGGAATGCCCGACGGAATGACCATCGACAGCGATGGAAATTTATGGGTTGCTATCTTCCAAGGTTACCAGGTGATCCAGATAGATCCTCGCAAACCGGAAACTATCTTGCAGACTGTCAAATTACCGGCAAAAATGGTTACATCCGTCGCGTGGGGCGGCTCTAACTTGGATGAGCTGTATGTAACCACAGCAAATTTTAAAATTGATAACGAAGTACTAGATGCAAAAGACGGACACGGAGGATTGTTCGTATTTAAGGGATTGGGTGCACGAGGAATAACCATGAACAATTGCAAATTATAGATATATGGAAATCGTCTAGCTATAATAAAAATAATTTTGTAATATCTAGAGAAAATTAGCAAAATATTATAATTATCAAAACTTCAATCAAAAGAAAATTTGTGTTTTAAGTTCCTTCCATAAACTCCAAAAAGTTTTTTTTTGTAAATTTACGCTTAGCAATTTTATAATAACGAATTGCTAATCTGAAAGTTGATTGACGTCAACTTAAGTCTTAACATTAAAAAAAATAATGATTTTTGTTATCTTATTATTTCTCCAGAATAACTGGAAATTAATAGAATATTAATGCACCGCGAAGTCGACAGTGAGCAACAGTGAGTTTCTCTCATTACACGTACTTCATACGAGTCATACGAAGGTCATATATATTTACATTAGGTGATTAGATATTACTACTCACTGGTTTCGTATAAAAAGGGTCGACTCATTGTATTGTCGATCATTCAACATGCAGATCCAGCAGCTTCATAATGCCGGTGCTACCGAATTGGGAGAAGGACCCCATTGGGACCAGCAGACGCAGAGCCTGTATTATGTGGACATCTTCGAAAAGACCATCAATAAGTACACGCCGGCTACGGAATCGCATTCCAAAGCTCAACTAGGTAAAACAGAAATGGATATATAGAGTTAATGGACTTGTTGATAAATGTTGCAACCGCGGTTGCAGATGAACACGTCTCTGTGATCATCCCCAAAGACAGGGAGCCGCACAAGTTCATCGTGACGATGAACAGGAAGATCGTGGAAATAGAATGGGACGGCGTCAATCCGTGTGTCAAAATCTTGAAGACCTTAGCAGAGGTTGACAATGAGAGCAGTGTTAACACGAATCGCATTAACGACGGGAAATGCGATCCGCACGGTCGTCTATGGTTCGGTAACGATGTCAGTAGATTTAATTGAATTTGCACTGATTGTTGGTTGATCCAGGTACGATGGGCGAGGAACCAATTAATGGTCAAATAGCACCTAATAAGGGCAGTCTCTTCAGCTTGGACTCAAGGGGCAATGTTTCGAAGCACGTGACCAACATTTGGATTTCGAACGGTCTCTCCTGGAACGCGGATCGTACCAAGTTCTATTACATAGATTCTGTGAGGTTCTCCATCGATGAATTCGATTACGATGATGAAACTGGACAAATTGGTACCGCCGTTTCTCAAATTGTGATCATAACAAATATTACACATTTTTTTTACAGGAAGTAGAAAAGCGATATTTTCTTTGATCGCAAACAACATCGAAGGCTTTCCGGATGGAATGACCATCGATAGCGACGGAAACCTCTGGGTTGCTATTTTCAACGGATTCCAGTTGATCCAAATAGATCCCAGCAAACCGGAAACCCTCTTGAAAAGTATCAAGTTACCCGCGAAACAGGTAACTTCCGTAGCGTGGGGCGGCGCGAACTTGGATGAGTTGTACGTGACCTCAGGCAAGTTCACTGTTAACAATGTTGTGCTTGACGCAAAGGAAGGACACGGAGGATTGTTCGTAATTAAGGGGTTGGGCGTTCGCGGTCTTCCCATGACCAATTGCAAACTATAAACGAATCTGTTACACATATAATATACATATATATATATACAATGTACAGAATGTAAAGACACTTGAAATCGTATCTGTAGAAATAATACAAAAAAAAACATATAAAGATATGAAAGAAAACAAAATAAATACTATTCCTTATGAAACGTAAAATAAGAAATAAATTAATTCTTACACATGTACAACATTTAACTTAGATTGGTAATACCCAGTTGTTGCTGTATCTCATTATTCACTTAGGACAGCTCGAAGCCAGCCTGCTGCTCGATAGCTGCCACCAGCTTCTTCCGTAGCGTCTCCTCATCTTTGATCAACGGTAATTTGAGCAAGTTCAGGCATGTACTGGCCGTCGGCATTCTGTCATCACTCCCCGATGATTGAATGCAGAACGATGGATTCAGCTCCTACAGAATAAAACACTATTTAATATTGATCTACAAGTAAAATGCACGTACCTTGAAACCAAGAAGTGGTGGCCTCGAGCAGCTCGTGACGAACTTTAGGAGCATCTTTTTCTGAGTGTCCGTGAAGCTGCGCAGAATCTTCCAGAAGGACACGATGATCGGATGTTCATCGGTGAATTCGCCGCCATAGGCTGTGTGCAATCTCAAATCCTCAATATCCATTTCCTGGAAATCTCCGGCGATGATAATTTGCAACTCGTTGTGATTGAACAGCCGCAGCCATTGAAGCGGTACGACGCTGTGTATACCGTGTCTGAAAGCCGCGCATTGCTTCTTAATTTGCGTATTGAGTTTAAGATCAGCAAGCCGATGGATGTACTCCAAGCGGTTGTAGTTTGTCACTGGAATGTTGGCGCCGTTCGGCTTTAATTCGATCACCCGCGTCTCTCCCAAATCATTATTAACCAAGGTAAAGTCTAGACCCAAATCCTGCACGTCCCCTTGGTAATCGCGTAAATATAGCAGGTTTCTGTAGAGCACCGGATCTAAGGATTTTAAATAGTGAGCGCTCGCCCTGTCCACTAAGATTTTGGCAAGGAAGAACTCGGCCAATGGCAAATCTACTAGAATATTCTCCAAAATTGCCTGAAAAATACTTGGTTTACAATCTAATCGATTTCGTATCTAAGGGTATGGTATACTTTTCCGACTAATCTACCGATGAAGTAGTAGTGATCGGCAAAGTTCGGCACGAGTAGATGAACCTGAGGATTTGGATAGAGAGTGTTATCAGCGGTGAGAAGGAAGAAACCTCTATTAGGGTCGAACGCGGTTTTGATGACTTCGTTGATGAACTCCTTGAAGATGCCACCACCGTCGATACCGGCTTCCTCCAATCCCACGTTATTTATAAATTGAATGCGCACTCTGTGCTTCATATCTTCATCTGTAAAAACAACTCAATCGTATATTTATTTATTGCATTCGTTTTTCTTTACCGTCTTTGGAAGAAAATTTATCGAAAGCGTCCTCGTAAAGGTAGTTCCGACGTACGGTGAGGGCATTGTCCAGGTAAAAGTCGCTCCTAAAACGGGTTTCCGTATTTCCCAAGCTGTAAAAGCACATCTGCCGTAAAATCATCACCCTCTGGCTGAACTCAATCATGAACGGAAGCTTTTGCAGCATCGCCAACGACCGCTGCTCGATCGTTGAAAGAGGCGGATACACCTCATCTACACGTAGACATCAAATATATTTAGATAGAAACGAGAAGCGAAGCAGAACGCGATGTTAGTTACGAGAATAAATTCAAAAAACTCACAGTCCTCGTCGAGAATGATGCCGCTAAAAGGGGCTAAAGTCTTGGAGAGGTAATCCCGCTTGGTAAGGTCGGGAGAGATCGCGATCCTGCGGCTGGTCCAGAAATCCGGATCACAGAAATTTTTGCGCACGTCTAATGTGTGTAGCATCTTTACCGTCTTCAACGTGCTGTTGTACAAGTGTAGAGTATCCGGAGACACCTTGACCTTCTGTTAATAAACATCAATTATCAATACTACATCAATAAAACAACCGCGATGAACTTACAGGTGAGGTTCGGCAGAGTGGGAACGCCATCTCGATCATATTCAGAGTAACGCTCTTCAAAAGTTCACACATTGACTTCAGTTCGGCCAAGGTAAATGTTTCGCTAGCATCGGTTGTTTCTGGAAATCAAATATCTTTAAATTGCATGCATTCACATGAAAAATTCAATCTTACCTGAATCCGTAATAGTTTCCGTGTAGAATGTGAACATATTGCAGAAAACGGAGATGGGAATCTGCGCATCTTTCCAGGCATTCGGCGAGTTGGTGATTAGGTCTTCGCGCTTCTTGATCCACCCCCAGAGCTTATTTAGGAAGGTCCCTCTCAGCGTCAGCATGTAAAGCAACCTGTACGAATACAAATATCAGTCTCCATAAATCCATTACAATTAAAACTTCTAGGAAATTACATAAACTTCCTTATTGGCTCCCTGAAGACGAGCAGCATCGAATGACAGAGCTTCGTCAATGACTCAACTACCTGCATATCATCGCAGTTGTCGGAGAAGTAGCTGAGAATGTTCTTCACGCGTTCCGTTTTATTGAATAACAATAGAAAATCTTGTAGTGTAACGTCTTCATCATTAATCTCCATCATATCCGTGTCGCTGTCCGAATCAGCGTCTCTAGCCTCCAAAGAGTTCGACATGGTGTGAAGGTCGCAGCTTAGTCGCGATAAAATCAATATGCTGTCGCTATTATGAACTGCAACACGATTCAAAACAGTTTCAAATTTAAACTACGTAGTTTGTAATCGATGTTAATAACAAAAATGATCATATTCCAGCTTCAGCTTTTTTTGCGTGAAGAGCATCTTACCGTAAGATTTAGGTTCAAGGGCAAGTAAAGAATATAAGATGTTGTTGCAAGTATCAAATCTCTTGTTCTTCATGAAGCTTATGAACGCACTATAGGGGAACTTGTTGTGCTTGTCAAGGTACGGAATCAGGTAGTTCTTAATCTTGTATGTGATGTGCGGCATCATGAAGTACTTGAGGTATTCGTCGAGCATCTTACAATTTGATGCAGAGATGTACTCGAACGGTCTGTTGATCATGCGTTTTGAGTAATCGACATCTTCGTTCTCGTGCAGATGCGTCCTAAATTCCTTGTAATATCCTGAAAGATAATAAAAAAATTGCAAATCTAACGGTAATTAATTTAAGAAAATGGTACCTTTGCCGATTAGGTATGAAAGCACGTTGCAATTCTGCGAGAAAATATCGAGAAAGTTCGAAACGACGGGCGTAGATTTGGGTTTCGAAATCAGCTTCAGACAATTGGCGAGAAGTCTTTTTATCAGCCAACTGTATGAACCGTTCTGAGACATCGTCTGCATGACGTTTTCCTGTCGGGCGATGAGTTGCTCGCATGTCGAAATCTGCAGAATTAAATTAAATGTTTAGGCGTAACAATTCGTGCGCACGAAGAAACGTACCAATCGGAATACATCTGTTTCAGGATCGTAGAAAAATAACAGCTTGGAAATGAGCTGCTGTTCCGAGCATTCGCTCTTGTCGAAGAGTTCGCGCTGTTCCTGCTTCGCCTTCTTCCTTGCAAGATAACTGCGTGCGTACGATTGGATAACACCTGTACTTTTTAATCGTAAACGCTCCGCCTGTAAAGATCGTTAATTATATTTTAAATCAAATGCTATGTTTAAAAATTGTTACAAGATAATTTAACAACCATCGTAGTTATCGCTGTAAAATTCATTAGTACCATGGTTAATTAACTATAGCAACCCATCCAAAAACATGAACAAATATATTTTTAAATTCAATATTGGCCGGGGTAGCGCAAGCGCCATTCCCAGACTACCAAAAATTGTTGACATGAGAACCACAAGGATCGCTCCAAGGGTCAGCCTTACTAAGGCATGCAGCGAAAAGGCCTCACCTCGGGGGAGACCGCCTTCTTGATCACGATCCCCCCATTTCTCAGTAAGTCATAATGTAACGTAATAACAAACTCATATAAAATTTACCAAAAACTCTTCAAAGTTTATCAAAGAAGAATCAACGGCGACATCTATCTACTCAACATTCTATACACATTGAAATCGTGCTTGCTTTGGCAATGCATATATTAAAAGTTGTCGCTCATGATTTTGCTCGAAAAATATGAGCCTTTTTTATAGTGGGATAAGTCCACTTTTTGGAAAAAATGATTTAATGATAATTTTAATAAGATACAAGGATATTTTATATTTATAATCACACATTCAATTGATCAATACTTTTGCCAATATTTTTAAATTAATTCAAACGCAAACCCATAATATCTTGATGTATGAAAAATGAATTTATACCAATTTAAAAAATAACGGCGCATATAATTCTTGAATTATTTAACTGATTACTTAATAGCTAGTGCATATAATTCGATATTCAAATCAAACGCAAATATTCATATAATCTAAAAGATATTTTTGCAAGATCTAAAAAATGATTATTCATTGTGACTTATATAAGCAATATCAAAATTATTTTGCATTTTTGTAATAATACCTTCTAAATCACACTTAAAGTACATATTTGATTCAATGTGCATTATTTACAAGTATTGTAAATCAACAAACATATTGTCAGTTGTCTTGGATACTTCATGTAAATAAACAATTAGTTTGTGATTAGTTATAGTCATTTGCAAATCCATCCTCACCTGACGTTTTTGCCTTTCATCATGTGCCCTCTGCAGCAGGATATCCCTGGTGTTCTTCCTGCTGGAACCAGACAGATTCTGTTCAGGTCTGCTCCTATGGTTGCCATCAAAGGCATAAGACATCTTATAAGCTGGAAAGCAGAATCACATAAATAATGAACTAATGACAAAGGAATGAAGGTTCCAATTGTAGTTCAGTGGGAAACAAATTTGTAAACAAAAATCCATAACCTAGACATTGTCATGCAGAAAAAAATGATAAGATGTTGCTTACCCATTCTGCAGGTTGTCGTAGGCAGGAGTAGAAATTAATTCAGAGTATTTGGAATCAGTCCCAACGATGGGTCATAGCTGTCCAAGGTTTTCTCTTTCGCAGCGATGTATCTCAGCTGACACATATGACGTTTCTGAAAATCAGTGATCGCAGTTTTCAGATGGCCGGTATTATAGTTCGACTTTTCAACGCTTGAAACCTAATTACAATTTGGATTGCACACATTTTAAAAAATAATTTAAACTTTAAAATAATTACAGAATAGTTGAAGAATTATCGAAAATAATATAGAAATCCATTTACTTAATATATTAACAAATTTATTTATTTCATATTGAAATGGGGGTTGCATAAATACTAGGTGAATATTTAGATTACTCCAAAATTTTATTCTAACCAATAGAAAGTAATAATTGTAACTAATTAAATTTAAAAAAATAATTAATAAGTATTTGCAAAAAGGATGTAGACAAATTAAAGAAGATGTAAGATTTTCCATTTATTTTATTTTTTTGAATCTTAAAGTATTTAACTATTTTCTTAATAATCTTGCTTTTCTTTTACATGGAGTGTTTATTCGCAGGCTTTGACCAAAGCCTCGGCAACTTCGACGGCGATGGCTGCTTCGGCGCGCGCCTAAAACAATGTTCATTAGTTTCAAGAATTCAATTCCAATAAGGATTCTTCAACTCACGAGGTCGGTGCTTGCAGAGGAAAGTTCGCTCTGGGACTTGTTCAGAACATCCCTGGCGGCGCTCACGTCGATGTTTTCAACTGGGCAGGCCTCTTCAGCCAAAACCTAACAATACAATTTATTAATATCTTATTTATATACATATTTTAAAACTTATATTTTACCTGAACAGAAGAATCATCATTGATGGTGACAGTTCCACTGGAAACAAAGATCTTCTTGATGTTACCTTCATTTTCAAAGACAGTGACAACTCCTGGTTTCAGAACAGCCAAAGTTGGTACATGCTTGGGAAGAATACCAAAGGAGCCAGAGAAGGATGGTACATCAACTTGTTTCACTGATTTAGCATCGTAGAAGACCTGAAGATGCAAACGAGAAAGTTATACAACTGTTTTTAGAAGGAAGTATTAGTGGATATATTACCTGGTTACCAGCAGCGAATGTGAAGCTCATCTCATCAGAGTAACCACGTTTCGCCATAGTGGCGAAGGTTTGACGGTTGAGAAGACGAGAGAAGGAGCGAATAGCGGCCATCTCTGCAAATAATACAAAAATTTAAATTATGTAACTTAAACACAATTATTGATTTTTTTTAAAGTAATACAATTCACGCAAATAAAATAATAATATGTTTATCAATGAAACAGTCTTTTATTACTATCCTATCCTGTTCTATGAAACTAAATAAAATCCAATTGGATAATAAAGAAAGAAAAAAGAAAAGATAACCTCCTATTTGGGATTACATAACTTTTTTTTGGTAATTTGTTGATATATCATAATCTGAATTGAAAACCTATTAATTTTATGGGTAAGGTGCCGGTTTCATATCATTTGAATTATTCTTACTTACTCTTTGGTTTAAATTCTTTCAAAAATTAGAAAATACTCAAGACAACTACTGGAACCAGCTGCAGGACAACCCGATGACTTGGGGAATTTCTCGCGCTAACGTTTGCAGCAGATTATCTCACCAAAGCTAGTGGCACCAACCTAAACTACTTATTTCAGCAGGATAAAAAAGTAGTTTTCAGTTTTTATATTACTTCCCTATGTTATATGTATATGTTGTTACACTTAGTCCCACTTAGTCCCCACTGAGCACGCGGCGGAAACTGACACAAATGCACAAATATGACTATAACAGAAATATAAATAATGAATAGATGAAAAATATTTGATTATTTGTTAATCCTGATCACGAAAATATAAAATGAAATGTTTGCTAATGTTATTATTATTTATAGCATTTGCTGATATAAGATATATGTGCAAACACGTTTAAATATTTGTTTTGACATAATTTGAAGTAAAGCTTTTTTTGTATAAAAAAAACTAATGTTTTTAATAATAAAATCTTAAAGCACTTAATAACAACATCTTATCATTAGTTTAATCACGCTGTTTTCATGTGCCAGTTATAAATAACTTGCTTCTAGCGAATCCACAAAGATGAGGCGTGTTGTAGTTCTTTCGGCCATCCAAAATCTGGTAAACGGACTTAGGGGTAAACTTCCCAACTGCGTTATATACGAGTGCAAATCTGGTACAGCAATTTTCTGTTCTTTAACTTTATTTAATTGTCTTTCAATATCTCAATCTATCAGCTAACGACGAGGAGCTGCGTAATGCAGAGATAATCATCGGAGATTACGATCTGATAGGACCCATAGTTTACGATTTGAAAAAGGTAAAATTGCTACACGGTACATGGGCTGGAGTGGATAAGCTGCTACCCTTCGTGGATGCCAATAATCCTCCACCCTTTCCTGTAGTCAGATACTCTGGGGAACAATTTGGAAGGATTATTTCAGAGTATGTGGTTGCCTCTATTGTAAATCATGAAAGGGAGTTATTTAGAGTTTATGAAAATCAGAGGGAATCCAACTGGTGCAGGGATGGTACTATTATGCATCACAGGATAATCTCGGATTTGAATATAGGCGTTATGGGCATAGGGAGTATCGGAAGTGTTTGTAGGTTCAAAATTCGTCGATATAGGCAACTTAATTTGCATGCTATTTTCCTAACATTTCAGTGGGTCAATTACTGAAACATTTCGGTGCCAAGGTCAATGTCCTGGGTCGTAGACCTTCCATCGATAAAGAAGAATTTAAGTACGTGCACGAATATTATCCGAACGAGAGATTGAAGGATTTTTTGAGCAAGTGCGATTATGTTATTAATACGTTGCCCAGCACCAATGCTACCATCGGACTTTTGAATGGGGATGTTTTAAAGAGTTGCTATGGTAATTGGTATCATTTATAAGGAATATTATCATATTAATTATTCTGTTTCTACTAGAAAGGAAAAGCATATTTATTAATGTGGGTAGGGGGACGATCATCGCTGAAGCAGATTTGGCGAATGCCATTAAGAATCGGTGGATTTCCGCCGCTTACTTGGACGTCTTCCACGAGGAGCCGTTGCCGAAGGAGAACATACTTTGGAGAATACCCGAGGTAAGCTTAATTGACTGGTTGCAACTGGAATATTGTAAACTTTTTTGCAGGTGAAAATAACTCCTCACGTTGCTGCTGTGAGTCGTACCGTGGACGTGGTAGATCAGTTCGCGAAGAACTTGGAGCTGTTCGACGCGGGAAAGCCGATACCCACGAAGATTGACTTCCAGAGAGGCTATTGATGCATCGACCATACGTTTAATAAATAAATACAAAATACACATAAAACAATAGTAGAAAGGAAAAGAAATAAATTACACTTGGCGTATGTACAAAGATTGAAATAAAAAAAATATATAGGTGAAGATAACGAAAATTATCAATGATTAAACTCTAGAAAACGTAATATGAATATAGTAAGCAAGAGTGCTGCCATATGCTGCGCGTAATCCGATTATATAACTTCATATTTCTTGGGTATCACTGCACACAAATTCCATACTTCTGCGTGACTTGAGGGGAATGTGTGGAAGCGATGGCCATCAGCAGAGGGACATCGTTAACCTCCAGTTTAAGAGCGGAGGTAAGTAGTTCCATGCTGCAGAAGTCAGTGGTGAGAAGCATCTGCGCCATGGCTTTGGATTTCATGCAGAACTCCTGGAGACGTTGTTCGATATGCAGAATACACTGAAATTTAAACAAAGTATAATATTATTGTTGGTGGTGTGGTGATCGTATTAAACTCACGTATTCTGCGGGTGTCCTGAGTCGCCACATTTGCAAGAGCGATTCTAGCATGTTGGCAACCAACTGTGACATTCCAACGATTACTCCCGTGTTCTTCCTATCGATCACGTAAGTATGGCTAGACATTACATGAACGTTCCTGGAAAAACTAAGAATTATGACTAATAAAATTAAATTTAAAATACTTACCAGGTGTCTACGTTGCCAATGACCGCGACGGCTTCGTCGACGGTTTGATCTACGAGAGGATGTCGCGCTTCAGAGATGAGGTCACGCTTCAATTTTGCTTCCCACTCAGTTTTAGGCGCCCAAGTGCCCTGAAGGACCATATCGGAAACGTAGTGATCGCCGACACCGCGCATCAAGGAGCTGGTGTATGCCCAAAGCGGCATCATTTTTTTCTCTCCCTCTGCTGACATCGGCATCGGCAACTCCACCAACTTTAGAGCTTCTGGCTCCTTGTTCGTCGCAGTCGTTCTAACGAACTCGGGTTTCGTTAACACCACTTCTTTTACCCTTTTGACTTCTCGCCGTCGATCCTCTAGCACCAGATCGCTGGTGAATTCTAATTCAGAAGCGTTCGATGGTGTGGTCAATGGTTCTCCTAATTCGCATTTGGAAAAGTCGATGTTGTCTTGGAAACCGCTGCAACAGTCCTCCAATTCCTTCTTCTGGTTATGCGATAGGTGAGAAAGCTCGATATTTTTACTCTGCATGTAGTTCTTAACGATCTGCGGGTACTGTTTCAAGTTGAACTTGACACCAGAATACCTGTATTTCGTCGCTTGATCGTTGTGTTTGACTTTGGTGAGTTCGGGGGGTTCGCTCTGCGCCCTCACATCCGGCCTCTCCAAACTTGCCAAGATCGAAGTGTACGACGTGCTGGGCTTGATCTCTGCCCTTCCATTGTACTCGAAGAAATCTGAATCTTTGAACGGGAATGTTTCTGTTTTCGCATCATCCTCTTTCAAACCAATCAACTTTTCGTCATCGCCAAGCACGAAGATGACACCCTTTTCCTTCTTCGCGCTGAACACCCTCTCGATCTGTTGCTTTGCTTCAGTTATATCGATCAACTGCTGTTCATCCCCGATGACCTGCAGCCCAAGATCGGTGAACTTATCAAGCGTCAACGAGTTCAGATTAGATTTGGTTTTCTTCAAGGAATGTTTATTCTGTTGCTGCTGTTGATGGGGTTGTTGCTGATGCTGTTTCTCTGGTTTGATGATCTCGCGCAAATAGTCTTCGTACCTTTTGTAATTTTCCTTTGGAATGCAAGAGTTTATTTGACATATGACGTCGACGGTGCGATTTTCTCCCTCAACATCGGATCGTGTTAAACTACGTCTGGTTAGACCGGCGCATCTGATGAAGTATGTGAGTACCTTCAGGATCTTCGAAATCAGCTCTGATTTACTTTCCGGGCCGGTGATGATTGTGTGGGACATTTTGGATGGATGCCCGGTAGCGCCGAACAGATCGGTGAGTTGACCCCAAAGCGGATTCGCAGCATCCTGTATCTTCGCTGCCTCTTTGTCGCCGGAGAAGTCCGGACACGAGGTCGCCACCCAACCGAGATGGTGGGTCAGAACGGCCGTCACCAACGTGGACATAAAACTAAAAATAATAAGTTATTGCTTTCGCACTCGTTAAACCACGTACATAGAAATTAAGTCATTAAGTTAAAACGATTAAATTAATTATTTTAGAAGATGAAACTATTTATTAACAAATTTATTTGAAAATAATTATTTATAGTTACAATCAATAATATGTCACGTCAAAGACAAGATATTTATAGTATTTTTTGAATTGTTGAAATTTAGGTAATAATTCGTTAGCCCTTTGGCCAGCCTATTAATATATATATATATTTTATTTTATGTTAGAATTTATTTATGTACATAATGTACTTTTTTTTCTTATATATTCATGTTTGGCCAATTAATTATTATTATTATTATTTAGGTAATAATTACTTACAAGTTGGTGTGTTTTGTATCGACGCCCTCTATCAATTCGCACAGATCCCGGACGAAGGTCTCTGCGACGTCAGATCTGGCGTGCTCATTGGAGGTCCGGAGAAACCGCGAGATGCTGAAGAAGTTGTACTCGTCCTGTCGCCGGTTGCATAAATGCGAGCCGGAAGTGCTTCCGGCCGTAATACTGAATAAACTATCACAGTTGGCGATGACTGAGTGCCAAGCGTTGGCGGTTTGATGGGCGCCGGTGAAGAGGTCCACGAACCATCGTCCCGCACTCCTCGCGATATCGAACATGCTGGACACGAACACGCTGTGTCTGACGTACGCCTCCTCCACGCCGCTCCGAACCCTCCAGAGCAACGAATCGATCAGTGCCGCGTGTTCCATCAACACCTCCTCCAACGATCTGCACGTTAACATCATCATTAAAGATGTTCATGAATCATTCAATCTGCAGTACTCACTCTTGCAGACCCAGCTCTACGATGATGGCGAGTCCGATTTTGCTTCCGTGCGCGCCTCTTTGGTAGCGTTGATGATCTTCAGAGTTACAGAGAGAGCGATCCAAGGAAGTGGTTGCCGTCCTCGCCCAGCGTTTGGAGAGGTTGCCCGAGCACGAGTTCCCTACCGCAAAAATCTATAATTAACTTTTGGGCGGATCATTTTGGGCTGCATCCAATTAATGTCTCCCGCATGTCAATACCTTGAGCCAGGTCAATCGGAATCGATTGGGGCCCGCTGCTTATCGAACTCATCGACTGGTCCCCGCCGTAACCAGAAGAACTTATCAGACTAGAGTTTAACACCGGAACGTCTAGAGGCACACTTCTCGTCCTTTTGCAAACTATGAAAGACCAATTTAATACAATTAATCTATTTTTTAAGGAAATTTTACAATACCCAAGAGCGTGTCGCTTGCCGTACTGAGGACAGATTGATCGCTGCAAGAGGTTGCGGAACTCGTTCCAGAATCCTCCAGCCGAATGGACCGTTCCACATTACCGGAAGTCACGTGGATGTGGCTGGGTGCAGAGTTCCTCATCTTCGGTGGCCGGTTCCTCGGACTCGGAAACACCTGCAACAGAAACTAGTCGATGAACCAAAACATCTACCGTTTAAGTAACAAATATTACCATAGAGCAGATGACTTGCTGATTCGGATTAGCGACGCTGTGGATTTTGTACGAGGTTCCCCTGTAGCTCATCCCAACAGACCCGAAGATGAGTTCACCCAAGTAAGCAACGTCGCTGCTCGGTTTCGTATACTGAAATTAGTCATTCGAAGTTAATTTCTGTAAAGGTTTATCCTGCGAGTCAGCAGCATCTACCAGGTAACCGTAACCGTTTCTCGTCTCCATGAAGGATCGCCTCCGACCATCTCCCACAAAGACATCTTCATCTGGCACCAGGATTTTCTCCACAGAGTGCGAATCAAACAGCAATTTCCTTCCACGAAAATCACACTCCCTGAACACGGTTACCCGCACTTGATCTTGAGAGAACGTGAACAGCTTTTCACTAAACGCATCAAAGGATAGTTAGTGGTAGGTAGGTTCTCATTAATATTTTCTAGATAAAAAATATATTTCAGATAGAAAATCAACATATTTAAGAATATAATTTATAGATTTCCGTTGCATTAATCTTATTATTATAAACATAATTCGTAGATCTTGAGACGTCATAACGCAGCATACTACAAATATAGGAGGTATGTTTTTGGTATCCATAGTGTCAGATAGACAAACAACACAAAACTACTAATATAATATTATTTCATGAATATTTTATTTTCTTAACCTTAACATCTTAACATTTGTTTACATCTTACTACTATTTACTGTCAATATACTCTCGGATGTACTTTGTATATTTGTATCATGATAACGCATCATGAATACAATTAAAACCTTTTTTTTAGAAAATAGATTTATATAAATTTATTATTGATATAAATCTCTTTTGGCCCTATTTCTACCTTTTAAGTTTATCGGCCTCGGAGAATCGAATCAACGACCTTTTGTATCAGATTTTCGTGATACAGGCGACCATTAAAACCTTATTTTCCTTTTTTTTATCATCTTGAACGCAAGATATTCCGGTTGCATATATGGGCACTATATTTATATCGATTTCATTGTAATATGACATTGTCGACGAAAGTTGCATACATATTTTGGAAATACATAAAGCGCCATCTTGCATTTGGCCGCGTGATTTAAGCAAAGTGGGTGACCCTTCGTCCGGGTATTTTCTCTCATGAGTCAACGGCATGCCACGAAATGCAAACATAAACACCACGAGGAAATTAGCAAGTACTGATAAATATTTGCACGTCGACGCAACGCGGAACAACAGTCACATGTGAAGCCGGTTGCGCAAATACTGTACGTGTGCTCGTTTGTTTATTTGCTTTGTCTAGGTCGACGATTTAAAGAGACGCGTCTTCTTTAGTGGATTTTGCGAGAAACATTTTGAGGATCCGCAATGCAGAAAGAAGAGACAGAGTAGTCACATGAGACATGTACAGAATCCACGCACGGCTCTATTTATAAACGCAACAGCACGCGACACGTGATTTGTTGATAGGGCTTGAACAAATGTCGACGACGCAATCGAAGCGCACATTGCAAAAAAAAAGAGAGAAATAAATGTAAAAAAAAATAAATAGGAAAAGAATGTGAAGTTATTATTAATTCGGTGGACCAAAAATAACGAAACAAAAAAAAACTTAGTGACCTTTGCTAAGTAAAAGGAAATTATTTATAGGCACAATCATCGGTGCGAAAAGTATGCATGAATAAATGATGCATTTATTGATCGGCGAGAATCCGGTTTCTTTGTGCGATAAAGACGTCATGCGATTCGAGTATAAATAGATTTAAATATCTAACAACAACAATAACATTTGATAAATAGCGGCGACGTATGGGTCTGCAAATGCGGTAATTGCAGCAGCCGCATCGGAAGAAAAGGATAAGAATCAATTAGAAGAAGCGAGATGAAATAATCACAAGCATTTGACTCACCAGCCGCTCGGCAGGTGACAGGCTATATATAGGTTATGTTGTTTCATTGTTTTTGTTGTTATTTGTTGCTAAGGGGATTTACCGTGCGTCCGGATGGCACCTGCGGTTCGGTTTTCTCCTGGACGAGCTGAAGAGCTTGTTGAAGAAGGCCATCGGATCACGACATCCTACTGCTCCTTCCGTACTGCCTTCGGCTAATGTTGCCGCAGGCAGACGATACACACGCACTCGAGGAGTTTTTCTTCAGGTGGCGATGATGCTGCGCTTCGAAGGGAAAGTGCACACAACCTGTGTTGTCTTCGGGAAACGATCGATATGCATGTACGAGAGAGTGCCTTCGAGGATGAGCGGATAGGGAATGGCTGTGTCTGTGGAGCGAGAAGGACGGAAAGCGACGGCTCTCGCGCGCGCACTGTAAATAAAATACACATATACACGTACCGAAAATCACGTGCGTCGTCGTCCCCAAGTCATATGATGTTCGTGTGTGTTTAGGTCAGTTGCGTCTGCACCAGTGAACTTCAAAATGTCGTCACATTCGTTTGTCTTTAAAATATTTCAGAAATATATTTTGAAAACTGCCAACTTTCTACTTATTTAGTGAAATTTGGTTCTCAAACCGAGTTGTTTTTAATTTAGGTTTTTTTTATCTGCATTACTACATATTATATTCATATTCGAATTACAAAGCACAAATAATATACTGTATCAGACTCTTTTTTTTTAATATAAAGAGATTTATATCAATTATTTTTGATATAAATCTCTCAGGGCGACTAATAGCCGAATGGTTAAGTCGTCCTATCTGAGGCCCTTTCTGAACCCTCTTGGTGTTTGCAGCAATAGGGAATCGTTCATCACAGATGGACAGTGAAATGAATGAGGTGCAGCATATGGACCTTCAGCCAAGTCGATGGACAATGACAATGTAAAGGATAGCAGCAGATTCACAGTCAAAGGAAATAGTGGAAACGCAGAGCATCAATATACTACTGAAGTTAACCTACAAGACGACAGCCAACCAACAAATTAAAATCAAATCATCATAATCGTAACTATCCACCGGGAAAGATTACCTACCTAATGTCAACCGCGATCTTAAATTTTCTCAATGTTCATATTGATGAACAGATTGTGAATAAAATTATACGACATAAAAAAAATAATATAAATCTCTTAGCCCTATTTCTACTCCGTTTCGGGTTTATCGACCCCCCACAATTTTTTGTTGATATTCAGGATTGAACCAATTTTTTTATATCGGATTTTCGTGATACAGGCGACTAACCACACGGATACATCCGCCCTAATTAGAACTGTCACATATACGAGATGGGTACTTTGTTGTTGTTAAGATTTTAGATATTAAACTCATACATTTTATATTTATCAAAATGTCACATTAATTACAAAATGGTTGATACGTACTTTTTTGTTATTGTTGCTAACAGTCGCGGATTAACTAAAGTTGGAGCTCGTAGGAAAATTATTTGTGGGTGCTCGCATATATACTAAAGACAATAATCTATTTTAAATATTATAGAAAAATGTTTTGGTTGGCTTGAGGCCCCTAGACATGTGCATCATTGCCTTAATGGATCCGCAAATGTTTGTTGAGGTTTAATAATAAACAGATTAATGTTATGGTGTATAAATTATAGACGGTCTCCGGTTCTCTGTGTATTTGATTGGATTTGGCACCTTGATGAGGACGATGTCGTTGTTTAACTTGCTGTTGTATTATGGATGGATTAGGTTTTGTTGACCGACTTCGTTTTCCTTTATGGAGACACCTCCTATTTGCAGACGGAAGCTATAGGCTCTGTCGATGTCTTTGTATAGTAGTTTGATTACCCTTCAGCGCAGTGAGCAGCGGCAAGCACCCATTGGGCATGGATCAAAGCACCACCGCAGAGGAAGCTTCCCTGTGGGTTGATGTAGTTGACGGCCACTTGCCATGGGAATTTACCTTGCTTCGCCGGTGATCCGGATGCGGCTGGAGTAACCTCCGGCATACAGATCCTTCAATGTGATGATCATAATAGATATAAACTTACTTCTGGAGCGGCAATAACTAATCGGTAATAACTAATACGATAAGCGCCAAAAAAAGGAAATTTAGAAAGATCAATAAACAATCAACATTCGTTATCACGTCCGATTTCAAATCGATGCAAATTGATATTTGCTTTGTTTGTTTTGTTCTAATATCACTAATTTAACATTATTAAAATTTAGTTAAATATATTGCAAAAAAAAAATTAAATGTACAAAAGCGGTAAAAGTGTAGTTCCTTGAAGAATACTCATCTAAACTCGATTAAAGATATAGATAATCAAATATACTTGTTTACATTAATTTATTTAAACTAACACAAAAATCTCTTAATTTTCACTATAAGATTATTGTAATTCAATGTTCATAATTATTCATAAGATAAAAATGGTTTATCATTGTTCAATTTATTGCTATTCCATTTGATTTGCAATAGTTTTTTTTTCAGAATCCCTAAAATGTCGATTTGTTATTCGGTGATTACGGAGAAACGATTGTAATTAAATAGCGATAAACTTGCATTGTTTCACTACTAAAAAAATCATGAAATATTATTTGATATATTATAATCTTCATCTAAACTTGTTCAATTTTCAAATTTGATATATTCAGATTGCCATCCGATTAATTCAAATCTTATAGACTATTGAAACTAATTATTTTATACAAAAAATGTGAAATGAAAAAAACAAAAGTTTTACTTTATGAGCTTTCACTGCTTATTTTTGTTGTTGGTGTTGTTGTTGTTATGTCTGAAGTTTGAATCTAAACACGACAATTTCGGTAATGATTGAAATCGAACGTTATCGACGCTTTGTCAGGATTAACTATTTTGGGCTCGTTTTGCCACGAACGACTGAGAGAATATCCCAGACTGTTTGAAACTGGACTATTCGAGAAACTAAATACAGTGGAACCTTGCGTACCGAGCTTAATTCAATTCATTCCAGAATCTTATTCGTAACGTGAAACACTCGTTAAGCGAAACTATTTTTCCCATATAAATTAATGAAAAATGCTATAATAAAATTAGAAAAAAAAAACTTATGTTTACAAATTTTATAGAAATTATTTTTATCAAAAATTAATGCGTTAGTGATATATAGAAATGAATGGCAGAAAACTTGAAAAACAAAATTATCAAGAATATGTTATATCACAACTTGTTCTTCCGGTTGAAATTATTTTTATTAAATTTGTATTATTAGCTACCTACGCCGATGACGTCGCGATCCTGTCGTCCAACGGAGATCCGGTTATTTCTGTGCGTGGACTCCAGAGTCATCTCGACGCGTACCAAGGGTGGCTCAGGAAGTGGCGGATCAAAGTCAACGAAACCAAAACCAGCCATGTCACCTTCACCCTCAAAAAGGGAACCTGCCCTCCGATCACACTGAACAACAAAATCATCCCGCAGGCCGACGATGCCAAATACTTGGGCATGTTCTTGGATCGCCACTCACGTGGAAGAAGCACATCGCAACCAAGAGAAAGCAACTGGGCATCAAGTTCGCGAAATTGTACTGGCTGATCGGCAAAAGATCTCCACTATCCCTCGACAACAATACTATTAATTTATAAGACAGTGCTGAAGCCGGTGTGGACGTACGGCATCCAGCTTTGGGGAATAGCCAGCAATTCCAACATCGAGATCCTGCAACGCTTCCAGTCGAAGTGCCTGCAAACCCTGGTGCAGGGTCCTGGTACGTGACGAACGACACGGTACACAACGACCTCCACATGAACACTGTTAAGATTGAAATTCCCATGTTCAGTGCCCGTTACCAAAACAGACTGGAAAACCACCCCAACTAAAGAGACACAACACTCTTGACCTCCCCTTTAGAAACTAAAAGTTAGTTTTCATTCGAGTGAAAATTTTTATTCAAATTTCATAATGTCGTCAAAATCAATGTTTATTTGGGTTGTTATTGTCATCAAATTATTTCTTTTTAGTTAAATTTATAATTGTTTATAGGAAGATTTGCGATGGGAAATCGTTTCGCTCCATGCTTGTTATTTTGTTTATCTGTTTTTTTTCTTTTTTGTCAATGTCAAAAAACTGTTCAACTTGTTGCCAAAATTGTGGCAGATTGTGAATGATAAAAAAAAATGTATTCGCTTTGATTAATAGTTGTGTACAATTATGTCAGTTGCTAAGGTAATAAGTGTAATAATTTTGAGGGTTGGTATTGAATAATTGGAAGTTATTGTTTTGAAAAATATTTATATTAATGTTGTTCTGTTTTTTTTTGTATTGTCATAGCAATTAATTAGGTTTGTTCGTTGTTTCGATCGACTTAGACGGAGATGCCGGTGTTGTCGTGGATCCAGTCCAAGAAGGATTCGGTACGGACGTATCCGGATGGGTTTCCGCTGGCGCAGCCGGCGCTGCTGACGAAGGAAACGACACCGACGTGGGTAGCTTCTCCGTTCTCGATGACGACCAATGGGCCACCGCTGTCACCCTATTTCCCGAAAGACATTTTTAATTATTTCAATTTTCGATTGCTGTTTCGACGCTTACGTTGCAGGTGCTGTGCTCTGGGAAGCCCTTGCAGCAAACGGTAGACTTGATGATGGTGGCTGGGCCGTAAATGGCGGCGCATTCGGCGTTGGAGATGGTGACCAGTTTGACAAAGTTCAAACTATTGCTGACGGATCCAACTGCAGAAAATATGCATATGTATAAGATTCAGCGATTTATCTGGAGTAGTAAGAAAATTATGCTTACAGTCGCTGGTTTTTCCCCATCCGCTGACGGTGACTTCTTGACGGTCTCCGACAACGCTTCCGCGCTTCGGCAATTTGACTGGACGGATGTTGTCGGTGAATGAAATTGGGTTTGGCATTTTGATGAGGGCGATGTCATTGTTCAAGTTGTTGTTGTATCCTGGATGGACGATGCTGTAGGTGGTGGAGACCTCGATGCGACCAGCTTCGTTTCCGTTCAAGGAGACACCTCCTATTTGCAGACGGAAGCTGTAGGCTCTGTCGATGGAAATATTTGAGTTTAATTAGATTATTTCAAATATATGTATAGTTGGTTGCTTACCCTTCAGCGCAGTGAGCAGCGGTAAGCACCCACTGGGCATCGATCAAAGCACCACCGCAGAAGAAGCTTCCCTGTGGGGTGACGAAGTTGACGGCCACCTGCCATGGGAATTGACCTTGCTTGGCCGGGGATCCGCTGATGATGCGGCTGGAGTAACCTCCGGCATACAGATCCTTCAAGGTGGTGATCTGAGACTACAAAAAAGAGAAAAACTTTTAATTCTGAAAATTAATTCAATAGCTAGAAAAGATATAAACTTACTTGAGGAGCGGCGAAAGCCACAGCGGCGAGGGCGAGGACGATGAAACACTTCATGATTCGTCTATGTTCGGATTCGGAAACAGTCCGCCCTTTATATACTAAAGCGAAGCCACTTTACGGTAATCACTAATCCGATAAGCCCCGAAAAAAAGTAAATTTAGAAAGAGCAATAAACAATAAACCTTCGTTCGTTATCACGTCCGATTTCAAATCGGTGCAAATTTATATTTGCTTCTATTTTTATCGAATAATTGTTTGTTTTGTTCTAATATCACTAATTTAGCATTATTAAAATTAATTGAAATATATTGAAAAAAAGGTGAAATATTAAAAAGCGATCGAAGTGCAGTTCCTTGAAGAATACCAAACTGAGCGCGATTAAACACATAGGCAACAAAATTGTTTACAACAATTTATTTAATCTAACTACCACAACCCAAATTTTACCTAATTTTTAACTTTATTGTAATTAGATGTCCATAGTTAATTTAATATTCAAAACAATTATTACTTTAATTGTTTCTATTTTTAAAGTGAAATTTATATATATTAAGTTTAACATTAACTTTATTTATAAGATAAAAATGCTTTATTATTGTTCAATTTATTGTTATTCCATTTCATGTGCAATAGTTTTCTTTCAGAATCCCTAGAATGTCGATTTGTTTGTTCTATGATTACGGAGAAACGATTGCAATTTAATAGCGATAAACTTGCATTGTTTCGCCATTAAAAAATCAATAAAATATTGTTTATTATATTATAATCTTCATCTAAACTTGTTCAATTTTTCAATTTGTTATATTTAGATTGTCATCTCATTTAATACAAAAAATGTGAAATGAAAAAAAAAGTTTTACTTTAGAGTTTTCACTCTCAATTTGTGTTGTTGTTATTGTTATGTTTGAAGGTTGAATCTAAAACGCGTCTATTTCGGTAACGATTGTAATTGAACGTTATCGACGCTTTGTCATGATTAACTATTTTGGGCACGTTCCGCCACTTCAGTGGCGATTATACTCGGATTTAAAGCAGCTTTTCCAATTTTCATTCCGATTTAGAAATTCGGTTACTAGATAAGATTGCACTTTACAAACGCTGTTCAGGCTTCGTTAAGCAATCCCCCGTCGCGTTTCCTCCTAATGATAACAAATATCAGTATGCAAATGTTTTGTTTGTGTTTTTTAAGCGAATTATTTTTTAATGTTATCATATTTTCAATACTTCCTTATTCGTTAAATTGTTACCATGACAAATATTTTTTACTATTGACATGCAGCAATACCTCGCATAGTGCGGGTAGTCGGTTCCGCCAATATCCCTGGCTGTTTGAAACTGGACTATTCGAGAAACTAAATACGGTAGAACTTTGTAACGAGAATTTTACAAGTAACGTGAAACACTAGTTAAGCGAAACAATTTTTCTCATATAAATTAATAAAAAATACTGCAAAAACTATATGTATAACGTTTATTCAAAGAAAATTATATATACCTCGATTTACGAGCACCTCGCATAACGAGCATTTTGCTTAACGAGCAAAATGAATTGTAATAACAATGACTCGTGCAGATAACAAAACAAAAATGCTGACCTCGAAAATATTTAAAAATTTTAAGAAAAATAGATTTTTTTTTATTTTACTCATTTAATATTTGGTTTCTCAAAGCCCATTGTAGAAATTTAATTTATTTTTTTTAATATGTTATTGAGTAATTTATTGTTGCAATAAATATTATTATTTACTTTCTTTCAATTTAGAAAAATAAATATCCAATCCCCAACCCCCGATATCGGTCCGCAGATCAAATGGGCCCGGTACCAAGAAACATATTTTTTTTCCATTTTATTTATTGTGGTGTATTTCTCTCAGGTTTGTGCGACTTTTTGTAATTTTCGTATTATTAAGTTGCGTTGTTATAAAAGTCCTTGTGAGTCCGTAAGGTCAAAAAGGTTGGGGATCGCTGCCTTAGTACATAATATTAATACGAATATTAATTTTGTAGTTAATTGTTTAATAAAATGAAGCAACCCAACTTTTTCTTGCTGTTGAAAGTAAAAGTGTTTTATAGACTAAAAGCAGATATGAAATCGTAATACATTTTTCTTATTAAATTTGTATTTACATTAATTAGTAATTGTGTATAATGTCAGTTGCTAAAGTAACTAGTGTAATAATTTTGAGGGTTTTTAATAGTTGGAAATTAGTGTGTTGAAAAATTTATTTATTATTAATGTTTTTATGTCTTTTTTTTTGTACTGTCATAACAATTGATTTTGTTTGTTCCTTGTTTTGATCGAGTTAGACGGAGATGCCGGTGTTGTCGTGAATCCAGTCCAGGAAGGATTCGGTGCGGACGTATCCGGATGGGTTTCCGCTGGCGCAGCCGGCGATGTGAACGAAGGAAACGACACCGACGTGGGTAGCTTCTCCGTTCTCGATGACGACCAATGGACCACCGCTGTCACCCTATTTAACGAAAGACATTTTTAATGATTTACGTTTTTGATTGATCTTTCGATGCTTACGTTGCAGGTACTGTGCTCTGGGAAGCCCTTGCAGCAGACAGTGGACTTGATGATGGTGGCTGGGCCGTAGATGGCGGCGCATTCGTCATTGGTGATGGTCACCAATTTGACGAAGTTCAAATTATTGCTGACGGATCCGGCTGCAGAAAATATAAATATTTGTGTTAATTTCAATAAGTAGAAGAGAAAAATGTTGCTTACAGTCGCTAGTCTTTCCCCATCCGCTGACGGTGACTTCTTGACGACTTCCAATAACGCTTCCGCGCTTTGGCAACTTGACTGGACGGATGTTGTCGGAGAATTTGATTGGGTTTGGCATCCTGATGAGGGCGATGTCGTTGTTCAAGTTGTTGTTGTATCCTGGATGGACAATGCTGTAGGTAGTGGAGACCTCGACGCGGCCGGCTTCGCTTCCGCTCAAAGAAACACCTCCCAATTTCAAGTTGAAGCTGTATGCTCTGTCGGTGGAAATGTTCGAGTTTAATTAGATTCTTTCAAATTGATGTATAATTGGTTCTTACCCGTCAGCGCAGTGAGCAGCGGTAAGCACCCATTGGGCGTCGATCAAAGCTCCGCCGCAGAAGAAGCTTCCTTGAGCGGTGACGAAGTTGATGGCTACCTGCCATGGGAATTGGCCTTGCTTCGCCGGGGATCCGCTGATGATGCGGCTGGAGTAACCTCCGGCATACAGATCCTTCAGGGTGGTGATCTGAGACTACAAAAAAAAAGAAACCGTTTTAACTTCAATCTAAGAACCAATAAAGTAGTAAACTTACTTGAGGAGCGGCAAAAGCCACGGCGGCGAGGGCGAGGACGACGAAGCACTTCATGATTCGTCTTTGTTCCTATCAGATCACAGTATTCCCTTTATATACAAAAACACAAACTTCCCACCGATTCTATTCATCGTCACTAATCGGTAATCCGATAAGCTCGAACGGGAAAAAAAGTAGAAACTAAAAATAAACTTAAAAGAGAGCAATAAACATTAAGTAAAACACAGTGTTATCAATGCTGATTTGAAATCGGCGCGAATTGATTTTACCGCTGAGGGAAATAAAGATTACATGGGATTTTGCAATGATAAATCATGTGACTCTCAAAAAAAAATTTGGTCATGCCAGCACCATAAATAACTTGAGGAGAGATTAAGAAAAATGAGTTGACTTATCGAAGGGATCGAGCTTGCAACGGGATTACGAGATGAAGTACTTCTTGCTTCTCGGATTGTTTACAGTCTACGCGCAGGTATTTTTATCCTTCTTATCTATCTATCGACAACATTCAATAATACATTTATTGGATCAAGAAAACTAAAAATAAAACAATTAAAAATGAATGTATTTTTTTTTTGTTAAATTTCTAGATGTAAATGTTAGAATTTTTTCAAATGTGTACACTAATATTTCGAAACATATTGCAATGCGCTTATAGAAATGTGGCAATAGTTACATATGGAACGCATGAAATCGCTAAGCTGTAAAATCTAAACAAAAAATTTTAATTGTAAATTATGCAAGATTATTTTCTACAGTCACGAATTTGTGTTTTAAGTAACAAGAAAGATGATTCAAAATAAATTATTCTAAACATATATAGAAATGAAAAGAACAAAATAAATATATATATAATTTCAAAAAAGTCAGCTGATACAAATGCATATTGACCATAGGTATTTCTGCCCTGTAATTTATTATTATTAAGATTGCTAAGTAACATGCATATTCATTTGGTAATGTTTGGTAAGTACTTGTTACATGTTTACAAACTTATTTTTTGAATACATATAGATACTTATATTTTGTTTATTGAAAGTAATCGAATAGATTAATTAAAACAAGATAAAAAGTTTAGGAAAATCTTATTATTTGTCATTGTTTTTAAAAGAATAGAACTAAATATTACGAAGTAATACTTAATTTGGTCTCAAACAAAGATTTTAACCTTTTGGCATCGAGATTTTTGTTGTTCTTAATTTAAAAGATCCTAACCATTAAGTGAACATATTTACATAACATGATTTGTAACATAATCTAATCCAATCTACTAACATAACTTAACTTAAGTCAATTCAATTAACTCGTACTTACCCCTACTAACACCACTTTTGACTTATACCTGTCAACTTATCCCACCTAACTTAGTTTTACTTTGGCTTTCACAGTAAAACTTGTTTATTTCTTATATATAAACTCTTCTATTCCTGATTATCAGAGATGTTTTCTTTAATTGAAAATTAGATTGTATATAACTGTTTTAAAAATACTTTTGTTTTTACTAGATTTGTTTAAACTTATGAAATCAAATTATTTATTGTAATGCCAAGATTGATGCACAAAGGCGAATAATTGGAGGTTTACTGGCCAAGGAAAACCAAATTCCGTGGCAGGTCCTTCTTACACACGATATCTCCAACAACCGGTACTTCTGCGGAGGAACCTTAATTAGCAACAGATGGATTGTAACCGCAGCTCACTGCACCTATGGGTCTGTCCTAGAATTAAACAAAAACAATAAATAAAACAATTTCATATCTTCAGATGTTCCCATTTCAATTTGCGTTTGGGAGCAATTAGGAGGAAGGGTGAGGAAGATGGAATGATCGAAGTAAACGCAAGTGAAATTATAACCCATCCGAAGTACACCGAAAGTAAACATAACTACGACATAGCTTTGATTAAAACCTCTTCAAACATCAAATTTACCAAGAAAATCCGGCCGGCTTTGCTTCCAAAGAAAGGAGAAATCATCGGAGCCTATAGAAGAGTTCTCGTCAGCGGATGGGGACAAACTGCAGACGGTTTGCGTTCATAATTTATAAATTTCAATAAATATCTATATTTCTTCTTCAGTGGGAAAAGCTTCAAATGAATTGAATTTCGTCAATCTGATAACAATCTCCAATGATGAATGCAATAAGGTGTATCGCTTCATAGATGAAACGATTCTATGCGCTCGGGGATGTCCGTCGAATAGCACATGCTATGTGAGTTTAATTTTTGTTCTTCAATTGTTTTTATTAATCGTTTTTGTTTCTAGGGCGACAGCGGCGGTCCAGTTGTTATATTAAACAAGTCAAAGGCGACTCTGGTTGGCGTGGTGAGTTTCGTTTCTGAATCTGGTTGCGCCAGTGGAGATCCTTCTGGATACGCGCGAGTCGAACCGTTCCTGGATTGGATTCACGACATAACGGGAATAACGATTTAATTACCACATATTTTGGCCCAACCAGAAAACACCATTACCATGAAGAAACCGCATGTTTAATATGTAATTTATCGATTCGAATATATAAAATAAGCAACTCATATCGATTTTGTCAACGTCACTTTCATCGGTATTAGATTGTACTTCTTTTCGTGAACACTTATGAAAATTAGAAACAATTCCTGGAACGACAAGTCACAATTCATTGTGTATCAATAGTTTAATTATTTCTGTTTAAAATTATCCATCAATTACTATAAATAATGCTTATCGTGAATTTTAGAAACAATTCTCGATGCTAAAAATAGTTTAACTTATTTGATATGAAACATGCGATGATAACGTGAGGATACTTTATGTATTCCTGGATACTTTGCGTTCCATTTTGTTAGTCATTTTTCTTACAATTTCTTTTGCTCGTTAAGCAAAATGCTTGTTATGCGAGGTGCTCGTTAAGCGAAGTTCCACTGTATTGAAGACATAAAATTATTAATTTGTTCAAAGCTTCTTCCACTTCATACAGACAACAATGTTTATTTAAACAATATTAAGTTATTGTATTTGATGACAAAATATCCAGAATATAAAAATTATTGTTTAAAGGATTTATTCAACTCTTCTTTTGGAATAAAAGAAAATTCTACTTGTCTACTGTCAAATTACACAAATATTGAAATTGGAACAACGATTATGTATACTGCATTCAAATACAGATGTGCACGTTTTGTTGCCTATAAACAGCAGTCTCATAACTGAATAAAAATTAAAATGTTGAATTATAATATCTAATAGAAAATTACCAACATAAAAAATAATCTTTGAACTTGTAGATAATACTAAAATTCGTTCTTTTTCCTTTAAATCTTTAAGTAAAAACAGTAAATTAAAGTTAATCGTCAATAAAAGTATAATACAAAAAATGAAACCGGTTCGCTTAATGGATTTGCAAACATGAATAATAGTAAACTGCGTAAATTTCAATTGATTGTCAAACATATTTTTTTTGTATGTAAAGGCAATTAAAAACAATCTGTAAAAAAAAATAAAGATTAAAACATTTTTTTCTTAAAAAAATATTTGCTTCTTTATAAGTAAAACAATGTGATTTTATTGCTAGTTAAAAAATAACGAGCTTATGAATATTTTTGTGTTAAAACAAAAACTGGAGAAAACAATTCATTTTTTATCGTTAAGTACATATTTGGTGACAAGAAAAACACAAAATATTGGTTTTAGAGCATATAACTCTTTATTTTTTTTATTGTTAAAATTCAACTTAAAATCATGTAAGTGAAGAATCACTTTGTATCTGTAAAGTATTTCCTGGAACATAAAGATTTAACAAACTAGTAAATTCTTTTTTTTTTAAGAAATAAATGGAACAGGTGGCTCCACACAAAATTCCAATCCGAAATTAAAAAGAAATGAAAGTTACTTGTCATAAGTTATATGCAAGTAACTTAACCTTAAATTATCTAACCTATAAAACTAAACTAAAATAAATAGTTAAGTACATTTTATACTTATTTTATCGATATTGAAATTATGATAATGATGTATGCTTAATCAGAGATATTATTGAAATATGATTATAGCAAGGAAATTGATTTAGATTATTATTTTCCGTAAACAAATAATTAAATCTTGTAGTCTCGTTTAGAAATGATACTTTTATCGTTGTGAAAGCGTAAATACCAATTGTTTTTCAGTCAAAACAAATATTTTAATCTATTTTGCAATTGTATATAAAAGATTAATTAATTATGCAATTCGAATTTATACATCAGTATATAAGGCGTCAGAACATCGTTGAAGGTGTGTTAATATAAAATGAGGTCATTTATTCTGCTCTGTGTTTTTGTAACAATCGCTTTCGTTCAGGTGATTAAGTCCAGATTGTTTTTAAAACAGTTTTTACAAAATTGATTTTCAGGCGGATAACGAGAGGATTATTGGTGGACAGGCTGCAAAAGTTGGTCAAATCCCATGGCAGGTATTGGTAAGGTATCGAGTGCCTGGAGGCATGTCATATTGTGGAGGAACTTTGATCAGCAATCGTTGGGTGATAACAGCCGCACATTGCACCAGAGGGTTTAGAATAACAGTTTGACCCAAGTGAGCGTTCACTAATTATCTAATTTTAGGGCTTCTAACTTCAGCGTTAAGTTGGGAGCAATAGAAAGGAGGGGTAATGAAGTGGGCAGCGTCGAAATTCCCGCCAGCAATGTTATCGTTCATCCAGAATACGATGGATACTTGAAAAACGACATTGCTCTCATCAGAACCTCCAAACCCGTCAAGTTTACCAACAGAATTAAACCAGCGAAGCTTCCGAAGAAAGGTCAGGTGGTAGCTGCGAATACGAGAGTCTTCCTAAGTGGTTGGGGTCAAACTCAAGACGGTAGAAACAACGCATTACACAAGAAAGTAAATTACACAAGAATTGATTGCATTTAATTTACAGTTGGTCCGAGCATTGATTATTTGAATTACGTTGCGTTGACTACAATCAGTAATGAGAAATGTAGCACTCTCATTACCAACATTATTGAGTCACAACTTTGTGCAGTTGGTAACCCACCACAAAGTGCGTGCTACGTGAGTTTGAAAAATATTTCAAAAGAAGGCCATGTTAATTTCGAATTCTCTTATTTTGCAGGGTGACAGCGGCGGACCAGTCGTTATATTGAAAGGAAACGAGGCTACGCACGTCGGCATCGTGAGTTTCGCCAATGGGAATGGTTGTAGCAAAGGTCCTTCTGGATTTGTGCGCATAGAATTTTTCCTTGATTTCATTCATAAAAATACAGGCGTCTACTAAATAGGATATTTTGTGAATCTGGTCTTACAATAGTAGTTTAATAAATATTATAAAGTTACCATAGATTGTTAAATAAAAGAAATATTTGCTGCTGCAGATTAAAGTATTAAACTGTTTGAACAAAAAAAATATTTTACGTCCAATGCTGGTGTCCAAAAAGCTGTGGAAGGTAACAATCGAAAACCGAGCAATATCATGATTTGTGTTTTTTTCCTCACAAAAAATGCAGATTTATACGTCAGATACTTTGGTGCCCATACTAAGAAGCTATGGAAGAGTGATTGAATGTTCCTTCATTCTATTTTTTAGTGACGTATTCTGAGCGTTTCTCAAACTTTTTTATTCGCGACATCCTTAATAATCCCGGATTGATCTATCATCAAATTTTTTGCGACCCCCCTTTTTGGCGTCCCCTCTCTTATAATCATTGATTTAGTGATCCAAATATAATTAAAGAATTGGCAATTTTTTAGAAATAAATTTATCATTTATGAGACATACAATTATGTATTTAAAAATTCGCGAATATTAAGAAGTAAACATTTTGTTTATTATTTTCAATTGTTTGACAAAAAAACATTTTTATTTTTTATTGAAACTAGTAAAAATAACAGTCATTTGTCATCAATAATATGGAATTGATCTAATATTAAATTAACTAACCTTAATTGAAATGAAAAAAAATAATTTCGAAAAATTTTACTTGTCAAATTTGTTCATATAGACAACATTGTTAACCTTTTGACATACAATGACGTGTTTCAGACGTCTACAGTTTATTTTATGAATAGATATGAGGCAAAGAAAGTGGTCTTTAGTATTTCTTGAAATATTTATTAATGAAACAATTCAATACTAAATGAACTGAACAAAATAAACGTACTTTTTTTCCCTTACATAACTTATATCTTATTTGCATATCAAAGGGTTAATATATATAACATTTAAGTATTTTTTTCGTTGACAAATCAGATAAAAGAGTATGACCAACAAATAAAGTTATTAATTTTGTAAATGCATTAACAAAATAATTGTGTCAAATGCAATCAACTCATCTTTCTATATCAGAAGAGAAAACTTAATTTATAAAATTACAAACTGTAGTTTCTGCTTTCAAATTAAACACATATTATTGGAACGAGGCTAGGAATATGTTTACTGGATTTAAATACAGACGTTCACTGTTTGTTGCCTATAAACAACAGTCATGGGAATTGGATAAAAAAAAATAATAATGAATCATTGAACTTGTAGATAATGATAAATTTCGTTTTTTTTTTCCTTTAAATCTTTAAGTAAAAACAATAAATTAAAGTTATCGCTTAATAGATTTGCAAATAGGAATAATAGTAAACTGCGTAGTGTTCAATTGTTTGTCAAAAAACATATTTTTTTTGTGTATTTTAAGGCAATTTAAAATAATTAACACGTTGACGATCACATGACCCACCGGTGGGTCATAAATTATGAATAATAGTTTTGTCGCTATGCACGCCACTGAATTTGACAGAGTATAACTTTAAATATATTACGTCAACTACAAAGCTTAAACGCCAATACATTTCTTATACAAATTTTGATAATTCTTGAAGCAATTTAGAATAATACGTGATATTGTGACATAATTTATGCATATTTTATAAAATAATTTGCGAGACACATTTCTCACAATTGTTATAAACTGTTTAAAAATTATTAAAAAATGTATTAGAAAAATTTATGTTTGTAATTGACGTAACGATTATGCGCCGTCTATAACGTGTTAAAAATAATCTGTACAAAAGAAGAATGAAGTTTATAACCTTTTTTTTTTGTTAAAAAAATATTTGTTCCTTTTGTAAGTAAAACAATGTGATTTCATTGCTAGTTAAAAAATAATCAGCTTATGAATATTTTTTTGTTAAAACAAAAACTGGAAAAACAATTCAGTTTTTATTGTTAAATAGATATTTGGTGATAAGAAAAACAGAAAATATTGTTTTTTAGGGAATATTATATGCTTTCTGTTTTTTTTATTGTTGAAATTCAACTTAAAATCTGTAAAATATTTTTTGGAACTTTTATTTATTTATTTTTACAAATCAGTAAATTGCTTTTTATTTCAGAAATGTGTGGAGCAGGTGGCTCCACAGAAAATTCCAATCCGAAACTAAAATGGAATGACAGTTACTTATCATAAGCTATATGGAAGTAACTTAACCTTAAATTATCTAACCTTAATTAACATTTCTCTTATTCTATCGAAATTGATGTATATTAAGGACGACGCATAATAGGTTTGTTTTCTGCGAAAAAAAAGTCGTGGACGTCTATGGACTGTGTGGAACGTTACTTCAGTGGCGTGCAACTATTATTATTGAAAGATGATTATCGCAAGGAAATTGATTATTTTCGGTAAACAATTAATTAAATCTCGCAGTTTTGTTGAGAAATCATTCGATTATCGCTGTATAAGTAAATACCAATTTTTATTCAATTAAAATAAATAGTTTAATCTGTATTCATTTTGTAACGGTACACAAAAGGTTCATTAATAAATACGTCGAAACATGAATGTCAGTGTAAAATGAGGAAAATTATTCTAATCTGCGCTTTTGTACAGTCGTTGCCGTTCAAGTGATTAAGTTTTTCAATATTGATTTTCAGGCTGATTCAAATAGGATTATTGACGGAGAGACTGCAAAAATTGGTCAATTTCCATGGCAGGTGTTGATCAGGTATCGAAAACATGATGGTGGGTATTTCTTTGATCAGCAATCATTTACTTTTCACTTAATTTTCACGAACAAATCACTCAATAATCTGATAACTTTAGGTCTTTCAATTACATTACATTTTCATTACTTGTAATTAGGAGGGATTGCAAGGAATGAGTACGAGACGGGCAGCATCCAAAATAAGATGGAAACTTGAAAAACGACATCGCCGTTTTCCAAACATCAAATGCGATCAATTTAAACTACAGGATCAAACCGGCAAAGCTTCCTAAGAAAGGCAACGTATTTCCAGCAAATAAGACAGTCACCGTCAGCGGATGGGGAAGAACCGAAGACGCTTGAGACGAAGTAAACGAAAATTTTATACATGTAGCTAATTTTGTATTCTGCAGTGATTACTTAAACTACGTTGCGATGACCACCATCGCCAATAAGAAATGCAAAACTCACTACAATCCCACTTACGTTTTGGATTCCACGCTGTGTGCGGTTGGGAATCCCCTAAACAATACTTGCAAAGTGAGTTCTTTGTTAAAAAAAAATTGTGTTGGCTGTTTTTATTAACATTTCTATTGTTTTGCAGGGTGACAGCGGCGGTCCAGTGGTCACATTGAACGGCAAAGAAGCCACGCACGTCGCCATCGTGAGTTTCGGTGATGCACCGCATGACCCGCAGGATATGTTCGCGTTGAATCGTATCTTGATTTTATTCATGAAAATACGGGAATTTATTGAAAAAAGTAACTAAAAACAAATTAATTATTTTTCTTTATAAAGTTTGATAAAATATACATCTTTGATTGTGTACATCAGGGATGTTTTAACGTTAATAAATTATAATATCACTTAAGGACGTAACGGCACAAATCGGTTTGTCTGCTGCGAGAAAATTCTTCGTGGACGCCTATTGACTGAGTGAAAAGTCAAATATCTTACAAAACTTAAACTTTTCTTATACTAAACAATTGTGAGAAATATGTCTAGCAATTTATTTTGTTAAGTATTCATGAACTGTGTCACAATATCACGTATTATTCGATATTGCTTCAAACATTATTAAAATATGTATAAGAAATGTATTGTCATTTAAGCTTTGTAATTGACGTAAGATATTTTATGTTATACTCAGTCAAAATCAGTAGCGTGCATAACGACCAAACTATTGAGTGAAGTAAAAAGTTCTGAGCGTTTCTTTCTCTTTATTTCTACGATGAAATTAACAAAGTTAGAATTTTCGGATTCAAATATGCTCCGTTTTGTTCGATAACTTTTCTCCTTTTTGAAGGCAATTTCATAATTCCTCGTCCCTATTGGTAAAAAACTTGAGCAGCTCATTTTCACAAGCCTCTCTTGAGGCCAGTTTTTTACCATCAAGAAAATTTCTCAAATGTTTGAAAAGGTGCCAGGTGTGGGTTATACGGCCGGTGCGTTATAATCTCCCATCCAAGCTCTCGGAGCTTCTGGCGAGTCATTATAGATGTGTGCGGTCTGGCGTTGTCTTAATGGAACACAACATCCTTTCTATTGGCCAATTATGGACGCTTCTCGTCGATCGTCTGCTTCAATCTGGTCAGTTATTGACAGTATAGGTCCGAATTGAGTGATTGACCCGATGGGAGCAGCTCATATTGGAGACTCTTGGTCGTTAATCTAGGCTTGGCGATTGTTTTGGCCAGTTCACTGCGGTTGGACCACGATCGTTTTGCCTGTTTATCGTATGTGGAATTTTTGAAGCGGATGGTGACTGGCGATGAAAAATGAGTCGATTTCATTACGCTTCAGCAAAAAATCGCAGGCATCAATTCACTCCAAAAGGTTGTTTTGCGTCAATTTGTGTGGCACCCATACATCAAGCTTCTTCTTGAGACCAGCTTTATGCAAATGGTTCCAAACGTATTTCTGGCTAATCTTCAGTTCCTGGACAATGGAATAAGTGCTCGCATCCCGGTGGGAATCGACGATTTTTATAATTTTATCAACATTTTCGACGATTGGCCTACCAGAAATGTCTCATCTTCGACGTCCATATTACCAGAACGGAAGCGTGGGAACTAACGCGTTGCTGTTGCATTCGATATTGTATTGGGTTAATAAACAACATATTTTTTTTGGCCGTCTGCTCCGCTTCTACCCATGTTCGTAGTGATATTGAAGAATGTATAGAATTTTCTCTTTTATTACCTCAAGTTTGGAATGCTCTAACACATAACTGGATTCACTAAACACAAAATTATCAAAGAACTTTTTTTAAAGTGTTATGTCGCCTTTAAGTTGCAGTATATAATGACAAGATACAATGAATACGTCGTAATGCCATTTAATGAAAAACGCTCAAAACTTCACCCAATAATATACATACTTTTTATGCGGTAGATACGTTCCACAGGAAAACGCATAGAAATAAATCGCACAAAAAAGGACTAGACACACGTATAAAAATAAAATAATTTTATTTACGTTTATTAAATTTCAGAAAAATAATTAGTCTTAATATATTCTTTCTGAAATGTTTATTCATAATTTTATAAAAACGTTAACAATCGTAGACAAGTTTATTAAATTTCAGAAAAATATAATCTTAACATATTCTTTCTAAATTTATACGGAAAAATTTTACAACAAAAAAATACAGAAATTTTTTATGAAAATTAATCTTTCTTCACATTTTTTTATTTAGAATTATCGTCGCTATATAGCAGAGGTTCCCAAACTTATTTGTGTCGTAGACCCCTTGCCATGTTTTTCGGTTTTGGGTAGACCCCCTACTTACCTGATATTGATTTTTTTGTAAATTTCTAACTGTAATGAAGTTTTAGTGCTTAAAGTAAAAACACATGTTAAGTTTTATACATTAATTAATTGAATTTAAATTAAAACTACTCTAAATAAAATTTTGTATCAGTTATATAAAATATACGTAACATAAAATAAACTAAGCAATAAATAAATGTTTTTAGTGAGAAGGATGAACCTGATGCTTTAATAATAAATTATCAACATTTGGCGTCAATTTTGTAAGGTTTAATCCTAAATCTCCTCGGCTAATAATGTACAGTCTGTTTCTTTTTTTCGTTAGGATATTGGTAACAGCGCTGAACCCCCTTTCCACTAGGTATGACGATGGAAAGGAAATTAAAAATTTCCTTGCTATAATCTATAATTCGCTATATTCCAGGTTTTTACAAGTTTAAAATGTATTGCGACCACAAAGCGAATGTCTACATCCTACAACTTACACAATTTTATAAACATATATACATTTTTTACTTCATAGGTACTTTTATAAATAATGTATATGGCTTTATATTATAAGATAGTATAATGTAAGTAAATAGGTACTATCAGTGACTATAAAAGATAGTCAGCATATCAGATATATGTCCTGAAGATAATGATTCTTCACAAGTAAAATTAGTCTCAACTTTGCATGTTGATTTTTTTCCTTTGACAATATAATCAGTGATTAAACTTTGCGATGGCTTTGCTATTTTTTGTACAATTCCTGATATCCAGAAATGCAATTCTGAAGCTCGCGTTGAAACTTGAATGCTCGTTTAGAATTATCATTTTTTTCGATGAAATGGTTTGTTAAAACGTGTCAACGGCCTAAAATAGTTATTTAAAAAAATACATCTTGAAATAAAAACCGCATAACTTCAAAACCGCATAAAAAGAGGACCGAGTGTATATATGATTAATTGTTGTGTCAGAGACGGAAATCTGGTTAATGTTATCTTCTGTTGGTTGATATGGAGTTATACACGGGTTTTATTTGAGATTTATTCTTAAAATTATTTAAAGTGTTTGCTTTATTGTCTATTCCTTTAAGGGTACGACTAATATTATTTAGTTACTATTCTCTTAACTAATTTCGTTAAGGGAATAATAACTAAGACTAATTATAAATACTGTTTTCAGAATTTCTAGAACGACATGTGTTATTTTTTATAAGGATAAAATTCAATTATCAATAGTTTTTTTCAATAATATACTTATCTAATTAATATATAAGATAAATTATGGAAATTTTATTATCACCAAAAAAATCATTTTGATTAATTATTATTAAAAAGTATTTTTTATCTAAAAATATCACGATTATCGCTGCTTATGAAAAATTTACTGTAATAAATTGGTATATAAGGCGTTACAAATATCATTGAAGATGCACTTATAGTAAAATGAGGTGCTCTATTCTGCTCTGCGTTTTTGCAGCAATTGCTTCCGCCCAAGTAATTACTCTTAGGTGTTTTACCACAAAAAGAAATACATTGCTTATTTTTTTAAGGTTGATGCCAATAGGATTATTGATGGACAGCCTGCAAAAGTTGGTCAATTCCCATGGCAGGTATTGATCACGGTTGAAACACCGGATGGCCCGAAAAGCTGCGGTGGAACTTTGCTCAGCAATCGTTGGGTATTGACGGCTGCCCATTGCACAAAAAAAAAGTTTGGACTCTTACACATCATTTTATAATACAACTAATATTCTAATTTCAGTTTCCATAGCTACAATATATGGTTAGGAAAGATTGCACAGTCAGAGACAGAGGAGGGCAGTCAAATTGTAGTCGTTCGCAGATTAATCGTACACCCAGACTACGATGGTGACCACACGAACGACATCTCACTACTCGAATCATTAACTGACATCAATTTCACTGACAACATCAAACCTATTCCAAGACTTCCTCAGAAAGGAAGCGTACTTCCAGCAGATACGACAATCACGGTCAGCGGATGGGGAAGGACCGAGGATGGTAGAAAAAAAGTACAAACGTAAATTTATTCATGTAGTTATGTTTGTATTCTTCAGACGGACCAGGCAGTTTTTACTTAAACTACGTAGAGTTAACCACCATCAGCAATAATAAATGTTGGCCTAATATAGGCATCGTTAATGATTCTGTTTTCTGCGCAGTCGGGCATCCATCGCAAGCTACGTGTCAGGCAAGTAGAAAAAGCATAGCATAGAGAATTGGGCGGCGTGGCGTGTTGATTACAACATTATTTGTTTTGTAGGGTGACAGTGGCGGACCTGCTGTTACATATGAAGGGAACGTAGCTACGCTAGTCGGAATCGTGAGTTTTGGACCGGTTAAATGCAGAAATGAGGTTTCTGCATTTGTACGCGTAGAATACTTCCTTGATTTCATTCATGAACACACGGACCGTCGCTAACATGAAAGCCGTCCTTGTGCAAAGCCTTTTATCGCGTCCCAATATTTCTGAATACCGGACAATTTTTAGACAGTAAGTTAATAAATACGAGATTTTTCTTTAGATTACATGCTACTATTAAAATAATAAAATGTTTTGTATTTTAACAATAATAATTATTATTAATTTTCATTATAAAAACACAACCTTCATTGCTTTTAACAAATGTTCTTCAGCAATTTGTTCAAATTTTGCAAATATTAGTTTTAAAAAAATCCAGTTACAAATGAAATGATGCCATTATGTGGCGCACGAGATTTGCTAGGTGCTGCGGCATCGCGTGTAAACAATTACTAAATAATAATAACATTAATGCACAAAAAAGTAATTGTTTTATTATTTAACACGTTAAAGACGGCGCATAATAGGTTTGTCTGCTGTAAGACCTACGGACTGTGTGAAAAGTAAAATATCATACGTCAATTGCAAACTTAACTCGTCGATGACGTCATAATTTATGAATAATAGTTTAGTCGCTATGCACGCCACTGACGTTGACTGAGTATAACCTCAAATATCTTACGTCAATTACAAAATTTAAAAGCCAATACATTTCTTATACATATTTTAAACATTCTTGGAGCAATTTAGAATAATACGTAATATTGTAACATAATTTATGCATAATTTACAAATTAAATTACAAAACACATTTCTCACAATTGTTATAAACTCTTTAAAAATTATTAAAAAAATGTTTAACGTTTGTAATTGACATAAGATATTTGACTTTTCACAGCAAAATCATTAAAATCGAGACCAAACTTGGTCCAATATAAACTAATGTAAAATACGATAATGCGTTCCATGTCGAAAAAAAAGACATGGAACGCATTATCGTATTTTACATTAGTTTATATGGGGAAAATTGTTCACTATACGACTATTTTGGAATGGTTTAAGCTCATTAAGCGATATTCCAATACGTTATGGAAAGTAACATTAATGACAGAAAACAAAATGGTAATGCTTCTTAACCTTCTTTTCCATCATTTTTAATCGCTGTGCAAATACAAATAAATACAGAAACATTTTTTATTTTTTAATTTGATACAATTTGAAATAAACAGTTAAAAACATTCTGGTGGATTGGAACAATCTCCTTGGATGCGGTCGTAATATAAGAAATTCAATTTCGCTTTGTAATCACAATACTCGCTATAGACGATATTTCTAGTAATCCTCAACTCCTGCACTTCGTTGTGCTCCAGCTGGCAATGGTACCTGTATTTGTAATTGTTACCAGGATACTTGGCGACATATAGAACTCCATCCACCTCGTAGATTTTAAAGTCGACGTGCTCCTGCTCGTACAGACCGATCGCAAGATGCATCTGCATAATCTACAACGTTAAACGCAATAGAAAAATTAGATAATAATATATTTTAATTATAATCCAATCAACTCAGCGTTACCTTTTAATCTCTCTGTCATTTATTTTCTATTAATGACATATCGGTTTATATTTGATAGTCGGATAACGATAATGTTTATTTGCAAATAATTTAAAATTTATTTTAGCATTGAATTTGGTTTGACTTTCGATGTCACAACCTTAGTATTTCGCATTTAATCATCAAAAGATTGAAGTTTTTTTTGTTACTTTTGAATAATGACGTTTAAATGATTTTAATTGGTAATCTTGTACCCAATAAGTGCAGATCGGATGCCTTGTTGTCGTACCGTAATATTCTGTGCATATTGTGTTGCATACCTTCATGGAAGCTTGTCCGAATTTGTTTCCCCATAGGAATACCATTCTGATGCGGTACTTCTTCTTGAGGCTGTGCAAAATTTTGCAAAGCAATTCGTCCTCTATGCGGTTCATGCTCAAATCCAAAAGACGTAACTTGGTTTCGGGAATCGCCTTCGCCAGAGCTCTTTGTTATTGAAGAAAAAGAAAACGCTTTCAAATATAGTTATGATTAATCGTCAACTAACGATTACTTGGCTCCGATGTTTCCAATCATGTTTCCAGCCAAATTCAAGCCGAGCAAATTAGGGCCGTTGATGAGCCAACGACTTAACACTTCCCCGCCGTAATTGTTGATGCGATTGTGACCCAAATCTAACAACCGGAGTGTGGTGTTTCTTTCAAGTCCGAGGAGAAGCAGTTCCATGTCGTGTCCATCGAAATTACACTTCTGCAGGTGCATCTCGATGAGCGTTTCGTTCATCTACGGTTGCATTGTATGAGTATATTTTAAAATGCTCGCTTGCTGTTTGCATGATCAGAGACTTTGACGAGCTCTCCCATCTGATCGGCCAACTGCGGCGGAAGTGTGAAGTGCCAGCAGGAAATCGGTATTACTCCAGATATATCCAACGATTTCAAAGACCTGTTATTGCCTATGTCCATACGCAAGCTCGAGCAAAAGTACGGAGTAGAGACCAGAGTTTGATGAGTGTCGCCGGCATCGAGATTCTCGATGGTAGGCACGTGCAGCAGGATGTTTTCGAAGGACGGTCCTCCCTAGACTCGAATGATAATGTCTACCATACGAAGAAATATTTGATAATAATTATAATACCTTTGATGTAATGTTGTTGGCCGTTAACCTGAGTGTTTTCAGCTTCAGCATCGGTGCTTTGTCGCTGATCATCTGGAGGCCGACGTGTGTAATGTTGCATCCGACAAGGTTCAAATGTTCAAGATTATTCTCTCGTCCCAAGAGGACTTCTGCCAAGATGTGGATTCCATCATCGGTAACGTCGTTATAAGCCAAATCCAATTTCACAATGTTCTTTCCGACCGAGATGAACGTAGAAATACGCGCTATGTCATTGTCGCATATCCTGTAATTCAGCCGACGGACAAGCTCGTTACCCTTCAATCGTAGGTTCTTCGTACCGTCGGAGTTCTTTTCACAGAAGATCGACAGATAGTCGAAGTTGCCCAACTTCTCGCTCATTCCAAAAAATCAAGTGTAAACTGATAACTATAATATATATAAAATCAAATCAAACTTTGCGTCACTTTGACAGATACAAATCTCCATAGAAACACAAACTTTGACATTAACCTTTGTTTAAGGTTTAATATTAAGTTTTCTTCATTTAAATAAGGCATATAGATGATTTAGTTAGAAACACAAATCACAATGTTAAATTCTACATTTTTAATTTAGTTAAGACACCAAAATTAAGAAAATTTCAATATTTAAGTACAATATCTGATCATCTAACCAAGCCAATGAAATTAACAGAATATATGAACTTATAATTGAATAATAAATATTTAAAAAATTTCAATCAAAATATTAATAATATTTATTGAAACAGTAAAATTACAAAATAAAATAAAATTTGTAATAAATTTAAATTAAATAATTGTTTCAAACATGTACAATGAAAATAATATATAACATAATTAATTAAATTCATATGTTATTTATCAGTTCATGTTGTTATAGAGACGAGTGTCAAAGGTTGTATTTAAATTGTTTGATTTAATTACATCAAAGTGATTTTTTTTTAATACACGTAAACCGAAAAATTTGTTTGATCTCTTGATAAGTATGCAAGAGGTATTTTTAATAACAATTAAATGTATTGAATCTGCATCTGCCATCTGGTCTTTTAAATGTTTGCAATGTGTACAGTGAATAGTCGAGTAAATCTTCGGTGGTATTTTTGAATTTCGTTGAGAGGTGTTGGGTGGCGGCGGCATTCGCGGTCGGATTTGAGCGAAGAAAAATGGTCGAGCGTCGCGGTTTCCGAGCGAGAGACGTCAGTCGCGTCAGTTTGTATTAATAAATAGTTGGCCATTTCTCATAATCTCTTCTAGCTTACATGACACAAAACGGCTTTTATCTCGTCCAAACAGGGAAACCATCAATTTCGGTACATCAAGCGAAAAACTAGGAAAAAGGAGAGAAGGTCATCCTGTCTCCGTATTCCGATTCATCGTAACGTAACGTAACGCATCGGATGAGCAGGAATAAGGTGTCTGTTGTTGTTGTTGCCATCATCATCGTTGTCATGGTAGCAGCAGCAACAGTTACCACAGCAAACTAGCTTCGTCGGAGCCATAAAGTCGGTGTGTAATTCCAGTAGTTAATGAACATACACATTCAACACAACACAGCGCATAGAGAGGGACCCGACGCGTTTATTTATCTACCATGTAAACATCGAACTGAAAACACACAAAATGGGACATGAGACGAGATGAACTCGCTGGATCACTGGAGCCAGTGGAAACAGAGGAAGCGAGAAAACAGAAGAAAGACAAGAAGAAGAAAAAAAAACAACATACACACACGATGCGTTCCCATAAATGACTTAACTTCTTCTCCTCGTCTTCGTCTACTTCATTTAAATATATATTTTTTTATTACTTTTTTTTCCCGTTGCTTCTCTTGCATCTCCGTGTCTCATCTCGTTCTCCCGTTTTCGCCGCGCCCGTTAATTACCAGAAATAATAAATTGTTTGGATTTTCTGTGGAGATGAGACTCACACGCATCAAGTGTAGAAGCAGCAGCAGCATGAAAAGAAGAGGACGACGGCGGAGGGAAATGTTTACGAAACCGGTGGTCGTGTTGTAAACACGCGACTTGGAGTAGAGGCGAAGTGAATGAAAACACGGTGTATTTATTTGTCGAGACGATGTTGAAAGGCCCCCACCGGCTCGGATTTCGCTTTCCACCGAAGAAGAAGAAGCAACAACCAAACGAAACTAAAAAAAGAGCACGAAAGAACGTAAAAGACGAGCTGATGGCCGAACCGGAAATTCTAAGTGAATTGCAGTGAGCGCCGAACAAATGTGCATCAAGGTTTTTGAAAGCTGATCACTGTTCTTCAGCAGCCTTTGCTTTCATCGATTCACTTTTATTTAAAGTTCTTCGTTCAATCATAAAATACAAATCACAACAGACTTCTTCATAAAATTTTGTTTCGATTTTTTAATTATCTAAGTTAATACCAACTTCCGCATTCGAATTACTTATGTAATGTTACCAGTTAATTATTAAGAAAACAACATTTTTAATTTGAGATTAATAACTAATAAAAAATATGTTATAGTAAAAATTAACCTCAACTTGTCAAATGTTTTCAATCTGGATGATAATAATCGGTGCTGCAATATTATGATTAACGAATAATATAAAACTATTCAATTTCAAGTAAAATGTTAAGTTGACAGTTTTATTAATCGAGAGGTTAGAATATTAATCAAATGTAAACTGATGGATATTCGTTATTTGTTATTGATTTTGAAAAAAAAAATGAGAAAGAAGGCGTTTCAATTTCTAATTAAAGTCAACCCGAGTGCAGAATGCGATGGAGACGTGCGCGTTTAACCGCCAATTGGCCCGTCCGAAATCCGCTGCCAAAGCTGTCGAGACGCGCCGAAATAATAAAAAGAAAATACCGACATAAATTTATCGAAACCTATTTTTACGTAATAAATAGCCAAACGCTCAATAAATATAGAAACGCGACCTCTCCGACGTTTTGGAAAACTTCAATTCATTCCGATGAAATCTTTCTATTTTTTTAAATTTACACTAAACATTTTTTTTAATCAAAATACTGTTAATTATTGATGAATCAAAATTGTACAATTGGCCACCTATCTGAGATAATGTTTTAAAGAAACGATATCTGTTGTTGAACTAATTGAAATATTTTCATATAATTACATAAAACAGTACACATAATAACATTGATGAATCAATTCAATTACTAAAAGTTTGAATTAGTTTGTTCGATATTACCTAAATTCGTGTTTATTTTTATTTATTTATTTTATTATTTGCTGTCACGTTGACGGCTGGTAAAGCTGCAGAAAGTAGCATTTGCAAAAAATATGTGTATATATCAAAGTCGCCGTCTTTCAAATGTGACATTTAACATGAGCTAAAAGAAAAATAAATTGCTATCACTGCCAACGCTTTTTTCTTCCCTCGCGAAACGTAACTCATTTCTTTCAAATTCCTTTTGTTTTTTTTTTATTTAAGCATAAAATATCAAAACTATTTAAACATTCCTATCGATCAGTATAAAATATTAACTTTATTTCAAGAAAATTTATATCAGTTATAAATAATTCCATTGGAGAATAATTTATTATTTTGTTTGTGATTTTTGTTTTGTTTTATATATTGTACATACAATAAATTCATCGAAATTATAGTTAAAAGAAAAGGTTTTCTAAGAAAATGTTAAAATATCTATATATTTTTTTTTTAATGTTTACATCAAATACATAGATCTTATTACCATAGGAACTCAAATTCAATTTAATAAATTTTGTTTACAGAAAATCCATTTGTTAACTTGGCTTATCGATTTTTTAATTTAAAATGAAATTTTTTTTTTTTAATATTCTAGATTATTGTTTAAATCTCATAAAGTAATTATATAAAATAATTACATAAAATTTGTACAAATGACAAAAAAAATTCAAATTCATGGATTTGATACTTGGCAAGTATCGCATATCCAAATTGCAGTGAGTCCTTGTGTAAATCTTTGTTTTCTGTGATATTTCAATTATTTTGTCTTCACCCCGAATTATTACTTTTTCTCTGAGATTTCTTCTCTCTCTCTTCAATTCTATCTCTGTTTCGATTTCCTCGTTCGCGACAAATTTTAAAAATAGCCGTCTCCCCCCTCGTTCTCTGCAGAAGAAGAGAGCGAGAAGAGAAGAGGACCGTAAATTTCCGAGTAAAATTAAATCGAATTTCACATATAATTAAGCGACATTTCGGAGCCGATTCTTCGGACCTCCAACTGAGAGAGTCGCTCTACCCGAAGATCCAACGCGACGTAAATTAACGAATCATAGAAAAAGAAACAACAACATCAAGAAAAGAAAAAATGCTAAGATTCGAAGAGTTAGTTCACTGCAAACTAATGATCATCCTATCTACTAAGTCTTTAATATTTTATTCACTTATTCCTGTTGATATTGCTTTTGCTCCTTTTTCTGTATGTGAGAAGAACAGGAAAATCGGTTCGATATGAAATTATGAAACGGGAAGAAGAAAGATGGAACTGTAAGCTTAAAAATAGCCTTCGGTTCAGCGTGCGGGAGAAGCGAAGAAGAGCCTTTTAATCTTCGTCCTCTTCGTTATTTGCGTGTATGTTTGTATGTATGCGCGCGTGTGTGTGTGTGTGTGTAAAAAGCGGCAGTAAACGAGCGCGAACTGAAAACTGCACCAGGCTTCGGGAGATACAAAGTTGCTGAAAAATCCGAACGTAAAAGTTGACTTTACGACCTGGAATATAAATTGATTTCCGGTCCACTCCGTCACCGCTTCTCATCTTCTTCCCTCTCCTTTCTCCTCCTCCTCAAGCAGCTGCTCATCTCTTTCCATCGTTGTTTCCAGACGAGTGCGAGCGAAAAGCAGGCCATTGAGGAATAGGTTCGGACATAGGAGATGAGAAAGATGAACGATGCGACGATGATGCGAGGAAGGAAAGACGAACAACCATTTATTGCCTCTTTCTTTCTTCCTTTTATTTTTTCTTTTTGCAGTCCGAGGGACACCACTTCAATCCGAAATTAGTCCGTGCGGTGAACGCCGTCTTCCTTCTCTTTATCCTCCTTCTTCTTTTTCTCTTCAAACAGAGTTTGACCATTAAAACGTCACTTATTTTGTCAATGGACAAAGGCGTGGAGGACTCTGGAGCTGAAACGAAACACTTGCCAAATCCGACGCACTTAAACGCTACTACTCATCTTTTAATAACGCATCTAAACTTCACTCGAATCAACGTATTTGTAAATCACGCTCGTTTTTGACGTGTCTCTTCCTTCACAAAATATTTAAAATTTGAGCTCTGAAAAGAAATACATTCATTTCATATGTATTTATATAATTAAACTAAATTTGTTTGTTTATTTATCTAAAGTTGAATTATTATTATTTTTATTTTTATAATTTTTTTTTGCCTAGAATGTGAGATTATTTTCTTCCATAATTATTTTTAATATGACATTGATTTCTTCATTTTAATTGTTTGAACAAAAGGATTAAATTTTAGTTGTGAAAAGATACATTTTGTATATGATATCAATATAAGAATTATTTGGAACTAATTATTTTCAATATGTTAGATTGTGTTTATGGCTAGAACTGTCAAAGTCATTGACTTTTTAATTTGACATTCCAGAACGGTCAAAGTCATTCACTTTTTTAAAATTATCTAATTTCAGCTCTGAAACATTACATTTATTGTATGATGTTTACATACCAATTATTTGATTTTTTTAAATTATCCACAATTTAGTTACTGTAAAAATGTTATCTGTAGAATTATTTTATAATTCTTTTAATTTCAAATTTGAAAATTTACACATTTTAATAATTTATCTTAAATAAATAATTTCTATTTTTTGTTTTGTTTACAGTAGCAGATGATTATTTTCTAGAACTGTCACTGTTAATGTCATTATCCTTTGCAAATTAAATTGACTCAACGTATTCATCTGCACGTTTCCGCTTCCAAAGTTTCGTTTCATCCTCAAACCATTTTTAAAGTGTTTTTTTGAATATGTTTTTCTTTTAACATAAATATAAATCTTGTTTCATTCTTGATGTTGTTTAAAATAATAGATGATTGTTCATACAATTTTCCAAAATAAATCAATTAAGATGAAATTACCACATAATTTTTTTTTAGCAAAATCTGTCTTTTTATAAACATAGACATTTCTTTTTCTTTCAAAAATGGATTTGCCGTTTGTTTCCCTTGTGGGAGTGAGTGCCTTTTCGTTTCCGTAAATCAATCATTATTGACGTGCGATGCCTTAGATGTTTATTTTTCCTACGTTTTACGCTTTGGACGTTGCAGAAAAATAATATGTATAAAAATATATGAAAACTTGGTTATTTATTTTGTTTTCAAAATGCCCGTCGCTTCCTGGTATTCAGTTACATAATGCACTGGAGAATGAACATAAAGTTTATTTTACAGTTATGAACTTCTATGTAAATTACTTTTAAAATTTAAATAATTAGTACTAGTTCAATAAAAATTTTCTTATAATATATCTATTTATTTAACATAGCAATAAAAGCAGAAGCAATAGAAAATAACATCTTTAAATTACCAATTAAATAAATGGTTTAATTATAAAAATATAGTAATAATTAGACATGCATTTCTCTTTCAAATTGGTCATCAACTACGTGTGTGGTCTTGAGATTTCTATTTCATTTCTAGTCGGTAAAATACGAATCTTTTTTTCGCATTATTCCATTTCTTTTTTGTAAAACTTAGTTTTTATATATGATAAAAATAAACGTAACTTATAAATAATTTATATTTATAGATTATTTCAGCCAATTTTAATAAATAATTAACTCATTCATTTGAATTTATTTCTTCCTTGATAAATATGAAAATAATATTTTTTTTATCATTTTGAAAAGTTTTGGGAAAATTGTAAAACAATATCTTTGATAGTGTATTTGTAGGAATAATTAATAAATGTTTAAGAAAAAGCTAATTATTTTGTTTTTTTTTTCTTTATCGAGGGAATAATAAATAAATATACATTTGGTTCTAATTAAAACTTGACAATGACGATGTTCTCGTTAATAGCTTTTTTTGTCATTTCGGTTTTGAAAACCGGAGAGTTTTCGGAAAAGATAAAGCATATATATGAATGGGAGGAGGATGGACCACAGTAGGGGAGGATGAAGATAGAGAGACAGAGTTGAAATATGAGCGCGAAAGAGATGAAAGGGAAGAATCGGTCTGGGCGACAAAGGAGGATGAGAAGGAGGAGACAAAAAAAACGTTAATGAACATTTGGTGGTGGACGGGAGACAGCTGCGTTCACATCGTATCGAATTATCGCCCGAAAAGTCAATTAAAAAAAATAGAGAGAGAAAATGGAAAAAAATGAAATAAAGACAAAGAACGATTAAATTGTCAAAAAAAATATAATATAATAATAAAATTATTTACAAAAGTTTGGATCACATCAATTAGTGGAGAGTTTCGTTCTATTTACAAACAACGTACAATGGTGAGTGCACGGCGACTTTCGACGACGAGACGTGTATTTGATGTACATGTATGATTGCACTTTCATCCAGCGAAATACAAATAATAATAATTACATCGAAAGTATTTACAATTTGGTTATATAATACAAAACAAAATAAAATGGAGCGATAGAAACTGTACAAAAATAATGTATATCATCGTTGGCGCTGAGTTTCTCGAAGGCACTTTGGAACTTTTTGTTTTTCTTTGTTTCACTTGTCTTTGTAAGTGTCACTTGATGATATTTGAGGTTCGTCCTTCGGATGTTTGCACCGCGAATTGGAATGATTTGTTGCAGACGCTTCTTATGATTTTTTTATTTGTGAAGGAAGCAAAGCGATGTTTGTGTGGTGGTGCTAGGGATTCGAGTTCCAATCACCCTCCATCCGCCAAACGCTAAATGCTCTGCTAAGCTTCTCGTGCGCCGTGTACGAGCACACGTTGCCGATAACGTCCGGATCTCCGTGTCCTCCTGACTCCGGCGAAGAGCTCGAGAGAATATGGTAGAGGAAGTTGATGTATTTGGCGGCCAATTTGAGCGTCTGAATCTTGGAGAGTTTGTCCGACGGAAGCGTGGGAATGCTCTTTCGTAGACTGGCGAAAGCTTCGTTCAAGCTCTGCGTCCTCTGGCGTTCTCGCACGTTTGCCATAATCCTTTGGTTCTGGATATCCTCGTCACTTTGAGGCGATTTCCTTCTGGGTTTTGAGCGCGACGAGCAAACGTTCTCGTCGTCGAAAGCGGATTTGCGTTTCCTTCCTCGTGTCTTCAGCACCGGGACGCCGTCGTCCACGTCCACCTCGACTTTGATGAACTTTTGTAGCTCTTCACCGGACTGGTGGTGATGATAGGGTTGACGGTAGATGTCGTAGCCGTTATAGTAACCGTCGTAGCCGCCCGCACCGTAAGCACCACCGCCTCCACCTCCTCCGACGTTGTTGTTGTTAATGTTGTTGTTGTTGTTGGGTGGACATCCGATCGAGTTGACTGGGACGATATACTTGTCGTTGGCGTTGGTCAGGTCCATGAGGCTCGTCGGGGAGTATTGGTCGTCGTTGTAGGACCCGGTGCTCGTCGTCGGCGACAGCTGCCTGTACGGCGCGCTCTCGTTGATGTTTCGCGTCTGGTACATCCTAATTCGTTCTTCGTTCAATACGACGCAAAGCGGGGCAACCGACTAACAGACAAGCGGATAAGAACAGACTGAATGGTTGTGCGCTCGTTCGAAATATGGTTTAGTTACTGGATGGGAATGGACAGGTTTTTATGTCGGATGAGCGTTTTGCGCGTCTGCCCGCCCCTCGCGCCCAATCGGATTCCGCTCGGTTGCTCCCACTCCTCCTACTGAAGCCACCGCCGGACGACAAATGGAGCCTCCCCCGATCACCAATGGACTCATCTTCACCAAACAAAACGCATCGCGCAGTAAAAATGGACACAACAAGAAAGAATCGACGCATTAGTTTCTACAACAAATTCAATTTATCAATTTTGTAACAATCCGACCACAACACAAACCGTACTTTTAATAGAAATAAAGCATTCTAGTCTCTTTTAACTACTAATAGCAATTTGTGTTTTCTAAAAATTAACTTCAAAAATTAGTTATTACTTAAAATTTAATAACTTTTCCGAAATAGAGTACAAATACACATTTCGACAACAAATCCAATATATCACATTATTCACAATTCTGATACATAACAAAAATGTTATTTTCAATAAATATAAAGCAAGCTTTTTCAGCATATTTTATCTATTTTAACTTTTAAAACCAATACCAAGTAGTTTTTTTTTACAATGAAAATTAACAATATTTTAAATAGTAACTCTTCCTTAAAATTTATAACTTATTAGTAATGTCACAAGGAAAGATTCAGTCCGGATGTTTCATATCACACAAAATCAAATGTTTTCCGCGTAGTTCAGAATTTATTAATAAAAATATATTTAAATTATAAATTTAAAAATTCAATTATTCGGTACCATTTATATAATAAATGGTTGAAGGTGGGTGGATTCAATCTAGAAAGTAAATTAACTGTATAATAAATTGATTTTTCATAATGATTTAAAAATCTTTCAACATATTGTTAACTGTAATAGTAAATTTATGTTATTGTCGCAAAATCCTACAGATTCTTTTAATTTTATCAAATGATTTAATGTTATTCAAATAACATACATTTATGGAAAATACACAACTTTAAAATAAGAGTGCCAAAACATGTGTAAATATTTCTTTCATTGTTTTTAAAATATTTTTTTCACTAATTTCTTCATGAAAGAAATAAATGAAGTAATCAATTAAGTTCTAAAGTTCTGTGTTTGATAGGTTATAAATATAAACTAGTTGATTATTGAAATATTATATAATACTTTTTGATTGATGAACTTGCTTCTTCTTTTGTTTTTCTAATATATTTTGGATTTTTTAATCGATTATCAAAAGGATAGGCTATTAATGTTACGCGCAGGGGTACCTCAGTTACGTTTTAATAAATTCGAAGTTTTGTTTCGTTGTCTAACGTTAATAAAATAAAATGAATTGTAAGAAAAATTACTCGCTTAACCAGCGACGTTTCGCATAACGAGTGACGATCAGAAGAATTGTCTTGAATTGCGCGCTAGCTACATCATTTTTAAAACATATTATGTGTATCTTTGAATATGTTTCACTATACGAGTGAATATCCGAAAATTTTGGAACAGATTAAACTCGTTAAACGAGGTTCCACTGTATATGTGTGTGTGTGTATATATACAAAAATAAAAATGCTTTTATTTGTGAATAATACTATATATACATCGGTGGCAATCGCAAGCCCGAATGTACGCCACCCCTTAAAAATAACTCTATGTATATGAATCTACACTTAATAAATACTTTTTAAACTTCAAACTTCGCAAGCCCGACAACCGAAATACCGTCAATCAAATTCCCGACGTTTGAAATGCCGACTGCATCGAAATCCCGACGTTCGAATTCCCGACTGTATCGAAATCCCGACTATATCGAAAATGTTTACAATAACATTTTTAAATTATTCCGGAGCGTGGTGACTTTTAAATTGTTATTAATAATAAATAAAAACAATTAATAATCTAATTGTACTTGAGATTATTTCATTATGTTAAGGTTTCTTATGAATAATTCAACAATATCAAATAAATTAATAATAATTTATTGTTATTAATAATAAAAGTGTAGCAGAAGGTGACTACGCTCCGAAACAATTTAAACATGTTATTGTAAACATTTTCGAAATAGTCGAGATTTTTATACAGTCGGTATTTTAATATAGTCGGGATTATGGTTGTCGATTTTCTGATACAGTCGGGATTATGGTTATCAAGATTTTGATATAGTCGGGATTTCGATACAGTCGGGATTTCGAACGTCGTGATTTCAATAGACGGTCTTTCGGTTATCGAACTTGCGATATAGTCCCATATACATATATAGTAATAAACAAATTACATTGTCCATATTGTAGGAAGTAGATGCTCCTTATTTACTATTGTTTAATCCATCTTCCTCGTAGATGGATCGCGTTTACTCGTGTTTAATTCATTTCTCGGCGTAGATGCTCCTCATTTCCTAGTGTTTAATCCATATACCTCGTAGATGATCTACGTTTACTTGTGTCCGATCCAATCAATCTGAAAAGTATACATTTATTAATTATGATTCAGTATATTAATGAAAAAAATAATTACCTCTCCGTCCATTAACTCCTTCCTTATTAATATTGTTTATTATAATATCAGAACAAATGTTTAGTCATAGATTTAAAAGATATAATAAATTTTGTTGTAACTTATCTTCTTTATCAATAATTTCTGTACCTAAAATTTCATTTAGAATTCGTATACTATTAAAATTTGTACATACATTACTTACTTGCTACTGTTCGCCTGCAATCTTCTCAATATCGAAATTAGTCAAAATATTTTTCGAAATCTTTAACTTCGATTGGTATCGAATTAATCCGAATTTAGGTCAAAATTATTCTTCTCTCTTTACAGCGTTACAATGTTTATACCAACTATTTGAGATTAAAACGAAATGTCTAGAACAGCCGCATCAATTGAGATATTCCTGGTTACGCGCCTGTTATTAATTGGTATTTAAATATGAAGGTTTAAATATGATTGGTATTTAAAAATGAAGGTTAAAGTTCGTTTCTACGGATACCGATAAAGCTGGTCCAGGTGTAGATCATTGTATTAATTGTTGAATGGTGAATCGATCAATGGACCAGAATCGTGTTGAAATAGGCGAGAAATAAGTAAATTTAGTAATTTTGAAGCAAAGTATTAAATGTCGCGTGGGAATTACTGCGTAATAACAAATCGGTATAAAGTTTAATATTGACGTTTTACAATATGTGTATTTTCAAATTGTTTTGTTTATTTAAAAATATGTATTACATTTAATTCTTCTATAGCTCGATAAGAAACTCATAATTAGTACAAAATAATTCGTATAGAAAACTGTAATTGTAATTCTTTACCACTAATTTTTGTCTTGAATTCTTTCTTTAACTTTGATCCATAATCGATGAATGGACACTTAAATAATAAAAAAAACTTTAAAATCCGTTGATTTAAGTATTGAAACAAGGCATTTTTTTAATGAGATAAGATACGAATTTACGCGGTACTATTTTTAAGCAAGGGTTTGTTTACGCGTAAATTAGAACTATATATATGCGTTATTTTAAAATATAAATAACGTTATTTATTTATATTTTCTGGTCCATTTTTTTCCGTGAACGTTTTATAAAAATTCTTTATTACACTTGGCATCAAGCTACTGCAGAAAATCTATGTAATGAATTAGCCAAAAAAAATGAAAGTGTAATTATAGACACTGATACATACCTTCAAATTACGACAAATTTTAACCAAATGTTGCAGCGAATATCAGCAAATTTATGAAAACTTATTAAAAGAAAATATTGATAAAAATAATCATCCGAAACAATTTACATTAATACCGGAAATGAAGTCGAACTTTTAAATATTTCAAGCGATAAAGATGATGGACAAACTCTATTAAAAAGAAAAGGTTGTTCTTTTTAAACACTGAATAAAATTTACTCTTGCTTTCTGAAGTGTTATAATTATTTTTTGTTCAGCTATATGAAATAAATATATATTTCCAAAACTTATACAATTCAGGGACTCTTGTATATATAGTTAAGAAAAAAAAGTTAATTATTATTTAAATATTAAAGGTGATTTATTTTTTATAAATGATAACAGAATTAGAAAACAGATATTTTTCGATTAAAAGAGAAAAAGAAACAAACATAATAATTTTTTTTTGGGGAAATCGGGGGACGGTTCAATATCACAATCAGGTCAATTATTTTTCATATTTACATAAACTGTTGTTGGTAGTAGTTTTGATGGGCTTCCGGTTGGCTGGTCACATCTTTAGTGTCAATACTTTCCTCCATATCGTCAGCATTCTCCTCCTGCTCCTCGATCCTCCACACGGCGAAGGCCTTCCTCAGTTCCTGCACGCTGAGGTTAGTAGATTCGCCTTCATCCTGCGATGGCGATTCCTTGAGCATCTTCATCAGGAAATCTATATACTTGATGGCAAGATATAACGTTTTGTTCTTGGTCAACTTATCCGAAGACAGAGAAGGAATGACCCTCTTTAAATTTTCGAAGGCCTCGTTGGTGATTTTTGTCCTCTGCTTCTCTCTGGCGTTCACAAGAAGACGTTCCTCCTCAGTGAGAGCGTACTTCCTCCTGGACGTGGATCCCTCCTCCAACGGGTATTTCCTCTTCCTGCCTCTTTTCGCTGGACCCGGAGCTGAGGTTGATGACGATATCAAACCCATCTGAGTCTCCTCTACGGTAGTAGGTATAAATTCCTCTTCGTAACAAATCATGTCTATGTTGCTGTTATCAGTGTTGCTTATCCTGTGTCTTCAAGAGCTCTGATAAGCAGATTTGCAATCTGTTCTGTATTTATTATGCGATAGGTGTCTCGCACATGCGCTCAGGTTAATGGTTTGTGCTTCTACTTGCACCTTTTTTAGGGTAATCCCCACCACTTTCTATTTCACCTGAGTGGATGGGGTGAAGCGGCGATCGGCAACTTTTTATTTTTATTGCTCACTCGATCAGTTTTTGATGGTGTCAGGGCTGAGAAACCTCCCACACACGTATCATACGTTTTAATGCTTTCTCCGTTCTTCCGTCGATGATTTTTCCGTGCTTTTGCTGCTTTTTTCCTGCCACATTTGGCAGTCAGCTTTGGCACAAATGAACTTTATTTGTACCACAATTACAGGTTTATTGATGTGCCTGTCTTCTTTCGGTGCCTTTTTTTCCGTCCACATCTGCAGCCGTTATTGTTTCATATTCGATCTACTACTGATCTAGTAAGTGTGGAAAAGTCACGTCCCATTCAAAAATACCAAAATATTAAATTGTCACTTTTCCCTCTCATCATTGATCGATACGTTGCATAGTGCGTGTAATCTCGAATTGTTTGAAACCGGACTAATCGAGGAACTAATCTAAAACAAAAGTAAATAGATACAATAAAAGTATAAAATAAAGAACCAATAATTTATATATAACAAAATTATTTTGTGTGCTAATTGTTTGGAATTTATTTTTATTTTTTCTCAATTAAAATGTAGTTCCTTTTGAAATTTTCAAACCGAATTACAATGGAAATTCGGATAATGAGCATAATTCGTTCCAGAATCTCACTCATAACACGAAACACTCATTATGGTCGTTATGAGAATTACACGTTATGTAGATTGAATCCGGACTGATCGAAGCAGTACCAAAATAGGTTGAATGATGTACTATTAGCGAGGTTCCACTGTAAATCTAAATTAAAAAGCAAAATTAATTTTAAAATATTTTTTAAATAACTTCCATCTGCTATTTTTTGTAATTTTTTATGCCAATTTTGAAATAAATGCATTTGTCGTGTTCTTTGCAAACCGAAAAAGAAAACAACATCTTTTTACCCTAAAAGTTTCCGCCGCGTTTTCACGTTCAAAATTTGCGATCTTCTTTTCTCCTTAGCCAGTCGAACGCTGCGTGTTGTTTCTCTCCTGTGTTTTCATTTAATTATTCCGGTGGGAATTTTGGAATATAATTTTTTTTTCTTTGAGTGGTCGCATCCACACAGGAAACATCAGAGAAACCCCCAGCCACGAGCAGCTGTTCGAATATCGTTCTCCCAGAATGCAGAGAGAGAGGAACGCATACCGAGATGAGATGAGAAAAAAAACATATATTAATGAGATCACACACTCCACTTTATCACGCAACAATTTTTTTTAACAAAATTAATGTGTAACTGGAAACTTGTCAAGTTAACGTTGATCGCGTCTATTGTTTAAATTTTGTTATCATAAAAACGAATAACATGATTAAGAAACAAATAACTGTCATAACTGTCAAAATTTAAGTTAATTAAACAATGATAATTATTTTATTAACAATTATACACTTGTCTAAACTAAGCGTTTTAGTGGATTTGTTTTTTCATTTTTGTCAATTTTTCAGTTGTTTGTTTTAAATATAAACAATTGGTATTAATTACAATCACCAATGTTATTAACCAAAAAAAAAAACATGTAATAGAAAAATATTACAATTTATTAAAAAAAAACTGAATAATTAAAGTAAACTGATGTGTAATAACTAATTAATTTGTAATACATTTTGTATATATTTATTATGTTGAAAATTTTCAAGAAAAAAAAATGCGAAACTCGGAAGCGAGACGTGATTTTTTAGCCAAAACGTCCTTTATGATTCGAGAACTGAAGCTATGCACGGAAGGTAGAAAGTGCGGGTTTTCCCAATAGCTGTGCAAAATGTGCCTTGTATTTTTTATTGCCGGACAATTGCTAGAGTATCCACGCAATAAAATATGGTTTTTACGACATCGACATGTTAAAATAATCACACTAATCGTGGCATCACAATGCAGATAATCCGTTTGTTTTCACGAAACGTTCAATAAATGATAATGACCGAAAAAACCCAGGGTTTGGACGCTGCAAAATGTGCTTTTGCTGGATTTGTGCAAAAGGAACAAATCTTTATTGCATTTTAGGGGGAAATGCAGTTTTCTAGCATTTGTCGAGGATACAAAATTAAAAAATATTTTTTTAAATGAATAAACAATTAATATTTTCGTTTTTTTTCACGAAGTTAAATTTATTTATATTGTAGTGATGATGTAATTTAGTTTTTGATACGTATATATGACGTTATAGCCGAGTTATAATCGAATTTGTTTATTATTTAATCAACATTCACTTATTTCTGTTAAATATTTGGAAAAACCATCCTAACATATTTATTGAGATTTGACAGTTTCTTGAAATTTATAATTAATTTATGTTCCTAAAATTCATATGAAACTACCACCCTTTTGTTATAATCTTTAATATTAGAAGGGATTATCAGAAATATGTGTTAGGTAAATGGAAAATGAGATTTAAGACTAGGATTAAGGATGTTTTTAAGATTAATGTTTACTAATGATAATAATAGTAAAATGGTTTGTTTACATTGAATAATACAATAGTTGGTAAATCTAACCAAAAATAATTAAGATTTGACAGATTTAAATTCTTAATGACATTGACACATCAGATTTGGATTAACGTGAAAAATGGCAGTTTAATTAATATTTTAAAAAAAATATTAAATATATTTGTGAATCAATTTTTCAAAAACGCAAACTAAAGGAAACAAAAGTAAAACTTTTGAAAAAAAAAATGTTTACATTTAATAATTCATTTTTAGTAAATAAAATAAAATAATAAAAATTTGACATATCTTAGTGAGGTTGACACATCAGATTGGGATTAACAATTTTAATTTTAATTTAATGTATTTGAATTAACGAAAAATATCATTTATAATTGTGAATCAATTTGTTCATATTTTTAGAAAACGCAAACTAAATAAAACAAAAGTAAAACTTTAAGATATGGCAGATTAAAAGTCATAGTGACATTAATACGTCGAGATTTGAATTAAAATAAAATGACAGTTTTAAAGATTATTATTTTAGTATATTTAGTAAAGTAATTAACACGTTATCTGCGGCGCCAGAAATTGGCAAAAGCAAACTACTTTTTTATGCATTTTATGTATAAAATTTTGTTACAATAACTATATGTATACTAAATTGTTCCTGACGATGTAATTGTTTAGCTGTCAATGTTTTAACATAGAACTAAATCTACCGCAAAATCATATATATCTCGCCGCGTGGCGCCTAAGCCTACAGTATAAGCGTGTTGTATTTAACTCCCATTAATACGTTGATTAAACGAACCAAACCAAATTCAAGCAAGTTTTCTGAAACTGACACATTAGAATTAAACTAAAATTGTAGATTAAAGCTTTTGCACATTTAGAAATAGGAGTTTGTATACTTTAAACGTTGATTTAAGAAGCAAATTTATAAGTAGCTAAAGGTACCTAAGTAAATAATTACAAATGGTTGGAATCCGTTTTGGGGTTATTTTCATATCCTTGTTTCGTGTTGTTTATCTTAGATAAGCCTAAGTTTTCACACTTTTTGCAACGGTGAAAAATATGATAATAAGATCTCGCACTTTACTTTATTTATCTTTAATTAAAAAATATGTTTATTTTAAAAGTATAACAACTGTTTACTTTAATTGCAGTTTTTAGAAATATAAACAAGTGAAGACAAGATAGATATTTCTATGTAGCATAGTAGATATTCTTATTTTTAATTGTTTATCCTAGATCTCTTTTATTCAATGGTATAAAAATTTCTTTATTTTTAGTTAACTGAATTGTTTTCTTGAATCTGTTTTCAAAACAAAAAACAATTAAAGTCTACTTTTTGGTTAATTAATTTGTATCAATTTTGCATTAGAAGAGTTTGGCTTTTGTTGTCTTTACTCCACGATTACAAAAATACGAATAAATGATTTTTTTTTCGAAATGATTTTCTTTTAGTTTTAATAATTTTGCGAAATATATGAACACAATTATAATTGATACCTTAATATTTCTTAATTCATTAAATTACATAAATTTTATATTGGAAAAGTTCAACTTTTCTTTCCTTCGCATTTCAAAAAATACGATAAAATGTTTATTTGTTTAGAAAATGTTTACTTTTATTTTAATAATTTTACGTTTTTCGAAAAATATGAAGTTCATTCGCAATTATAATTGATATTTTTTTAATATTTCTTAGTTCATTACATTTCATCAATTTTATATTGGAAGAGTTTAGCTTTTGTTTTGTTTAATTTGCGTTTCGAAAAATACTAACAGATGTTAAATATATTTCTTACTTCATTGAATTACATCAAATTTATATTGATAAAAAAGGTTTTGTTTTCTTTACTTTGCATGTAAGCAAATGTTTTTTTCGAATAGTTTTACTTTTATTTTATTTTGACAATTGAAGTTGATTTACAATAATATTTCTTGTATAATTGATATTTTTTATATTTTTTAGTTTTTAGAAATATAAACAATTGAAGTAGATTTAAATGGTACTTGTTTTGTATTGGAAGATTTTAATTTTTGATTTCTATACATATTTATAAAAAACATGTATGAAAACAATTGAAGTTGATTGTAATATAAAGTAATCCATTTGGGGCCATTTAGCTTCTTCGAGTTGTTACCCTTTTGTTCAGCGATGGGCATGAGCATGAGCAGCGTTAACAGTAAGAGATGTACAAGAAGGAAAATGTGCACTCAAGATGTGGACGCAATAAAAATGGAACTGCCTCTGGTTGCGCCGGCACGTCCGAGGAGAGCCTATTGGCAATGCATGTGTGATTCGGTTGACAACAATTACGGGGTTATAAAAAATAAAAGTCAGAGAAGAAAACAAGGAAAGGTCGTC